AAGTATCAAAGAATAAACAAAAATCATCATCTTTTCACAATAAAGAGTGCTGGACATATTTTTGGTTTATTTATTAACCGAGGTGAAGGTATAATGAAAAAAAAATAAAAAATATGAAAATTGTGTATAGGGATTAAAGAAGCAGTGGTGTCTTGTGCCAGCAGAGCTTCCAATCTTTGACATAATAGGCTGTCCAAGTCGCATTGAGAGAAACGGACTACCAAGAAGCTGCTTGACTTGCCACCACTGCTGATTGGCTGGGGCACACTGATGTCATCGCACTATTGTTAGCTGGGGTGCATTTATCATGGCAAAATAATGTGTCTGTAACTTTCCATCATCCCAGCTGTATTCTCATTTTAAATCTGATTTCTGCCAGGAAACCTGGAAGTTAATCATTTTGTGTTTCTTTTCAGAAAAACTTAGTTTTTGGTTTTTAACTAGGCAACAATGTGCAATGTGAACTGGAAATTGCTAAAGCCAATAAGGTATTATCATGTATAAAAAGGGGCATTAATTCTCTGGACAAAAATATAATTTTGCCTCTTTACAAATCACTGGTAAGACCATATATTGAATATGCTGGTCAATTTTCGGCACCTGTTCCAAACAAGGATATTATGGCACTAGAAATTTAAGGGGCGGGCTACAAAATGAATAAACATAATGGAACATTTAGTTATGAAGAAGGATAACAAATTTAAATCTGTTTAGTTTACAAAAATGGTGTCTCAGAGGGGATATGATAGCATTATACAAATTAATTTGGGGCCAATACAAACCATTGTCTGGAAATCTATTCATAGACGAGACTATACATATGACACAACGTCATGCATTTAGACTGGAAGAAAGGAGATTTAGTCTAAGGCAAAGGAAAGGTTTTGGGGTGTTGTTTTCTTTTGGGTTTTTTTACAGTAAGAATAAGGATGTAGAATTATCCTGAAAAATTGATTTATCTTTGTCTGTTCAGATGTTTAGACAATAATTGGATAAATACTTGCAAAAACATCATATTCAGGGATAAAAAATTTAGTGTGGGGTAACAGCATCCTCATACAAGGAGAGATCTGACTCCCATTCCAGGGTCAAGAAGGATTTTCTTTCTAGTTTGTCGCAAAATTGGAATCTCTTCAAATTGTTTTTGGTGGTTTTTTTTGTGTGTGTTTTTTTTTGTGTGTTCTTTTGGATCAACAGCAAAAACAGATGTGATAAAGGCTGGACTTAATGGATGCAGGTCTCTTTTCAGCCTATGTAACTACTCATATCGCCAGTGAATCAATCCACCTCCATGACAGGAATATACTAAAAAAAAAAAATCTGCTTTGTTGCAAAGTGCAAAAAAATTCTTAAACAGTCAGTTGTCATGAACAGAAAACCAACATGGGCAGAAATAGAAATTTGCCCTTTTTTGTATTTTCTATTAGCTATATACAATTCAATATTCAGTTTTACACTTTCTTGAATAAAAATAAACTGCATGGAATTAGAAGCATCTGAAGATCACAATAGAATGAACTATCCTTATATCATGCACATTCCCCGAGAGAGGTGGAAAATGTATGTCGAAATTACAATTCTTGTGAGGCATGTAACATTTTTCCTCCCCTTTATAACCGAACCAGATGTTTCCCCTGAGAGAGCAGTGTATCTGAATGCAATGAGAAATCTCTGTCCTGAAAGTTTTTGTGATTAAAATCTATTCTTATTGCTCAGAAAAGTATAATGTGTCGCCCATATTTCTTCTAAACGACCTGTCTTCCCTCATTGATGATGCTTTAAGGCTTAAAATACTGCATTTCCTATTAAGTATGCAGTCAATAGATTGAACAGTCCCCTGTAAAGACCAGATGTCAAAAAGAAAAATGTTAACTATTCTATCAATTCGTAATCACTGCATCCTATTGATCTAACAGGGAAATAAACACACTCCTATTACAGACAATTAACCTTGCAGTTCCCAGTCAGGCGTGTGTGTGAGACACTGCTATGATTTCCGGCCTCCTTGAGATCAGTGCAGGATTATATATATGTGAGGGACATAATAAGGTACTTCTCAACATGCCAGGTCCAAAGTCCTTGCATACGTTGCTTTGTGAGTAATCTGGTTCTGTAGCAATCTACCGGCATTCAGGATCTATGGTGCCAGATCGGTGCCATTTGATAAGGATCGTGGGTATCGAGATCTCTTGTAGAAAATGATCTGCTTGATATAGGGAGAAAGAGACACACACAGGGGCTGGGGGAAAATTGACACACAATGGGGTGAGTAAGCGATAAACAAGGAGGTTGAAAGAGACACGCATGGGGGATAAGATATACTAAAGAGGGTTGTTAGACACAAAAACGGTAAGACATTCGAAATAGGCAATTAGAAACACAAAAGTTGATATGAAATTCAAAAGGGGGAGTTGAGAAACAAAGGTGGAGATGTAATTTTTTTTTGTGGAGGGGAGGCAAAATCTGTGTAGACAAAAATCATTTCACTGGCCCTGCATGCCCACGTCAAATTTTAACTACAGTGATTTGCAATTACCTCTGTAATTCAGTAAGTATCACACTGTGGCTTCACAGGAGAAAGCTTGATTCCCTTGCCAACACAAGTATGGAATGAGATCACTGTAGAATGTGCACGTCAAACAAGTCACCACACACCTTAAAAGGTTGTCACAGCTTGCCATGGTGGCACGTAAGCAGAATCTGTGTCTATGGCTTCATTAAAAAAAAAAAAAACTGTCACAGAAAGGATATTTTCTATCGAGTGCTTGACTGTTCAGTTCTTTTTGTTTAAAAAAAAAGAAAAAAAAAGAAAGTAGAACATTTAATAGACATATTTGCTTAATGAAATATTGGAGAAGGTAAAACGTTTGGGATTCCATAATATTACTATTTTTGCAGTATGGCGATTTCAGATTGAATCTCTGCTGTGAAATGTTAATATTGAATTCTTTATACAGCAGGATAGCAAGAAATGCGGGAGGCTGCGTAATTCATACAGAGTGATAGTCGCTGTGTATAGTAGAAGAAATAGTCTGATAGGCACTTACCAGTCCTTACAGTGTCTTCTCTTGGAGGATTAACCTCAAAGAGGTAGTCACGAAGAAGTCCGGATCTAGAACACCAGAAATAGTCTATATTGGGCAATATATTACAGGTATTGTGCAACTGTAACCAACAGCAGAATTTCTTTTATCGATCTGTATTTCATTGTAATAATTATTCACTCTCTCAAACGTGTTCAATGACATCCAAAGTGGCAAAGTGACCATACTGGAGCTATTTTCCTTGATTTCCCCACTGCCTTTGATATGGTTGACATCATGATCTTAGTAAATAGACTTAAAAAAATCAGGAATTGTTGATGAGCCACTAAACTGGTTTTAGTCAGCGTGAAAGGTCCCATTTTGTGTACATTGCTATCAATATCTCCCACAGTGTTACATCCAGTGTCCCCTAATTACAAATTCTTGGTCACCTCATATTCTTCATATTTATTAATGACCTACATGTTTACAGGATGACTGCTGACATTTTTGGCAGTCAGCCATTAAAAAGCAACAACGATGCAAACCAGTCAACAAGTAGTAGCCACTACTAGCTACCAACTGTTGTTAATAGCAAACCGTTAAGGCAGCTATTTACAGACAAGGTTGGACACGAGTTCCATATTGGCTAACTCTCAAATCTAGATATTCTTTACACTTTCCTTGCCTTACACCCTCAATGTCCTCCATATCCCCTTCTGCCCTTATTTCCCATCCTCCACCTCAAAAAGAAGAATGGCTGAGCAACTTTCTCCTATTAAGCTCTGAACATATGTTATTACCTGCCGTAGAATATCTAACATGACACCAGTCTGCAGTCCTTGAAAACCACTGCATCCATTTACCTTCAATCAAAAATCAATAGCATGCATTGTTACTATAGAATTGTATTGTATATGTCTATTGTATTTGTGCAGTTATACCATATGTCTCCTATCATGATACCAATATATTGGTATGCTCTTTACAGAACCTACATAAAAATCTGAGAATTCTCAATTTCTGGTAAAAAAAATTTCCACAAAAACAAATTGAATAAATATAAATGAAATCATGTCTGGGAAACATAAACTGAATCTAATAGACTAGGCTTTATATGAAATAAAGGAAACCAACAAAGAACCGGAACTGACATCTGCTTAATTACTTGATGGCTACTTTTCTTCACTGAAAGTCCTAACAGAGGAATAGTTATGGCAAATATATCAGACATACTTCACAATGACTTCAGTATTTCTTTATCTAGTAAGCTTATAATACATTTAAGAATAATAGTAATGCCAAAACAGTTACAATAACCGTAAAATTCTATTTATCGATTTAGAATGGAAATGAAGATAATCAGACAGCATCACATTATCGCAGCAGTATTCTATGCAAACATTTAGCCCGAGAGAAATTAAAAAATCTAAAATGTGTTGGTTTCACATCCCTTTCACATAACTAAGCATTCCTTCCTGGAAATTAATTTGAGAGAATGATCCATAACTATTGTGTGTAGAAAAAAAAGATTTTGTATTTATGATTAATGGCTAATGGAAAAGTTTTATTTTTTTTCAAATAAGAAAGAAAAGACATCTGAAAAGGAAACTCGTTGTATATGGAGCCACCATTTTTTTGTTTTTGTTGCAGTTTGTTTTTTTACACTTTTAGAATCATAGAATCTGGGAGAAAAGGAGAAACGTTAAAAGATATTGCACGAAATTGAGTGAAATAGGACAATGAATACAAAATGAATGTAGAAAAGGAGTAACCAAACACCGTGAAATCCACTTGGAAAAATGAGAAAGAAGCACAACATATGAACAAGCACAAAATAAGATGACAAGACTGAAAAAAACATGACAGAGGAGGGAAATTTATGCATCTTATCATAAAAATTAACCTTAATTTTATCATAAGAGCTAGAAAGTTACATATTGTGCTGTTTTAACGCTCAACCATAAAAAAAGAAGCATGAGAAGATGGTTGAAGGTAGAAAACCTGAAAGGTGTTCTCTGTGGACCAGACTGCAGATCAAAGAATGTCAAAGATATACAAGGAGAACTCGCAATTAGCAGCTGCACCCAGACCAAACGAACATCAAATGAGGAATCTATACCAGTAAAAAATTACAGCCAGCTAATCCATCAGGCCAAAGTCATAACCAAAACAGGTTTGTGTAGTCTAACATAAGAGACCAGAAGTTGACCAGACTGGGAGGGTCGCAATGGAGTATTAGACCATTCGGTTCCACGTTAAAAAGCACAGACATCAGAGACATGACTGAAAGACACTATATAGAGTAAAAACATGAACTTATCAGGACGCTGATGAGAGATCTTCATTATGTAGTAATTTTCTCAAAAAATGCAACACCAATGCAACAACAACAAAAGGCAACATCCTAATTATGAGAATATTTAGTCCCTCAAGTAGGGATGTGCATGGGCAAAAAAATTGGTTTGGTTCTGAAATTCAGGTAAGGACCCTAGCCCTAAACCCTAACCCCTAACTCTAACCACTTGTTTTGCCACTTTTCAGAAATCCAAAGCACTTCGGAACTTCAGCAATTTGGAACTTCGCCAATTCGGTTTGCAAATTCGAACTTCGGACATTCGGAAGCATCTGAATGTCTGAATTTCACGAAATTTGTCCAAATGTACATTCGGAACTAAACAAATTGCACATGTCTACCCTAGCATGTGAAAGATGAATGTTGTGCATAAGGCAGGCCAGTAATACCCTGTGAAGGCATATAAAATGGCTGAATTTACATCAATTATGGACCTATAAGACTTGTTTTTAGAAAAAAAAGTTGGAGTAGGAAATTCAAAATTGATTGAATAGAATTGAATAGAATAAAAGCACCAAAAACCCCTTTGCAAACACAAAGCATCATGAAGTCTAATGATGGGAGGTAGAATATTCTGGTATCTGTAGCCCAGAAGTCCAACATGAATGACTTAACTATAGATGATAGTCCATCAGCATTTCAGAAATCACAGAAAGAGTCCAAGCTGAAGATAATCCTGAAAGGGAGGGGATGAGGATTGCCTAGAGGATGCAAAATTAGGAGAGGAAAGGCATAGGGAGCTGATCCATATAAGACATCTCCAAACGATCCAGAAACCAGGGTTGACTCTGCTAGAATGGTGTAATTAACACAAATTATTTTTAAGTTGAAGGTGAGGAATTATTCCAGCAATCCTTGCATAAAAAGGAAATGCATTACCCTTAAATGGACAATGTTTGTAGAAACACATTTAATGCTGAACAATCTGGATCAGGAAGCCAATGGGAAGAATAATGGAGTCTGAAAATTCATCCTGAAAGCAAAGCAATCCAGATGAAAGGGCCCCCAGCAATCTGTCCTGTCCAGCATCCAATATTTCAAGAAATAATTCAACCAGAGGTTCTTGATCCCTGATAAGTATTCTGCTTTGAGAGTGATATTCCTGCAAAAGCAAGATTGAAAGATCTCACTCATGATATTTGATATTACGGGTAATTGAGCGTTACTTAGACATTTCATGAAACGAATGGTGGAATATTGTCCATCTGCAAAAGGACACAACAATCTGAGAAATCCTTTGCCAGCCTGTGAATGGTGAAATAATTGGCAATGAGCTCCAGCAATTGATGTGATGAGAAGATTCTTCTGCCAGCGATGGTTCTCCCATAGAGCAATCTGCACAAGCAGCTCCTTGATCCCACAGACTCCCCTTAACCATGGATATCTTTGAAATGGGATTTGGCAGTAAAAGAACCACCAAGCATTGCAGGCAAGATTGGCAATATATCTTGTGATCTGTGAGACCACTGAATAATGGTGAACAGGACTCTCGTGGACCACAAGCAAATAGAGAAATATCACTGATTACAGCCGTAACCGCATAGACAACAAGGGACATCCCATGTGACAAAAAGTGGAGAAACCAGCACCAATTAAATACCACGAATACAAAGTCTTGAAGGATGCATGAAAGAAAGACCTTCATGTAGAAATGTCAATGGGGGGAGGGTATCAAGTCATAAAAGGGAACTTAAAATTAAAGTAAGTAGTAGAATAATTAATGAGAGGTGGCCAAACAATCAATCTCCCAAAAATCTATAGGAACAGATAAGGGGGTAACCCTAGAAAAATTGGTTACAAAGAGAGGAAAAACAGAACTCTGTTCCAACTATTGCTGTCAGAACATTCAGTTGAAATAAATGATATTTGGTTAAAAATCTAGAAGATACTTTATTAATTAAACCAAAAACACAAAATGGACACAAATAAACCCTGGCTATGACTGCCTGACTCAGTTAAAGAATCAATTTCGGCCGTAAAAGCAAAAGAGTGCAAAATAAGAAATAAATAAAAAATAAAAAGGTTAAACATATCTCAATAACATATATCAATAAGACAAGGCTAAGTAGAGAAGATCGCCATAGCGATATCAATCCGTGTCTAAGGGAATACAATAACAGATCCCAATAGAATCATCTAGTTAGCTTGGAAACAGATACCCTCTAAATGTGCAGCATAGATCGTCTAGTAAGCAACAATGTATCAAGGAGAAATCTAATACAATGTTGTATCCATATATTAACATTGAATCCACTGCGATATAAAATAGCCGTACACAATAACTAGAGGGAATGCTGCTCAAAAAGACAGTCCGAAACCACTTAGTCTATGATGAGAGTATATGAATATCCTACCTGCTAAAACTGATTCTATCAGTAACCAATTAGATTCAGGGGCGGGCTTTTTAAACCCCGGGAAACCGGTGAATGAGTTCCCCCGATGAGCCTCTAACTCAAGGCGAAACGCGCGTCGGGGCTCGATATTTGCTTCTCTACTGTTATATTCTAGCTCGGTTTTCTGTGTTTTCGGGCACCTTCATTTTTCGTGGGCGGACTTGGACCACGGGCTACATCCAATAGCCATTGAGGCACCCGATGAGCCTAGTTGGCTGACAGCCATCTGGGCATCACAGATAGACGCGTGACTGATCAGGGTGTTAGGAGCAGTATGATTTAGCAATTATACCATCTTATTTTCTGCTAATATAACGGCTCTATCAGCATTAGGATTCCATCTTTTCCTACTGTCTGTCCTATACTAGGTGCCCATGAAGGCACCTTTCCAATCATTTCATACTATACCTTGATATCATCAATGTGATTACGGACACAGATTATGGAATTCGTTTGTGGGTGTACCTATATCTGTAACACTATCTTTGTATAGATCATAGTAATCTTTTGTTATACCCATACTCATTACTTTCTTCTTATGTAAATTATATTAAATATGCCTTTGACTTAGTGGCCTGAGGATAAAGTTAATATAAGCAGGTAGGATATTCATATGCTCTCATCATAGATTAAGTGGTTTCGGACTGTCTTTTGGAGCAGCATTCCCTCTAGTTATTGTGTACGGCTATTTTATATTGCAGTGGATTCAATGTTAATATATTGATACAACATTGTATTAGATTTCTCCTTGATACATTGTTGCTTACTAGACGATCTATGCTGCACATTTAGAGGGTATCTGTTTCCAAGCTAACTTGGGATCTGTTATTGTATTCCCTTAGACACGGATTGATATCGCTATGGCGATCTTCTCTACTTAGCCTTGTCTTATTGATATGTTATTGAGATATGTTTAATCTTTTCATTTTTTATTTATTTCTTATTTTGCACTCTTTTGCTTGTACGGCCCAAACTGATTCTTTAACTGAGTCAGGCAGTCATAGCCAGGGTTTATTTGTGTCCATTTTGTGTTTTTGGTTTAATTAATAAAGTATCTTCTAGATTTTTAACCAAATATCATTTATTTCAACTGAATGTTATGACAGCAATAGTTGGAACAGAGTTCTGTTTTTCTTCTCTTTATAACTAAGTAGTAGAATAGGAAGAATGGAATTAGAAAGAGAGGTAACTAAAGCAAAAGAAAATAAAGAGAGCAAGAAAATAAAACAATGAAATACAATTTGGATGAGGAGCAGACACTCAGACTTCTATAAGTAGGTTGGAGCAGCAAAGAGAGAGGAGGTGCTTATTAATACCATGGCTTATATTACACGTTTGATTAGTTTTTAGTTGCTTTGTTTATACTCTTGATACCTTCCCTCATTTTGCAAATTACATTACATTTTTTTTTCTACAGATTATTTTGGCAACTTGTATTGTGTCTCTTAAATCTTTGGTAACAATGTTACCTTTGCTATTCGTAAGACTTTGTCATTCTTATATCAATAGCAAATGGTTGATTTCAGTAACGTACAACTATATTATTGTAAATGTAAATATTGAGTTGAGCGATGAAAGAAGTGCTTAAGCACTGGAAGTTAAATATGTTTGTGTCTCATAGGCGTGCAGAAAGAAGACCTATAAGGTAAAATTGTCCAACTATGACAATACCCTGGCAACGCTCTAGAGACACTTGATACAAAACTTTAAGGCAGTTTAACAAAAACCCAAATGTTTTCTTGGCACCCAAACTCTACTTCTCCATACTCCTTACCCAACTCTTGTATTGAGGTCAAGAGGGATCGTAGCATAGGCTAATTCATTTACCTCTGACTGGGCTCTTCAAAGAGACTCAGACTATGAGAGCAGATATAGGTTGTACTTAACATTATGTCACATTTCTGTACCCTTTATACTCAAAGCATTGCAGGAATGTGCTGGGACTTCACTGTAAAGGTCACTGTAAAAAACATGGCCTTTGCAGTATTCTTCCTCGAACATGCTGCAACTAGTCATGACGCTGGGGGAGAATAAAATACTCCACTTCACAGCTCCCTTCCATCCGTTTCGTGGGCCAGACTCCCTCTTTAGTGCCACTGAGGGTTACTCTGTAAAGCCTACATATAGAACAAAGACATACTAGTGTTTAAAAAAAAAATGCATACGAGCAGATTAATAATATAGGATGGTGACATAACTGGGAGATGGTGATACTGGTGTGAGGATTAGTAGGTGGTAGAAGTATGGGGAGATGGCGACATTTATGTGACTATTAGTAGGTGTTTGGAGTATGGTGAGATGGTGACACTGGTGTGAGGATTACTAGGGTATTGGGAGATGTTAACATTGGTGTGAGGATTAGTAGGTGTTTGGAGTATTGGAAGATGGTAACATTGGTGTGAGGATTAGTAGGTTGTAGAAGTATGGGAAGATGGTAACATTGGTGTGAGGATTAGTAGGTTGTATGGGGAGATGTTGAGACTTGTGTGAGGACTAGTAGGTGGTAGGAGTATGGGGAGATGGTGACATTGGTGTGAGGATTAGTAGGTTCAATGGTGAGATGGTGACACTGGTGTGAGGATTAGTAGGTGGTAGGGGTATTGGGAGATGGTGGCATTGGTGGGAGGATTAGTAAGTAATAGAGGTATGGGGAGATGGTGACATTGGTGTGAGGACTAGTAGGTGGTAGAAGTATGGGGAGATGGCGACATTGGTGTGAGGATTAGTAGGTTATATGGGGAGATGGTGACATTGGTGTGAGGATTAGTAGGTGGTAGAAGTATGGGGAGATAGCGACATTGGTGTGATGATTAGTAGGTGATAGGAGTATGGGGAGGTGGTGACATTGGTGTGAGGATTAGTAGGTTCTATGGGGAGATAATGACATTGGTGTGAGGATTAGTAGGTGGTATGGCTATGGGGAGATTGTGACATTGGTGTGAGGATTAGTAGGTTGTATGGGGAGATGGTGACATTGGTGTGAGGATTAGTAGGTGTTCAGGGTATGCGGAGATGGTGACATTGGTGTGAGGATTAGTAGGTGTTTGGGTATGGGGAGATGGCGACATTGGTGTGAGGAATAGTAGGTTATATGGGGAGATGGTGACATTTCTGTGAGGAGTAGTAGGTGATAGGCGTATGGGGAGGTGGTGACATTGGTGTGAGGATTAGTAGGTGGTAGCTGTATCGGGAGATTGTGACATTGGTGTGAAGATTAGTAGGTAGTAGTTGTATCAGGAGATTGTGACATTAGTGTGAGGACTAGTAGGTGTTTGAGTATGGGGAGATGGTGACATTTCTGTGAGGAGTAGTAGGTGATAGGCGTATGGGGAGGTGGTGACACTGGTGTGAGGATTAGTAGGTTATATGGGAGATGGTGACATTGGTGTAAAGATTAGTAGGTGTTTGGGTATGGGGAGATGGTGACATTGGTGTAAGGATTAGAAGGTGGTAGAAGTATGGGGAGATGGTGACATTGGTGTGAGGATTAGTAGGTTATATGGGGAGATGGTGACATTGGTGTAAAGATTAGTAGGTGTTTGGGTACACATTGGTGTAAGGATTAGTAGGTGGTAGAAGTATGGGGAGATGGCGACATTGGTGTGAAGATTAGTAGATTATATGGGGAGGTGGTGACATTGGTGTGAGGATTAGTAGGTGTTTGAGTATGGGGAGATGGTGACATTTCTGTGAGGAGTAGTAGGTGATAGGCGTATGGGGAGGTGGTGACATTGGTGTGAGGATTAGTAGGTGTTCAGGGTATGGAAGATGGTGACATTACTGTGAGAATTAGTAGGTTGTATGGGGAGATGGGTACATTGGTGTGAGGATTAGTAGGTGGTAGCTGTATCGGGAGATTGTGTCATTGGTGTGAAGATTAGTAGGTAGTAGTTGTATCGGGAGATTGTGACATTGGTGTGAGGACTAGTAGGTTGTATCATTAGATTGTGACATTGGTGTGAGGATTAGTAGGTGTTCGGGTATGGGGAGATCGTGACATCAGTGTGTGGATTAGTAGGTAGTAGCTGTATCGGGAGATTGTGACATTGGTGTGAGGATTAGTAGGTGTTCAGGGTATGGAAGATGGTGACATTACTGTGAGAATTAGTAGGTTGTATGGGGAGATGGGTACATTGGTGTGAGGATTAGTAGGTGGTAGCTGTATCGGGAGATTGTGACATTGGTGTGAAGATTAGTAGGTAGTAGTTGTATCGGGAGATTGTGACATTGGTGTGAGGACTAGTAGGTTGTATCATTAGATTGTGACATTGGTGTGAGGATTAGTAGGTGTTCGGGTATGGGGAGATCGTGACATCAGTGTGTGGATTAGTAGGTAGTAGCTGTATCGGGAGATTGTGACATTGGTGTGAAGATTAGTAGGTTGTAGCTGTATCGGGAGATTGTGACATTGGTGTGAGGACTAGTAGGTTGTATCAGGAGATTGTGACATTGGTGTGAAGATTAGTAGGTAGTAGCTGTATCGGGAGATTTTGACATTGGTGTGAAGATTAGTAGGTAGTAGTTGTATCGGGAGATTGTGACATTGGTGTGAGGATTAGGAGATGGTGGCACTGGGATGGCAATATTGTGTCACTAGGAAAAGGAGAAGAAGCAGTCTAAGAGTTTTGTACTTAGAGGTGTTGGCGTGGAAAAGTTAAGTCCTATTTCAAGTAAGCTTTATTTAATGTGTGGAATTATGTTTCAAACCTTATCAAAGGTTAGAAAATATTATATTCAAATATCTCATGTCACAGATTATCTCAAATGTTCTCTCTATCTCTAGCCAGCTACTGTCTCAGACTGCTGGATTAAACATCACTGAAGCTTTTCCTATTGCAAATATGACCCTTACTGTAACATTTCAGAGTCAAATCTTTCCTGCAACTGCTTGCCTAAATCAAAACCTTGAGGTTGGAAATGCAATATTTACCTCAATAATATCCAGTCCATAATTGAATCCACTAAATAAGATGCACACTTGACAAAGTGCAACAAAAAGGCAGAACTTCCTCTCACAATTCCAAACACCAAATATGTACAAAAACAGAGTGTCCAGAATGTCCAGACATTCCTTTTTGTACAGAATAGAATCAGTCTTAGATTAACATCTTTAGGAGTACTTGGGAAAACAGTACCATAATCCCCTGCTCTCTTGAAGCAACAATGTGGCTCATTAAATTAGACAATATCAATATCTATGTTACAAAAAATTAGTAGATCACTGCTGATTTAGGAATAGCGAAAGGTTTTAAATATAAATATTTTTACGTTTTTTTTTGTTTTTTCTCTTTTGTTATGGTTAAGCATCATATCCTTTTTAAAGGTAAGTATCATACTCTAAGACCTGAGTACAGTATGCTATAACTATACGAGACGCTTTCTTTTTTCAGTAAATTGATTTATTATCCAAAAACATTTAATTTCATAAATCAGTTGCTGCTTGTCATTTTGTTAGTAATTTCAATAGAACCCCGCATACTGTGTTAACACTTAAAAGAGAGAAAAAAAGGATTAATTATAACAAACATCAGATTATTGAATCAAACAGTAGTAACGAGACAAACATTCAAATCTCCAAATTTCTTTAACCAGCTGAGCCCATGTAAGCCCCCCTTTTCAATACAGTCTAGTTTCATGATCTACACATTTTTATTTCCCCAAAGGGGTCACATATTCTCCTCCACCCAATCACTGCGAAAAACAGGCAGCAAAACACACATTCCTTTGTGGGGTCATTATCATAAGGAATAGTTGCTCCTCCTTTGTGAATTCTAAGCCTTTCCTATTGAACTGCAAGATCTGCTGTTTTTCTCAACAGATCTCTCTCCTCGCATTGATATTTCTGTGCAAGGAAGGGGTAACACCTTTGGGACTCTCACAAGGACTAAAGAACAAAAACTGTAAGTATTCAGACATCCCTTGCATTGCATGACATTTTATATTTTTAACAGTTTTTAAAAATGATTTTTAGCTTAATTCTCAGAAACATTTTTTCTCCTATTCATAGTTACTGAGGTTTATATCAAAACAGAAATTTGAGAGTAAATATTTTTTTAAGTGCATAATGTTTCACGGTCACTAAGTGTAAGTTACAGGTTGTCATGATTAAAAAAAATGAATTAGATATATATTGAAGAAAAAAAAATACACCATGAAAATACATTCATGCTTGTTCTAAAAGCAGATCATATACCTTAGAATAGTCAAGCATATATGTTTTACATTTTAACAATTGTTTTAATTACATTACATCAGTGGAGTCTGTATAATGCATGTCTCATTTTTATTGTGTTCTTATTGAAATTACTGTATAATAGATGATTTTTTACATGTTCACATTAAAAATATATATTTAGGTACTATTTATGTGCATGATATTATTAAAGTTCTAAAAACTTTATCATGAGTTATAGACGATGCAGCTTAATTTGTTAAATAACTAATTTCTCCTGTTGGCAATTAATTTGGGTAAAATCATATTTTGTGTTAGAGATTCCTTGTACAGTGTTTTGATTGCCCATTGACATGCAACAGTCAATACTGCAGGTTAAGAGGGGGGGGGGGGAGACACAATGTGCTATTTTTAGCAAATGTAATACTGATTCAATTACCTAGCAACACAACAGAAATTATGGTAAAAATCTGCGTATGGAGAGCATAAATTGATGGTTAAACTCAGAAAATAACGCTTGCTGTAATTAACGAAAAGTAATTATTTTAAGCTGTTTTTTGCTTGTGGGTCTGTAGACCAGAGGAATGTGTAAGTTTAGGGGCTCAGTTAAAATTGGGATTATTATATTCCTTGTAACAGCATACATTGCATAGCACCTGTTGTTTTAAGTTAGAATACATACGTAGACTAAAATATTTCTTATATTTTTTAGTATTAAAAAAATTTGAATTAAGGATGATTAACCCAATAAATTAATGTCAGTGTGGAGTAATTTATTAATTTATGTATAACCGTTTAAGAGAGAGGTCATAGCTTACACAAGCTTTAAAAAGATGTGGATATCTGCCTTAGACTGGAGATTTATATGATGTTGGTCATGTGTCATGTGGGATGAATGCGTAAGCAGACAATTTATAGAAAAGCTTAAACGAACACTCCAAGCACCATAACCACTAGCATGCTCTGAAGTTGTTGTGGTGCCAGGAGTGCCTTGGCACCTCCCCCATTGTAAGTAGTCAAAACATTTTAGAATGGTGTGACATCTTACCCGGGGTACACCAGGTGCTGCTCTCGTTTCCTGCACTGCAGGTCTTCTCTCAGAAAGAGCTCTCTGTCAGTAGTAGTGGAGTCAGGGAGCAGCACCCGGCAGATTCCAGGTAAAAAAAGGCAAACCATTATAAAATAATTTGTTTACTCTTAATGGGAACTGTACAAAGTAGTGCTTCTGGTGCTTGGAGTGTTCTTTAATCCTACTGATCAGTAGATGTGGTAATATTTAGTCACCTTACGAATTGTTGGATCTAGATTAAATATTTAATTGCTTGTTTTCTGGGCAGCACATTAATTACTGAGAGGGGTGATGCCACACCACTTTGGGTTTGCTCAAATGACTTACGAAGCCTGGATCACTGTCTCTTGTACAAAATTACCATCTTCCTGCCCTAATAAAGTGAGTTGGGGAATGATCCGTCAATGTTCTTAGAGTGGAATCCAACCATTGTCATAATTGGCAGTAAGTCACACAAACTGTACAGCATAAACAACTGCCCCCGGTCCCAGGAGGTGTATCCCGTGAGATGGGGGAGGAAATGGGGAGCTGTATTCATTGTGGTCAATGCTTAGGTGGAACATTGGCTGCAGGATATAGGCACACCCATGCAAACACCACCTTCTCAGAAGTGAATACGGGCACCCAAGAGGCTGCGATTGGGGACATAGTACAAAATAAAAGTATAAAATATAGGACATAGTATAGAAGTGGGAAAAGGGTGAAGAAGAATATGATGTGTATAATTGGGAAGTGGGAATAAAGGTCTAATTGTTCATTTTTGTTAATAGCTTTTAGACAAAGATTGGGAATTTACAGGTCCGGTAGCTTACAACGTGAGTCATGAAGCAAAGTACAGCAACAGGAATCCAAGGGGTGACAAATAGACATAGGAGTACATGATAGCACAGGGGTTTGGTTATAATTGTAAAGTCAAGCGTTAACTCTGTAACTGGACCATAAAGAGTTGCCCTTTAATCTTTCTTTGTAATCCTGAACTTGGACCCAATTTCGCACCATCTGCAATGTTAGTCCTTAACCTGTGCTCTGAAATCTGGACTTCCTTGATAATATTTTCCTAGCACTGGGTGTCTCTGTGATGGGCATGCAAGTATCATTCTGCTAAATTAAGTGTATGGTTAGATTTTATGGGGCTTGTATTGAAGGCACTTGTGAGTATTTATCTTCATATGTCATTGCAGTGTCCCATGGGAAATGTTATCTGGCCCATTAATGTCCTAATTCCAGCAGACCCTGTTTAAAATACAGTACCGAGCTGTAAAGGAGCATACCTGACCGTAACAAAAAATAAATCTTTATTGTAAATATTCAATACATCAAATAACTAACAAAATATTAAAAAAAGAGTAATTGCCAACCCCTTATTTGGTTGGCAATTATGGATCATATAGATACGACTCGAGAAAAGAAAAAGCTTTATACAATACATACAATAATATACATCACCCAAATAACAATAAAAGAAAAGTCAATAAACAAAGCAAAATAAGAGAAATTAAAATGTCAAAAACATGTACTAATGATACATACACTAATGTACAGAAAAAATGATACATACCAAATAAGAATATCAACAGAAAAGAGAGAAATACCACAGGTCACAAAAGATCAGAATGATAGAACCAACATTTTGGCGAAGAAGCCTTTGTCAAGGGAGCACAGCACGTACCATGGCATGCTAACTATAATTATAGTGCTTGATGGAAATATTTCACTCACACCCCCCGACAAGCATAAAAAAATAAAACACAAACCCACTCATGATGTAGCATCTTCCAGTGCAGATCTGCAGAATGGACTTGGGTTGGCATGAGGTGAGACACCAGGAGGTGATATTAATGCTTTATATCACTGTAAAACACACAGGACTGCGGTCAAGCTGTGTAGCAAATCTATAGGCAGTAGCATACTTCCATGAACCTTTCTACCTACACAAACTTTAGACATCTTGTGATTAAGGAAGACAAGTAAGAGGCCTCATTGCAAATAAATAAATAAATAAAACCTTTAACTTAGGATAAAGAATTCAAATAACATTTTTATTAAATGGGCAGTATTGGCACCGTAACCACTACAGTGCCAGAATTCCCCTGGTGCTGTACCATGGTAAGCAGTTAAAATGTTTATGAACACTTTGACAATTACCTTCCCCAGGTTCCTCTGGTCCAAGCCTCCTCTTCTGCTATATGTAAAATGCAAATTCCCCTTACGGATTCAATGTTTTCATTTTGTCTCTATTTGAACAGGATTTGACGGCAGAGAGTGTCAGCTGATGCTCTCAGCCAATGACTTTCATACAAACATGAGTAGAATTTACATAATTAATGAAGTAGTTACTTCCACATTTGCATTTTCAGAAAAAAGAGAAAAGTCTGAAGATGCCCAGGGTATCGAGATGTGTGTTAAACCATTCAAAAAGATTTACCTACTTATTCTGGGAATGTGCCAGGGGACATCTGTCATCATATCCACGACAATGCACTGTAGTGGATATGGTGTCTAGACTGAGCCTTTAAGATGACACTGTCACCATGTTTAGACATTGTGGTTTCGGGTTAGAGCTGCTCCTGCTCCTCATAGAAAATTATCCTGTTTAAAAGCCTCAAACGGAACCATACCATATCATATGGGCCACCAACCGGGAGCTGATTGCAGGGGCTACACGCTGGCACCAAACATGCAATATAACCTGCAGGAACCCCAGAAGGAAACACCATGGCCTACAAGCATAGTCCCCCGTCGCCTTCACCTGCTGACATCTTGAATATGGGCCCTCGTTCCCCCCCCCAGACTGGTGGGTTTTATCCTGGTCCCAGTAGTGCACCCTTCGGCGCTGTGGCTGCAAACCCTGCCAAGTCCTGCTAGCCCCAAAATGGCGGCCACCGTCCCAGGGCCATTCGTCGCAACAGAAGACCCTGACCTTTTGGCACTGCTGGATGCCATATTCAAGGCCTTTTGAGACAAACTAGAAGAGACTGAAGATAAAGCTGATCGATGCTAGACATTTCAAACCTTGTTCCTCTATATACAGCGATACTAAGAAAAATGTCCCATATAAGTTTGTCCTCCCATATTCTCTCCAAACTGTCAATACATTTAATCCGACTTATTCACATACAAGCCTTGTTTCGTAGTTGACATGTTAGTCTACCTCTTGCTCATTCTACTATTATATAAAATGTGCAATGTTACTGGATGCCAACAAATGTCTTTAAATGTTGATAAATATGCTAGCAATAGCTGTTGCAGCATCACTGGCCTTATTGTATTTTCTATGCACCACAAAATAAAGAATTTTTTTTCAAAATTAATAATAAAATGTACAACATTGTTTAAAAAAAAAAAAAGACGGGTTTTGCCTTCCAGATAATTTTGTGCATAAATAAATGCATGCTGTTTTTTCTTTTTTTTTTTTTTTAGGGGCTGTGACATACACTGCTACACTGTTCAGAACAGGTATGTACACTGCGTTTGCATAACATTAAATTATAATTCTCTGTATTCACTGAAAAAGAATCTTAACAGCTCGCACTATGGTTAGTTCCCACTACAGAAGGAATCAGTACATTTGCATTCTGAGTGGCTCTACTCACATGAGTAGTCCAGAACCTGTAGAAGGAGGGAAGAAAGAAGTCATCAGATCTCCATGTGTACACTTTAATTTGGTTTATTTAGATAGTCAGGTATACACACTGAGAATATGCAAAAATTAATTAGTAACCTAAAATGGGATAAAACACACAGACGACTCTAACACAGAAAATCAAATCCAGCCAACTTAAGCTTTTTATAATAAAAGAACAGTTTCATTGTGTTACAATTTTTCCCTAAGCACAATGAACCTCTATTCACACCTTCAACTGCAGTTGTTCAATGGATGTAATGAAGATGAATTCAGCACAATAATGACATCAAATTAGACCAAATGTTATCTTGAATTACCGGTACTATTTTCTAAATATATAATGTGCATATTTTACAGAGATATATAAAAAAAAAAAAAAACAATGTTGACATATACTATACATGACTGATTAATCCCAGTAAGTGGTTTACATTCTTTTTGCCTTCAAAATTGAATATGTTTGATTTGAACATAGATTACGATTGCCAGGAAAATAATTAAAGTGATATTGTATCAGTCTTGTAATTGTCAAGATCAAGTATCAAAATCTTAGTAACGCCTCTCAATTTGCTATGAATTAAGTTTGTTGGCCCAATCCATCAATCCAAGACTATGATAATATGTTTAATTGTTTTTGTTGGGTTTTTTCCCGGAGGAGTATTTCAACATGAAATTAATGGTTCAATCACGTACACGTAGGATGTTAATTTATACCCACAGGGCTATTTATTTAATACGTTATGTTTTGGGGGGCGGGGAGGTCTTCCACTTACAATTTAATTATTCTGTAACAGTTTTTTCTAGACCAATATTATTCTAGATATCTCTTTGGATATATCAAGTAGAAGTCTGCATCCAAGGAATCGTTCCATCTTAAACTGTGCAAAAACATTGTGTGGTATGGTTATTAGAATGAAATCTGCTCATAAATTGCTGCCAAATTGTTTCATAGCATATGTCTATCATATATTTGTAAATAAGATGTCTCTTAGTTGGATGAATGCCCAATGGCTCTGTATCTACAATCCAGATTCTACCAGCAGTGTCTGGAAAATGGAATGGAATCAGTATAAAAACATGAAAAGGAAAAATGTATATCTTTCACAGTCCACTTGTCTGCCAAGACATTATTTTTATATGATTTATGTGTTCCATTCTTCAAGAGCCGCTTTTCCTTGTTGTATTATCACTTTTCCATCAGCTATTTCTCTTTTTGGGTTCCACCACATGGACTTTTATTTCCCATCCTTTTTTTCTCCTCCAGGGCCGTGTTCTGTCTTATCACGTTCTTAATAAATGGCTATAAGTTTAACAACTTTTTATGGTATGAAATGTACACACACACACACACAAAAAATGATGGCCCAAATCATCTTTCTTTACTCAGACATTATACTTCCAATCTTGGTTCAATCGTAGGTGTGTGACGGTAAGAAGCTCTCTCTCTCTCTTAATGTTATGGTAGAACATTTGTCCTAGTTCTCCCCCAACTAGGCCCAATGAATGGCAAATGGATCGGCTTCCAACTTTAGCAGCACTGCAGAAGCAGGAAGTTTGTTACCCAGGAGGAAAGATACCCTTGGAGCTCATTGGGAACCTAAATAAGAGGACAAAACATTACTTAAAGGGAAACTGTAGTGACAAAACTGTATTCTTGGCTCTACCACTCTCCCTGCCTCCCCCCTCCCTCGTGCCCACATTCCCCGGTAAATAAAGGGTTAAAACCCATTATTTACTTACCTTTTCCCAGCACCAATGTCGCTCGGTGCTGGGTTGACGCTCCGCCCCCTCCCCTGTCCCGTGACGAGTGGGGTCTAATGCGCATGCACGGCAAAGCATTGAATCACTGTTTTCCTATGGGGGGAAATCTGACGCTGGAGGTCCTCATGCAAAGCGTGAGGACGTCCGGCGTCAGATAACAGACCAAAGGTCCGTTTCAGTTCAGAAAGCCCTCTAGTGGCTGTAAGCTGCAATTCCAATTTACATGGAACTGCAGTGCTTATAATTGCAGTACGAAGTGCAAAGGGGACAGTGCATCCAGGCCACTTAAATTAGCTGAAGTGGTCTGTGTGCCTATAGTGTCCCATTAAATGGTTTGCCACATACTGTTGACCTAGGCCAGGGTTGTGGCATAACACTACAGCAGGCTAGTTATGATGCTTTGTGTAACCCTTTACACTCCCAAGCCCCATCAGGATGGCACTTAGAAGCAATACAGTTCTATTTCCCACCACATCCATTGGAATCACAGTTTGTAAGTTCAAAGTTGAAGGAACTGTGGTTGCACTACCTGCAAGGGGCAGAAAATGCACACAACTAGACCTTTAGTGTAACATTTTAGAATGCACGTAACATTCTTAGACTTCATTAGAAAGCCCTATAATGGAGGTTGTGAAGGAAGACTAATGTCTTTTCCAATAACATTTCGGGAGTTAGTCAGAGTGTCTGGCACACTAATTAATGCATTAAGAATCTTACATCTTGAATGATCTTTGTTTCCATACAATACATTTCACTTCAAAATGATGAAAATATTCCTTCTTTTATTCGAGGTTCCCCTGTTCACTTTATAACTGCTGAGAATAAATTGAGATACTTTATAAAGACTTGTATGCAGATAGTTTATTAAAATCAATAGTAAATGGGCACTCGGAGCACCATAACCACCGCAGATCATTACAGTGCTTATGGTGTCTTTGGATGACATCTCCACAGTTATAGTCAAACCAGTTTGTATAAAAACAATGACCATAACATCATCTATTCTAAAGCTCTTCATACTCTCTTGTGGCTCAGTGGATTTATGCATTAGTGCCACCAACTCTGAATAGCTTCGAAAGTCTAACAGCAAACAGGAAAAAAATGGAGGAACTGTATCCAAAGACTACCTAAACCATAACCACTGTATTGGAGGCCCTCTGTGCCCCGCTCTTAGACAAGTCAAAGGAAGTATTTTGTTTGCTCAGGAATAGCAAATCGGCAAAGCACATTAGCATAAAAGTTTCATACTCGTACTGGAAAACTAAATTAGCAAATAAAAATTGACATTGTGCGATAACGTATATCAGGGCTCAAAACGTGCCCATGGCTGGTAAAGGAGTGGAAATATATGAATAACATACGTGTAAGAAATAAAAGCATTTATTTTGGGGAGGGGGACTATCCACAAAAAAGTTAACTGATGGGAGAACAGCTGTAGTAAAAAAAAAAAAAATAAATAAAAATAGCATTGTAAAAAGAAATAAAAAGTAAATGAACCTTAATTTCACAAAATCTATTTTACATTCCCCAAAATTAACTTTTTTTGTTAGGAAAAAAAATGCATAGGGACTTATCAAAACTCTCATGATAATCGTAAGGCAGAGAAGCATTTTATTAATTTTAAAAGAAAGGGGCCAATATTATTGACCAGCTGTTATGGATTTTACTAACCGACCACAAGAATGTTGAAAAGAAGGGATCATTGAGTTTAACATCTGGAATAAAGTAGATCTGTCTGTGAACTGTTTCCATAAGGGATCAGAGTTTTTAAATGCAAAATCCATATTACAGAGGTGTACATTGTATCCATACGTTCATGTAGACCACTGAGATTGAGATATAGCTCAATGTTTAGAACTCCAACTGCAATGTTTCCGGTACCTGTTGGAACCACAGGTTCTGCTCCCAGCAGGGCCAAATCACCCTTTTATCCACCCGAGGTTGATAAAATAATTACCTTTCATTAGGGGAATAATAATCTCAAAATACTTACATGGTTATTCTCTAGAGTGAGAATTGCTAAGAATTCAAAGTGAATTTCAAAATTTAGGCCAAAATTGTTGACTTAGAAGAAATCTCCAAATAAATTCTGTTTTTCATTTTAGCACTTAGGTCTAACTTTGAAATACCCCTGAAAGACTCATTCGAAAACCATGAAAAGCTGAGTTTGCCCTTTGGATTACATGACTTGATATTATAATAAGCTAAATAAATAAATAAATAACCTTTCTCCCAACTGTTCTCAATCTAGAAGGACTTTCCTATTTGGGACTCCTATCCCTCCATCTTGTTGTTTTTTTTCTTTCTTTCTGTAGACATCAGAGAACCTCCCAAAAATATTTCTGGTAGTTAAAGTGCTGCTTGTGAAAGGGTGTACTACTTGTCACTAGTGATAAACATCACATCACTGGTATTCTCACAATATGTACCTCTTTTGTCCCAATTTCTTACCTTCCAATGTTGTAAGGCACGTAGAATGCACCTCGTACTGTTTTATTTATTTATAACGCAGAATCCATCACACTACACTCATTTAATAAAGACCAGGTTCGAAGCTCACAAAATTTTAGTATTTAAAAAATCTGATTTGCCAAAACTAATGGGGATTCAGTTACAATAAATAATGATCCATTGGAGCCTTCGACAACGCTAGACATACAATATGTATGAATTCAAGAGGGCTACACAAACATAAACATGCATACATTATAAGGTTGAATGTAAGGTGAGTCCTGCCTTCTTGGTTTCATATATGTATATATATTGTAAATGTATTTTTTTATTTTTTTTGTGGATATTCATTATCTGGTCTTCTTAATTTGCTATAATGCTTACAAATTACTGTACTAAAATGCAGTAATTGATTAAATAAGAATGTATCATTCATTGAACATTTTTCTATATAAGCTTTCTAGCTGTGGTCTTGAGTGCGTCCTTTATTTCTTTCAACTCCCCACAACCATATTTAATTGCTTATGGTAGACGGCAATTTGAACATCTGTCAAGATTAGGTAGAACGAACAGTGAACTTGACAGCATTATTACGTCTTTTTTTTTCTTCTATCGTTTTTTTTCTCCCCTTTTTGTATTTAGACATGTTTTTGCATCCACTTCATGAAGAAGTAATTAAAACGTTGAGTCCATGCTTGGATGGAGAAGGAGGACATATCCGTTCTGTCTGCAATTAAAATAGTTAACTAGTGGGGGTTTTTTCACTACAAGCGTTTTGGCGTCCTCCGTTCATCAGAGATCTTGTACACTTCTTAGGAAAACAGTCTGTAATTATGGCTACTTCATACTTTTTCAAACTCTCCAAGCATTATTAATTTCTTTGGGAGGAAATAAAAAGTACGGCACCATTACGATGAAACTTATACAAACCTAAGCCCTTAATTTAAAGTTGCTAGATAATGATTAAATATTTTTGGATAAACGTTTTAAATTATTTATTATTGTAATGAAAAATATTTTACGTTTGTAATACTTTGACAACTTTTATAAATGATATATTTTTCTTGATGTAGTAAAAAAAAAAATTCAAACGTTTATCCAAAATACTAAATCATATGAAAAGCTTATCCAAGAATATTAAATTAAGCCTTAGTTATAAAATATTTCATATTTTTTCATAGAGATAGTTTTTGGCACATACGGTGATTGTGACAAACGCTCCTTCCCAGGTACGTTTGCCATGGACTCCTGGAGGAGCCAGCTGGCTAGCCTCCTGCTGGAAGGACTATGGGTCATGTAAAAGACATGTTAAATGGCTTGGTTCATGTAATTTCCCTATACCGTTCGGGAACCGAACAACTGCATGTACCAGGGACTAAAATCGGACACTGAAATTCCCGAACACCCTGGACTTCCATAATCGAGTGCGTTCGTTTCTGGAAGGGCACTGTTCGGTGGAATCGTTCGCATAGATGAGGTGAACAAGCTGCACATTATAATTATTATTATTTTATTATTTATAGAGCGTCAGCAAATTCCGTAGCGCTGTACAATGGGATGGATTATGTTCGGTATTTTATTCACTTGGGTACTCCTGAAAGAGACCGATCGCTCTGTTGAGCAATCACATGGCCACAGGGGTCCTAATCCACCACGGGGAGACTGTCTGGGCTGCAGGCAGTCTCCCCACACCGGGAGCACCGCCGATCGCCGCTAGTATGGTTCAGGACCGTCACCGGTCGGCAATGCAAAAATGCAGATGACAGTCCTGAACCGTCCTCGGTCCTTAAGTGGTTAAAACATTCCAGTTGTACTCCCAGAACTATGTGTCGTCTGGTTACTGGAAGGGAAAAGGGCTAATCACTGTTCCAGCTTGTTCCAGCTCTTGGAGGAGGATTCAGCGGGGAAAGTCCTTGTAAGGACTAGTGCTCCCAGGACTGTGTGTCGTCCAGTCCTTGGGAGGGAATAAAGCTAGTCCCCTGTTCCAGTTAGGAAGCGGTCCTTGGTGGAGGTACTCAGCTGGGGTACAGGGAGCTCTGCTACAGCGATATTTGGTGATTTAGACACTACGGTTACTCTAAACACACTTTACATTTTGTCTCAAGAATTGTGGTAACTCAGAATTCTAAATGCAACATTTTGGCCAAAATAGCCAAGCCATAAAACCAGACGAACTGCAGAATTTTTTTCTACAATTTGTCAATTTGAGATTCAAGTAGAACTTGAATATTATAGTCTGAATTTATGTTTTTCAATTCACTACAATTTACCATTTAGTGAATAGCCCCTAACATGTTATAGATCCATTTGTCAATTATAATAAAAACACGTTTCCTTTAGATTACAATTCTTGGTCAGGTCTACTTTGCCTTTGAGATTTATGCACTAAACAGTGAAACTGGGCCAGTAATCCATAGATTGCAACATTTAGGGAAAATTAGTCAAGTTGCAAAAAAAAAATACCCTTTATAGTTACTATGTAACTATGGCCAGGTTGCTGAATGCCCTGTGTTTATGAAACAGAACATATTTAATAAGCAATTCATCATTCTCAATATTTTATGTGGGTTTTTTTTGTTGTTTTATTTTGCACTGAAAATATGTTTTTAACGTTAAAGCCACAAGCATGTTACAAAGATTGCATTTATGCTAGGTAGTAGCTATTGCTAATTGTTGAATGCCAAGTTTAAGAAATATCCCCACGTACATTTGCTAAACAATACTCTTGGTAACAAACTGTAATGATTTTGAAATGTGTTTTTTTTTTTGTTTGTTATTTTTTCTTTTTAATTTACCTACCTGTCTGTCTATGCTCCCTTCACAGAGACAGCCATGAAAAAGCTAATTGTTCTTCTGGTTGGTGTAACGGTCCTTTTCCTGGGATATGGAGGTTGGTATGATGATAATTGCTGATTGTATAACACATGTACATCATGACAAATTTAAAGCCCTCCCATGTTCCTTTAAAATATTACAGCAAAGTAAAATTTTTTGCATTTTCATGTAACGGTTATGTAAAAGGCAGGAAACCATAATATATATATATTTTTTATTTTATTTTTTTTTATGGTTTGAATGTATGTTGGATATCATTCAAACACATCCAAATTCCAAATCAGGAATATGTTTATCGACTGGGAAGTCAGCAGGAACAAATCTGATACTGGCTCTTAGCCAGTTTTTTTTTCTTTATATTTTAATAATAAGAAAAATGCTTAAAAATTTAAAATTATACAATTGGAGGTTTTTTTTCCGTTAATCTTAATCTCCCGATAAAATGAAATGCATATTTAAAGATGTTCGTATGTAGTGCTGTATCAGGTTTACATTGTTGCTAGGTAAAATGCTAATATCCTTAGTTACTAAGAAAGGTCACATGATATTGGCACATTCACTGCGGTGGAATATCTAAGCTAATCTACCTGAAAACATTGTGGGGGTGCACAATAAGACATCATTCCTAATGTTAACAGTTAACACCCAATTTAAAATTAGATTTTTCAATATGTATCCTGTATAGAGATTTTACTAATAATTGTAACAATTCTGTACACATGACTTGCTTTGACTACACAATCATCTATTCACACTGACTGCAGAATTGTATTTTTCACAGGAAATAAGTAAAACAATAAACCGAGAGCCGTGTTAATGCCATGTTAGTGCTTTCACAGTATGTCCCATTACGCCATAGTTTGAGAGGCACATAGTGGGTTTTCTCTCTCTGAATCCGTCCAAAAACACAGCATTGATTGGCATCCACTCCCAACACTCCGACCGCCCAGATTATGCAGAATATGTTGTGTAGAGGTTCAGCCAGCAGATATATAGTTGACCCTGTCTAACGGTATCACATAAACATGTAGAAACGTAAACTGATATTCTTTTTTGGTCTTTATTTTTCAGGTTCCAAGCTATATTTATATTTTATCATTATTTTGTAGAGATTATCAATAACATTTTGCACAAATATGTTTACATTAAAGGAACACTATAGGGTCAGGAACACAAACATGCATTCCTGACCCTATAGTGTTTAACCCACCATTTAGGTGGCTTGCCCCCCCTTAGCCCCTATAGAAAATTTTAAAACTCACCTTATTTCCAGCCCCACCCTGATCTACATCCTAGTTAACACCATCAGAATGTCCGCTATTTAGCCAATCCAATGACAGCTCAGCTCGTGGTCTTTGCCCACCCCCTCTCCTCTGCTGACAGGCAGAAGAGAGAAAGTGCACACACAGTGCCTTCTCTCTCCTGCACACGTCAGACGTATTTCAATACGTCTGACGTGTACAAAGCCTTTTTAGGGCCCTACATGATAGGTAGTCTCTCTAGTGGCTGTCTGAGTGACGGCCACTGGAGGTATTCCTATCAATCAATGTAAACACTGTATTTTCCCTGAAAATACAGTGTTTACATTAGATTGCCTGCAGGGAGCTATAGATCATACCTGAACAACTACATTAAGCTGTAGATGTTCAGGTGACTATAGTGTCCCTTTAAGTCTTCCTGATGGAAGCTTTGATCATTGAGCAGAGGTACAGAGCAGGTTGATCAGGTGCCTGCTTGAAGATCTTGGGGTTAATTCATTCATTAATGGTTTAACCCCTTCAGGTAAGCCAGTGCTCAGGACATCTGCACACCATAACAACTTTATTGTGGTAAAGTTATGGTGCCTGGAGTGTCCCTTTATGCATTTTTGACAAGCAGCTAGCCACTGGGTCACCAAGAGACAGGGGACCATCAGCACTGCTTTCCCTCTCCTCTGCTCGGCTGCTGTACAGATAAGAAATTGCTGTGTTGGGTGTTAGACTGTATGTTCTGTCTCAGCCCATCACTGGTCGTACATTGCGAGTCGCTGTATGTGCTGTACTCACAATGGGCAGCCAGTGATAGGTTGGCAGCATCAACTGACAGACTATCACCAGCACCCAAAGTTACAATTCTTTATTCATATGGCTTTTGAGTTAAACTATTCAAAAACAGTTTCATACCATAAGATAAAGCAGCACACAGGGACTGCAGCCTCCTTAAAAAACCTAATTAATATAAAGTTATTTTGAGGGTGTTGAGTCCCAATGAAGCAACAACTATGATCCACATGACCATCCCACCTGTTATGTATCTATAATACAAAGACACCATTCAATAGACTTAGTATACATGTTATTTGGCTGAATATAGGTGATGCACACATGCACAGAACGTACCTTCCAGTTGTGGTTACTGTAGCGATGACTTAGAACGTTACCTTTTTGCTGCTGTATATTTGAGCTCCTAACCAATAAATACCAGGATACAGACAGTATCTGTAGGTGCGGACAATAGCAGCATTATGCCACAACTCATGGGCCTGAAAGTATAAAGCCTGGCTGTTAATAATAAAACCAACTTGGAAACAAGCCCATAATGGGGTTTTTTGGCCAATGTTGTGTAGAAACTTGTGTAACCTAGAACGTTGTGTAGCCTCATGAATTCAGTGTTATGTGATTTCCAATAGACTAGGTAAATTACTAATCCATCCCTATCGCTCGTAAACCATCATTGCCAGTAAGGTTGGTCAGTTTTTAGATTGATAATGGAGAAATTAAATGAAATAGTTGCTATGGTGAATAGAGCATCCCAGGATGGTCCAGAGGTTAGTACCCATGTAAAAACCCAGTCTGTAGATGTGTCACTATTGACATCAATGTGAAGCGCCTACTGCAGTGTATGATTCTAGAAATGCAAGCAATATACTTCTAATACCAAAGAAATACACGCTTGCTAAGCTAAAACATTCCTGAGTATGCGTGTCGGTCTATACCTGGTCAAATTTACCTATCCAACCCTGCAGCAAAGAGTGTCTTGAAAAACTATTGCAATTAACAAACAAAAGCACAAATAGTCCTGTCCACCTTGTACTTACCTGTTGGACATATAGAGGTGATTTACCTGGTCTGGACAACCCTCAGTATAGAATATTACTGATTAAAATTGGGTGGAATGATTGGGACAATTAATCCAAACCCTAAATAGAGCCCAGCATCCCACAGTCAAGGGGTCCTCGCCCCAATAATTTGACCTTCAGCCCTGCCTAGACCAATGGTAACAAGTTTTTACATTATACTATCAGCACTGAGTAAATTACCAGCAGAGAGAATAATCAAGTTATCAGGTTAGCCTAACGTGAATTAGATCCCATCAGGCAATAAGAAACATTACTTACATGTTATCCCCTCCCTGGGAAACAAACTAACGTTAAGCTACGATTTTGACACGGCACTACATATTGAACTTTATTAATGCAAACATGTTTTTTTATAACAGATTCTATTTAACATGTCTTAAAATAGCTTTAAACGTTTCTAAATGAAAAGAGTGTTAAGTCAGAGTATAAAGTGTAATTATTTTTCATAATGTGTTCAGCATCCTGCCAAAAGTCTTTTTTAATGTGTGTTGTTGAAATTAGATAAATAAAAAATATTTTTTTAAAAAAATTGCTACATTAAGCTATGTGTTTTTACTACACAGTAAAGTAGGTGTGTGGTTTTTGTGTGTGTCACATTTTTTGGGAGAAACTAAATAAATTTTTTGCTACAAATTATTCATTTTAAGACAAGCTCCTAAAAGACTTCCTTATTAAATCTGTTGGTAAAATTAGGTGACTAATTATGTATTTTATAACTATATAAATACATGTTGCACTGTAAAGTGCACACATTATAATGAATAGAGAGATGACTGAATGTATAGATAAAACATCAAATGCAATTTTCAAATAAAATACGAAGTTTGCATTAATAGTCCATTCCGAACAGTACTTTATACAACTGCCCAATTATTTATGGTTCTATAAAGGATGTCAACTGAAATAAAGGCCAAGTAGATCTCTTGCCAGACGCCTCCTGTGAGGCAACGGGGCACCTGACAGCTTCAATACGGACACTTGTTTGCTTGGAATAGTCCCTAGCAATGCTTCACAATTTTGCTCAAAAGAACCTTTATAGATGGGAACCGTTTGAAAAGTTAACAAGATGAGGCAGTTTTTGAACAGTAGACTCCAGCTGAGAGACGGTAAAAAAAGAAGAAATAATTGTTTTACAGTGCTTCCAAGTTTAGCTGTAGATTAGAAAAGTAAAAAAACAAAAAAAAACACATACAACACACACACACACACACAAAAATAAAAAAATAAAATTAGAAGTTTAAGATTTTAAACTGGGAAGGGTAAGAATCTGTACAAAACATTTCCTTATTTTGATGTCACTCTCAGGGCAAGTACAGTCTCACGACAATAGTGTCTTTCTTCACTACCCAGAATGCTCTTTTAGAATGTTAACCTTTTTGTCTTTGCGTGCTAGTCCCAGGGAATTCTCAAGCACAGCACAAAGGGTCTTATACATATACCACTTCTAAGGGTACCCTTAAAAGTCGCCTGTTTTTCCGTGCCTATAAAATGCATACTAATATCTATGATGAAAACACAAGGGGTACTGTGTTGTTGAAGCTTGAATGTTGTCACGTTGCTTTTTAAAAATTGTTTCAAAGTTTCACAGTTTCAAAGCTTCCATAGACTTCTTGGAAAAGTTTTGTGAAATGTTCTCAAACTTATTTTTTTGTTGTTTAAGGCGCTGAAGAAAATCAAGAATTTATACATAAGGTGAGATTAATTCTAAGCATGATTCAAATTAATTAATCCTTAAATTAATATAAAATATCTCGATCCATTGAATATGATTGATGTGCTTTGTGATACACTGAACTACATTGAGACATAAACCCCCCAAGCAATTCTTCTATGATAAAAACACAGACATTAGCACTGGACTCAAACTCCCATTACTTTGGAATTCATCAGCTCAAATGTATAGCAAAACCAAACCAAGTAAAGTTGCCAGCACGCTGCAGTGGCAGTTGAAGTGGTACTAGAATTTTCTGTTATTTACAGGAGCAATCTAATTTGAAAAAATAAATATATATATATATATATATATTATTATTTTTATTAGATGTGTATCTTATATTTAGTATACTGGTGTATACCAGTATAGTGAGAAAAAATTGTTTGGAAAATATCAGTTTGCCGTACTCCCTCCAACTGCCAGACGGGGGAGAGACCGTCCAGAAGACTACCCTGAAAAAGTTTGTGAAAACCCTGGACGTGTTTCGCACCTTCCTTGGTTCTTTCTCAACAATAATACCATACATCCTAGTTTAGTGAGGAAGCATTCCGAGAAACCTGTATATGTCTCAAAGGTACAGACTCTGTTTACCGTAATTCCATCGGCACCAATGACAACTGGTGCATGAGATGAATGTCTTGATCGTGTCCCATCTGATGCCTTAGCCACCTTGAAGCACCTTTCAGAGCACCAAAATTGCTCATTATAGTCTAGATCAGTGGTCCCCAGCCCAGTCCTCATGGACCACCAACAGTCCAGGTTTTGCCAGTATCTCTATTTGAATAAAAAAGGGAAATAAACAAATCCTGGTCTGTTGGTGGGCCATGAGGACTGGGTTGGAGACCACTGGTCTAGATAATTGTCATTCCAATATACTGCAGTCTCCCGGGGAATATCTCGGTGGGGAAAGCTTTGCTTGCAGAGCACTCAGGTCGCATGCTATCAACCCATGCACAAACCCATGCAGATCTCACCGCAGAATTCAAGCTGATCACCCCACCTCAGGACAAGAAGGCATCAACTTCCAGGAATATTCACTAAAGTGAGAATTTCAAGTGAAATCAATGTGAATTTTAAATTCAAGGTAAAAATAGTCCAACTGGGATCATTCTATAAGTCAGCTATGCTTCCAATTCAGTCAAAAGATCTGTTTTTTGGAGCAACAGCTCTGAGGGGTGCCTGTAACTGCACTTCCCTGAATAAAGTGGTAAGGCTTTTTCCCCTTGGGTATTATTGTACTTAATTAATTTTTAATCCTGATCCTGGGGACCTCTGGTAGTGGCAGAAACAACAGAGGGAGAACCTCTGCTTTTATAGCCAACATATTATTATGAATATCTGCTAGTTATCTCTTCGACTGGAGACTGCATCAAGAGATCAGACAAGAGATCAGAACAAAATATAACTTTTTTGGCTGCTATTTATACTTTGGCTCCTTACATCAATGTAGATACGCCAAGACAGCTAGCAATACCCAATGGTTTCATAATCTAATGGTAACTAAACCTGAAACTTTGTGTCACTAAAACCCAACTTAGTGGATCCTACTGCTGACTAGGCATGTTACAAAACCGCAATGTATTTGCATAAGGTATGGGCACCATTTACAAATATAATTATTTCCTTAATATATTCTTAATATATTCTTAATATGTTATAGCACAATATATTTGCACTTATATTTTTAATATACTCTTATATTTGCTTGCGGCATTAGAAAATGCTTAGAACACCTGGGTACAAATATAGGTCCTCAAGCGAAGATTAAATGAAGACCTAAAATGTGCTATTATAAATAAATGTAATGTATAAATAAATGTATTTTTGCTTGTAGTCCTTGCTATTCAAGCAAAGCGTTGACGTTCACAAGATGAATAGATCAAAAGACAAACGGAAACAATAGGAAGTGAATTATTGATTGACATGCAAAATCAAGTTTATACAGTGGCATACCAACGCTAAACGAAAAAAATCGCCTTGGAATGAAGTTAATAAAAAGACTTTGTGTTGTGCTTGACCAAACAGGAGCTTTAAAAAAAAAAGTTTGATTCAACCTTGTGTCTTCAACAAAAACCAAAAACATGACATTATACAATTATTCCTGTAAGTTTTCTTGTAATTGTCCTATTTATTGTTACATCCCCCTCTCAAAATATTGTAAAGCGCTACGGAATCTGCTGGCGCTATATAAATGGCAATAATAATAATAATAATAATAATACAATTATACAGACATAAAATTAGCGTGCGTTTCAACATTCTCAGTTGCATTAGTGCATAATCCAAAGACACTCTGATTGCTAAAGTCCTCCCTAACCATCCAGAGTATTACACCGGGGTAGGAAACGTTTTGCACTCCAGATGTTATGAACTACATCTCCCATGATGCTCTGCCAGAATTATGGCTGTAAGAATATAAATGGAAGATATAGTCCACAACATCTGCTAGGGTTGCCTACCGCTGTACTATTGTGTAAAAAAAAAAAAAAGTGCGCTATGCCTTTAAATACTTAAAGAAGTTTACACATATGCATATTTTGCATAGATATATATATATACGGTTCAAAAATAGTGAAGGTGCAGTATAGTGCACCAACTAAAGTGCTATAGTAGTGCAGGTTTGTACAAAACATTTTCACACACTTTGTGCACTCTGTGATAAAATTAATAAAAATAGAGCACTTACTCCTTTATAAGTAGAGAAAGGGATTTAGGCAATATAACGTTCCAAATTTGGATAATGTAGTTCAGAACATAAATAGGAAAAAAAAAGAGAAACAGGGGGGAAATAATAGTGGAACTTTGTGCAAAAAGCTTATAATACAAAGAAAAAATAATTTTTTTTTTTATTTTTTTTATTTTTTTATTATTAGACATAAGACCGGCTATAGGGTATCAATATCCAACCGAATGTACCATCGTAATCTATATCAGCAAATATGTTGAGACCTTGGTTCCCCCATAGTCATGCCTTCTAAAACTAAACATATAAAACATACAAAACAATCTACTCCTTCAAACAGTGCACCAAAGCCATTAGAGAATATCTGATGAACGTTTCTAACTTTAAGGACCAGTTTTATTTTTTATACTCTACATTATTGGTTAATGGAAATACAAAAAGAAAATTAGGCAACTCGCAAGAGTAGAGCAAAGGTTGGAAGGTTCACAAAGTGTGTGAAAATATTTTGTATAAACCTGCACTATTATAGCACTTTAGGTAGTGCACTATACTGCACCTTCACTAAAATATACATAAGTGTAAACTTTAAGTATTTAAAGGCTTAGCACACTTTTTTTACCCAATATTTTATCAAGTGTTGTTTGAGCTATTTTCACTTGTATTCGTGCTTGCTTACTTTTTTAATTACTTTGTAAGTATTGTGAGAAGTTTTTCTATTAGTGTTATTGAATTTACAGCGCCTTTTTTAATTGATTTTTTTATTTTTGTACCCCTGTAATACACTATGCATTATAATGCCAAATGTGCATCAATAGTATGTATGAACAGCATGTACAGCAAAACTGCACACCATCAGTGACATTTACTGTACTATGCTCTGGAATAGCATCCTGTTCACTCCCTGGAAGGACAATTTCATAGCTCCCAAGGCTGGGAGGCCTGCTACCTGAATGCAATCTGATACTAAATCTGGGGAGTCGGGGGAAGTTTAACTCTTTCAATGCAGTGATGCTACATTAGACAGGTATTTATCATATAATTAATGTAATATACATTACTATGCCAATGGGACACCGTATCAAACATGTATACACTCTGCAGCAATCCTTTCCTCGGTAGCACACATCAACCGCTAAACAAAAATGCCACTGCACGCGGCTAGCATAGTCAAGAAGAAAATAATTATGATTGTCAACATAAAAAGAGTGTGCCAGTGTAAAAGGGTGCCTGGATACCTAAACCGTATTCTCTTTTGAAATTTAAAATTCCATCTATACATTGTCCTAACTTGTATAGATTTGGAGTTAGTAATTTTTTTTTGTCGGCATAGACTCTATGCCGAAGAACTGACTGACAAAGGGGAACAAAGATACCTCCCAAACAGCTCTTTTGCTCTCCACAATTTGCTATTGTTATGGTACATCCCTAGCGATGATGCTACTGTTGGCTAGGGAATATGACTGATGCCATTCAGTTCAGATACCTACATGCTGGCAACAAAGCCAATGTGACCGCGTCCTAGAAGGTTTTCCCTGCAGGGGAAAAAATCTCAGACAGGGCAAATCAAAGAAGAGACCAACAGAGTGCAGGCGGAGTGGTGATGGTGGGTACAGGAGCGTAACACCAATGAAATTAAGGATATGGCATCACTTGATCAGAGGTATGGTGAGTGAATATCTCTAAACTTTACATTGAGTACATCATATATCTCTGTAATATATGATGTATTCAGTGCATTCGGAGACAATTTATATTCACTTTAACGAAACCACAAAATCCATTATAGAGAAATGGATTAACTGTCACATTGAATGATAAATATAAAATATAAAAGTGACTTGTACAATTCTAGCAATAAAATGCCTAGAACTGACTACCAAAATTCTCTGACTCCACTATAGAATAACTGTGTCACTGTTTTCGTCATTGATTTTTTGAAATTCACTACAATCTAATGTTTTGTGAATAGACCTCAGAGGGATTTTTTTGCTAAGCAAAATTGTGGTTGAGTTGGAAAACCAAAATACATCATTTAGGCCAAAATAGTTGTGTTAAAAAAAATGCCTCATGATGGGCATACTATAAATAGTTATTAACTTTCCTCTTCCTTTTTCCACAATAATTTTATTTTTGCAAATGTATACTGTAAACACTTGAATAGACATAAAATACATTTATTTTGCTTTGCTTATTTTAATTTTGTTATTTTACCATTTTAATTCTAGGATAGAGAACGCACAAAGAGACAGATCCCAGAAAAGTTGACTGTAACTACAATCTTGGTAAGCTGAAAATTACACTTTCATTTTATTCCAACAAAGAATGCTTAAGGGGATCTTATCGTACATTATAGTTTTCTTGACAGAAGAAAAAAAAAATCAAAATAACTCAGGTTCATGTACCAAACCGTGAATTGAAGACCGAGCTGCAATTTTATTCGCGACACAAATTCAAAAATTCATTATTTTAACATCATTTTTTTCCTTTTCTAATTGTTTACTTTTAACTTTTTTCATAATTGTTTTGTTGTCATTTTGTTTTTAAGATATCTTTTTAACTTTTTTTGAACTTTTTCTGTAATTTTTTTTAAAAAGATATCTTAAAAAAAAAACTTAAAACAACACTTTAGTGTTAGGAATACAAAGCTATATTGCGAACACTAAATATTTCCTCGACACGGTCCATTGGCGCCGGCTCCCTCTCTGCCTTCTCGGACGTGAGCACTAAGGGGGAAGCTAATGCACATTAGGCCTTCCCCATAGGAAAGTGTGAGGACATCCAGCATCGTTTTGCAGAACCGAACTCTGTGAAACAACAGGAAGCACCTCTCGTGGCTATCTGATAGACGGCCACTAGAGGCAATCTTAACCCTGCAATATAAGCATTGACGTTTCTCTAAAACTGCAATGTTTAACATTGCTGGGTTAAGGGGACAATGACAGTGCACCCAGACCACTTCATCGAGATGGGGCAAATGCCCGGTAGGCCGCGATGGCCATGGGCCGAGGCCAGCAGGAGAGATCAAGGGATCTCCTCTGCCAGCCCATGCAGGGTAACACCAGCCCAAAGAGGAAGTTCTGTCCCCTCACAGGCCGGTGGAAGGAAGAGTGCACAGGGGCAAAATGCTCCGTGCACGCAGGGCAAGCAGTCTGTCTTCTTGCGAACGCCGATATCAGAGCGTTGCTATAGTAATCCATGGCAACGCTCTGAAATTCTGGCACTCGCGAGAGACCCCGGCAGGGTACAGACTAAATAACATGCCGGCTGGAACACCAGGGATTACCTTGTGGCGTACCCCTTCTCACTGGAGCACCAGGGATCTGTCTGCTCCCTCTCCCCCTGCAAGGTAACAAGGGGAAGGGGGAGAAAATGTTTTTGTTTTTATTTAGTTTTTTATTGTTAAATTACTGTATGCTAACTATATCTACACACCCTCTCATACACACAAGCACACTATACAAACTCTAAATCCATATACACACATCACAGCCCCTGCACTAACACACAAAAACATACTCTAAACCCATATACACACAAACACACTATACACACTCTAAATCCATATACACACATCATAGCCCCTGCACTAACACACAAACACACTATACACACTCTAAACCCATATACACACATCACAGCCCCTGCACTTACACACAAACACACTATACACACGCTAAACCCATATACACACAAACACACTGTACATACTCTAAACCCATATACACACATCACAGCCCCTGCACTAACAGGGGCTGTATATACACACAAACACACTATACACACTCTAAACCCATATACACACATCACATCCCCTGCACTAACACACAAACACACTATACACACTATAAACCCATATACACAGATCCCAGCCCCTGCACTAACACACAAACACACTATACACACTCTAAACCCATATACACACATCACCAGGGCCAGACTGGGGATACAAAGCAGCCCTGGAAAAAAATCTATCCCAGCCCCATAAGTCATTGTGCTATGTAGGGTGTGTATATATATATATACATATATATATATATATATATATATATTATTGATACATTTCTTATTCTAATTCAAAATATTAGTCCTTTCAGGGTAATTAAATTATAGAGTAAAGCATACTCACACACACACACAGACAAGGTTACTGGCACACACACAAATTTAGTACAGACAAAAACTGATACACACACAAGCTTACTACAAACAAGCTCACTGTCGCACACACACGCTCACTACAGACAAACTTACTGATGCGCACATACTGTCCCTACAGACAAGCCCATTGACACACACATGCTCCCTACAGAAGAGCTCACTAACACACAGATTCACTACAGACAAGCTCACTGACATACACATGCTCACTACAGACAAGCTCACTGAAACACATATGGTCACTACAGACAAGCTGACGATCACACACATGCTTACTACAGACAAGCTCACTGTACACACATGCTCATCACAGACAGGCTCCGACACACGCATGCTCCTTACAGATAAGCTCACTAACACGCACACACACATATGATCCCTAGAGACAAGCTCATTGACACACACACACAAACTCACTAGCAGGCGCACACACACAGAGGCTCCCACACTAGCAGATGCGTGCGCACACACACACAGAAGCTCGCTCTCTCACTAGCAGATGCACACACACAAAGACATCCACACACAAAGAGGCAGACAGTCACTGACACCGAGGCAGACATCCACTCACACAGAGACAGGCAGACAGTCACACACTCACACACACACAGGCAGACAGTCTCACACACACAGGAAGGCAGACAGTCACACACACACACACACACACAGGCAGACAGTCACACACACAGGCAGACAGTCACACACACAGACAGTCACAAACACAGGCAGTCACACACTTACACACACACATACAGGCAGATAGTCACACACTCACACACACAGGCAGACAGTCACACACACATAGTCAACAAGAGGACATAGTCTTAAATTAGAGGGACAAAGGTTTAAAAATAATATCAGGAAGTATTACTTTACTGAGAGGGTAGTGGATGCATGGAATAGCCTTCCAGCTGAAGTGGTAGAGGTTAACACAGTAAAAGGAGTTTAAGCATGCGTGGGATAGGCATAAGGCTATCCTAACTATAAGATAAGACTAGGGACTAATGAAAGTATTTAGAAAATTGGGCAGACTAGATGGGCCGAATGGTTCTTATCTGCCGTCACATTCTATGTTTCTACATGAAGGCAGACAGTGACACACGCACAGAGGCAGACAGTCACACACACATGAAGGCAGACAGTCACACACACATGCAGACAGTCAGGAGGCAGACAGTCACACACGCACACAGGCAGACAGTCACACACGCACACACACGGGCAGACAGTCACACACACACACGGACAGACAGTCACACACACACAGGCAGACAGTCACACACATGCCGACAGTCACACACACAGGCAGACAGTCACACACACACGCGCAAGGCTTTTTTTTTTTTTAATGATCCCAGCCGGCCATGTGTGAGGTGTGCCGGCCGCCTGGCTCCACCTGCTCCCATGGGACCCTGTGCAATCGCACAGCTCACACATGGCCGGCCGGGATTACAGGAGCCTGATTAGGGCTGTCAGCCCAGCCCCAGGTGCCGCGGCCCACCGGGAAATTTCCCGGTATATCGGTGGGCCAGTCCAGCCATCCACATCACAGCCCCTGCACTAGCACACAAACACACTCTAAACCCATATACACACATCACAGCTCCTGCACTAAAACACAAACACACTCTAAAACCATATCCACACATCACAGCCCCTGCACTAACACACAAACACACTATACACACTCTAAAACCATATACACAAATCACAGCCCCTGCACAAACACACTCTAAAACCATATACACACATCACAGCCCCTGCACTAACACACAAACACACTATACACACTCTAAAACCATATACACACACCACAGCCCCTGCACTAACACACAAACACACTATACACATTCTAAAACTATATACACACATCACAGTCCCTGCACTAACACACAAACACACTATAAACACTCTAAAACCAAATACACACATCACAGCCCCTGCATTAACACACAAACACTCTAACCCATATACACACAAACACACTATACACACTCTAAACCCATATACACACATCACAGCCCCTGCACTAACACACAAACACTCTAAACCCATATACACACACAAACACACTGTCCACACTCTAAACCCATATACACACATCACAGCCTCTACACTAAAACACAAACACACTATACACACTATAAACCCATATACACACATCCCAGCCCCTGCACTAACACACAAACACACTCTAAACCCATATACACATATCACAGCCCCTGCACTACCACATGCACACTTTATATCCTTATAGTCACACTACACCCCCTGCACTAACACAAAAATACACTACACACACTCTGTACCCCTATATACACACACTGCAGCCCCTGCACTAACACACACACACACACTTTCTACCCATATATATGCACACTACAGCATCTGCATTAACACACAAGCACACTACATACTTTCTATACCTTTATATACACACTACAGCCCCTGCACTAACACAAAAATACTTCACACATTCTATATCCCTATATGTACACTACACCACTCACACAAACACACTGCATTTCTGACACTCACATATACACATACATACGCACTAAACACTAGTCACACATAGTATGCCACACAGACGCCTTTACACACACACACACACAAAACAACACAAACAGTCTGCTCTATACACATGCAATCTCAAAAGCAACCTTCAAACATATTCAACACCACAGGGAGCATCTCCACACATGCACAGCACACTTTGATAGCCATGTTCCTCTTTTTTTTTCTCTGGTATCCCGCTATTGAGAACCCCAGAGACAAGTCACCAGCAAAGGCAGTGCATGATTACATTGCACAACGCCCCCCAAAAAACAGGACATTTACTTCACCCAAGACCACTGGATGCTCTAGATAGGCATCACACTAACATACTCATTTTGAGTGGCGAAAGGGGGGCATGCTTGTCAATGGTGATGACAAATCATGCCCCCTTTCTGGCCTCACCCCTCCTAGTGGGCTGCTCTGTCTTTAAGTGCCTGGGCCAAATTTTTGGCCCAGTCCAGCACTGGCCTGTAGTGTCCTTTTAACTAAAAGAAAACAAATCTAATAATAAGGTGGAACATTAAAATCATGACAGCTTTTGCCTCTCTTTTCCAAATATATCAGTGGGAAGCAGGCTTCCCAGCAGTTCCAATTGCAGCTTGAGAGTCCCTATTTTGGTGTCCTTTCCTGACATCCCAATTTTGTTCCAGGGAATTGTCTCTGGCAGCACAGCACAAGTTCATCATTTAATATAGTTGTGCTATGAATGGGTCCTAGGTCAGAGACCAGCTAGCCAGTCCCCTCCAGTGGGTGGGGATAAATTCTGTGCAAATGCTTCCATAGCAGCGGGTCCACACGGAGGACAAAAATACCAGACTTAATCTTGTTAGTTAAGATACGTCCTTTATTGAACAGGATGTACTAAAAATACATAGAAGGAATGTATGTGTCTCTCTTTTCCCTGTTTTGCATGTATTTACTTAGGAATGAGCTACACTGTTTGGAGTTAATACTTTGAATATATCTTTAATTTATAGGAACAGCCCTTCGCGATGATGAGTAGCTCGGAGATGGAAGGATTCTGTGTAGACTTGCTTTCTGAACTCTCACAGTCTTTGGGATTTAATTACACAATTAATGTAGTAAAAGATGGACGATACGGAGTTAGAGACCCAGACGGAAACTGGAATGGAATGGTTGGAGAGATTATTAGAAAGGTAAAGTTTGTTACCAAGAGTCACTGTTATCTCCTTCTCACCATTATGAAAGTGCATTGAATATTAATTTGAAACAATATATATTCTTTAAATTTGCATTTGCTGCCAATTAGTGATGTCCCGAACGGTTCGCCACGGACGGCGAACATATACGCTGTTCGGTCCGCCCCCTATGTCATCATTGAGTAAACTTTGACCCTATGCCTCACAGTCAGCAGACACATTCCAGCCAATCAGCAGCAGACCCTCCCCCCCAGACCCTCCGACCTCCTGGACAGCATCCATTTTACATTCATTGTGAAGCTGCATTCTTAGTGAGCTGTCCAGGAGGTGGGAGGGTCTGCTGCTGATTGGCTGGAATGTGTCTGCTGACTGTGAGGTACAGGGTCAAAGTTTACTCAATGATGACGAATAGGGGGCGGACCGAACAGCGCATATGTTCGCTGTCCACGGCGAACCGTTCGGGACATCACTACTGCCAATCTATAAGTTCTACAACTTCTGTGCAGTGAGCACTCACTGAGCCAGGAAGTGGCAGAGCCAATCAGGAAGATCTCATTCTCAACATATCACATAAACACCTATGCACTAGGGTTCTTTGAGATATGTAGATCACTGCCTGACATCAAATCCATTTATCACAAGTAATGAAAGGAAATGGTGTATAAACTGCAATTTGCTAAATTATGCATGATTAAGGCTACAGCCGAAACGTTGCACTAGTGATTGATGTTGTTCTATGTTCTCTGGCTCTGAATAGAGACAGCCTTTTAATTGCATTATCCACTGTGTTGCCCTCCAAATTTGTTCTTTGCAAATTCGCTTGTTGGGAATTTGCGGCTTTTCCCTATTAGGGGAGCACTGGGGAGCAAAAGGTGAATGCTGAAGCTGTTGGGCTGTTTGACCTAATTGTGACAATGATGCTGATTGTTACATTTTGTATGTGAGGTTGTCAGTCAATGATGTTGTCTCTGTATGTGTGTGTGTCAGTGAGAATGTCTGTCAGTAAGCGTGTGTGTGTGTCAATGAGCTTGCCTGTGTGTATCGTGAGTGAGATTGTCATTCAATGATCTTGTCTGTGTGTCATTGAGATTGTCCGTCAGTGAGTTTGTGTGTTTGTCAATGAGGTTGCATGCATATTCATATGTAAAATAAATATATATGTTACAGTGCAATTAAAGAATTAATCCAAGCAGTATACACACTAAAGCCTGCTGTAGTGGTTATGACCCCAGGAGTTTCCTAGTTCAATTCACTTGTAAAGGGGCAAACTGTTTTACAAAGGTTTGCCACTTACATGGGTCCCTCCGGGCATCAAACCTCAAATGATAGTGGCTAAGCATTCTCTGCCAATGAATCTCCATGGAAGCCTTGTGAACAGAATTCACATTGGCAAGCCCAGAGCCCTCGTTCCATACTGTGTAATGAAAGCTGTCAGAGATGGAGTTACACCTTCGGCAGCAATATAAAATATTGCAGTATGTGCAGCGTTTATTGATAAAATGCTGTACACATGGGGTTCATGTACCATGACCACTTATAAATAATGAAATGATCATGGTACTTAGGATAACACTTTGAGTAATTTTCCAGTACACCCTCTCTTCCCGAGATAGGGTTCTGGATTCACTGGTATCAGGATATGTACCTCATACAAATATTTCCATGGGCAGAGAAGAACACATCTTTTCTCATTTACAGTTATTTAAAGGGCAGAATTATAGCTGCAACAATATGGCACTGTGTACAAGGAGACTGAAACAGGAGTCCTCTGTGTTCCATCATTTAAAGGGTGCTCGGAGTGTCCCTTTAAGGTATTTAATTTCCTGTTGGAATAAAGAGAGTGGTAATGGTCAGACAGCAATGCCAGTATTTTGTTTCTGTCCACAACAGCCCCCTTGTTGCTCATTTTCATTGATGTCAAGAGAATTACCAGTTAATTCATAACATTTAATATTAAAGGACCACTCTAGGCACCCAGACCACTTCAGCTTAATGAAGTGGTCTGGGTGCCAGGTCCAGCTAGGGTTAACCCATTTTTTCATAAACAGTTATTGTGAATGGGTTAAGCCTTCCCCTATTTCCTCTAGTGGCTGTCTCATTGACAGCCGCTAGAGGCGCTTGCGTGCTTCTCACTGTGATTTTCACAGTGAGAGCACGCCAGCGTCCATAGGAAAGCATTATGAATGCTTTCCTATGTGACCGGCTGAATGCGCGCGCAGCTCTTGCCGCACGTGCGCATTCAGCAGCATGGGAGGAGAAGAGGAGGATCGGAGGAGGAGAGCTCCCCGCCCAGCGCTGGAAAAGGGTAAGTTTTAACCCCTTTACAGAGCCGGGCAGGAGGGGGACCCTGAGGGTGGGGGCACCCTCAGGGCACTATAATGCCAGGAAAACAAGTATGTTTTCCTGGCACTATAGTGGTCCTTTAACTTGGACTTAACCTTCTGCTAAAACCATTCTTCAATCCACCCGTCTACTGACCAGGATCAGATTGCCAGTTGCAAAATTGTTATTATTATTATTTTTATATAGCACCATCAAATTCCGCAGCAGTTTACAATGGGTGGACGGACAGACATGTAGTTGTAACCAGATAAGCTGGACACACAGAGGTGTTGAGGGCCCTGCTTAATGAGCTTACATGCTAGAGGGAGTCGGGTAAAATGACACAAAAAGGTAAGGATAGTATTAGACTAGTGACAGTTGCAGAAGAGGAATCAGTCAGGAGCTATTAACAGTTTAATTGATACGCTTTTATGAAGAAGTGGGTTTTTAATGATTTTTTGAAGGAATGGAGACTGGGTGAGCATCTAACGGAGGAGGGAAGCGAGTTCCACAGGAACGGTGCAGCCCTTGAGAAATCTTGAAGGCGAGCATCAGAGGTGGGAGTATGGACAGAAGATAGACGTAAGTCTTCAGCAGATCGTAAGGGCCTAGACGGGACATACTTCTGTATAAGGGAGGATAGATAGGTGGGAGCAGCATTATGTAGAGATTTGAAAGCAAGAAACAGAATTTTAAATTGAGCTCTATATTTTATAGGAAGCCAATGTAGGGACTTACAGAAGGGTGAGGCATGGGAGGTGCGGGCGGACAGGAAGATGAGCCTCGCTGCCGCATTCATTATGGACTGTAACGGCACAAGTTGGGAGCACGTAAGACCACTGAGAAGCGGATTACAGTAGTCAAGGCGAGAAAGGACAGTGGAAAATCTTGAATTCATATGTAAAAAAAATATAAAAAATGGAGTATCATATTACATAAAGACTAACGCAGTTATAGGTGATTTTCAATGTTTTATTCAATGGTGTGATGTTGTTAAATAAAATCCAGAGATGCGTGGGTTCACTTAAACGTGAGAGCTATAGGGGGTGCATCATTATCACATAGAACCTAACACTGGTCTTTTGCGAAGTTTTAATGACTAACCTCGTACTTTGTCAGTATATTGTGACATGTTACATATCTTTTTTTGTATATCCTTAGGAAGCCGATTTGGTTGTAGCTCCTTTAACAATCACCTCTGCTAGAGAAAAAGAGATATCTTTCACCAAACCCTTCTTACAAACTGGAATCAGTATACTGCTGAGGAAGGAAGCATCTTCGGAGAGCTCAAACTTCTTTGGATTCTTAAACCCCTTCAGCAGAGAGACATGGATTGGGATAGTGACTGCATACATTATCACCTGCCTCTGTCTATTCCTTGTTGGCAGGTAAGATAAACATCTCATACGTCAACATCCACAGTCAGATCAAACCATTTCACCAACTGTAAACTCTTTGTTAGATCTATTTATCTAGTATTGTGTGCTAACAAATATTATGTATATATGCAATCTTCTTAAACATTCTTTAATTGGACTGTGTAGCTATGTCTTTTCACGAATGTGCATGTTATCGCACAGGGCCATGTTAACCTTATGCTCTGTTTACACTCATTTTACGATCTCTCTGTATGAATCCAGAATATCAAAGAACCGTTTATTATCCCCCAAAATGAAATGTGTTATCAAAGGTTAAAAGAACACTATAGGCACAATAACCGCATCAACACATATAATGCCTGGAGTCCATGGGCCGTGGGTCCGACGTCTTAGTTTACGCACCATTTAGTAGAGATTCTCTGTCCTCAGCAGCCTAAAACCCAGCCCACAATGACAAAATGGGGGAGGCAGAGCAAAGCTCCATTTAACACCATTTCAGGTGTAGCCGGCAATGTTTGGCTGAGAGAATAAGGTGAGAGCTCTAAGCCTTTCGCTGCACCAATTGCTGGTATGACTTTGTATGTTGTGAGGCTTCAGGCTGCCGAGCAGTGAAAATCTAACTAAAGATTAAAGGGACATTATAGTCACTAGAACAACAACAGCTTAATGTAGTTATTCTGGTGTGCATAGTCAGTCCCTGCAGGCTTTTTGCAGTAAACACTGTGTTTTCATAGAAAAGGCAGTGGTTACTTAAAGCCTAGGGACACCTCCAGTGGTCACTCCTCAGAGGGACACCTCCAGTGGTCACTCCTCAGAGGGCCACTGGAGGTGCTTCCTGGGGCAATGCTGCACAGCGTGCAGCTCAAACATTTAGCATCTCCACACTCTACATTGAGTGAATGCATCTCTATGAGGAGATGCTGATTGGCCAGGGTGGTGTTTGGCCCCACCCTGCTTCTTTCCCTGTGGTCAAACTATTAGACTGGCTGAGATCATCAATTTTGCTGATGTCAGCCAAAGAGATGGATCGGCACAGGGCCAGTGCCTGCAGACCCGTGGAGAGCTTAAAATAAGGTAAGTTTTAACCCTTTCTAAGGGAGCACAGCGGGGGATAAGCCACCTAAATGGTGGTATTAACACTATAGGGTCAGGAATACAGCTTTGTGCTCCTGACCCTATAGTGTTCCTTTAAGTAAACCATTTAGAATTGATGCAGGACCCAAACCCCCTCCTTCCCCACCTTGTAGTCAATGCACCATAACAACTAGCATTCCTTGGCGTGGTTATGGTGTCTAAACCGTTCCTATAACTAGATGAAGATGTATTGAAAGTATTCATTAATTAGTACTTTTTTTTGTAGGTTAAGTCCTTGTGAATGGGCCGACACTTCCAGTGAACAAAACCAGTTTACCTTTTTAAATAGTCTTTGGTTTGGAATCGGAGCTTTCACTTTGCAAGGTAAGAGAGTGCAAGCCTCGAAGCCGATCTCTTGCTGCATGTCAGAAGTCAGTAGAAGATGCTGATCTATTTATACACAAATCCAGTGATAGCACTGTTCTAAAAGGAAACATGATATAAAAGAATCCATTCAGACAGCATATTCGCTCATGTATGTAACATTTGTCCTCTGGTTTCATAATGTTGTACTTATTGAATTATGGAAATAAACCAACTGACACTGTGAGAGATATCTAAATTCAACTTATAACAAAACCTATTATCATTTATAAATATGGACTAGTGTCCTCCCCGTTCAATATAAATAGGAGCTCCAGCTCCTATCCCCCGCTAGCCAGTGATGGGGGCACAGGAGCACTGCTCAAAAAGGCACATTTTTAGTGAGGTAAACAGGCGCCCCCTAGTGAACAGGTGCCTACTCTGCCTAATGGGAAATTGGCCCTGAGTATATGGAGTTATGCACCAAATAAACACTAGCCTGCATATTAAGAAAATAAACATTTGATGCTTGGAAATTATGCTGTTGCTGTGTACATCAAGTAATGGTAATTTTTAAGTCAGAGACAATTGATAAAAATGTATCAAGCTTGCCTATTTCTGACCCGCATTTCAAATACCCTGGTAAATTCCCCAAAATGTAATCATGATCTACTGCGAGTCGCTTTGATAATTAAGTCATGTAGAACCAACACCAAATTATCTTATCAATGCAGACTAATTTTAAGTAGATTCGCTCAAAGTTAAAATCAAAAGAGATTTATTTTAATCACTGTCAGCTCCATAATAAACTCTTAACGCTCCTATTATTTTGAGATCTGAGAAAAGACAGACAAAAGAATACAGAGCTATGACAATATATCCTAGTACTCTTATATAATGGATCTTTCTGTACATATACATTTTTGTTGCTGCTACTCAATGTCAACACATTAATATGTTCATCCACTACAGGTGCCCAGCCTCATCCAAAAGCTGTTTCGGCCAGAATAATAGCCGTTATTTGGTGGGTGTTCTCCATAACCCTGTTGGCTGCTTATATCGCCAGCTTTGCAGCATTTTTAAACGTAGGAACAGAACAAACGACACATATTCAAACCTTCGAAGATCTGGTCAAACAAAGAAAACTTGAGTTTGGAACAATCAACAGCTCCTCCACGTTCCAGTTCTTTAAGGTCTATGTATAAAAAAAAAAAGTTTTTGAATTGAATTTTGAGCAATGAATTTACTTTTTGTAAATCAACATGATCAAACATCCAATTAGCAAATGAGGAATACCTATGTGCATCCTTGAAAACAATTGTCTGGCGAATGAAAACATGCCTTGTGAATCTGTGATTTACCCTATATGTTGATGTCCAAGACTTGGGTTTAGTGAGACACATTGTAACTAGATGCATATATATTGTAGAATTGCTTTGGTGGGGAAGGTCAAGTAGTATGTCCTATAACTCAAAGGAAAACTGTAGAATAATGCACTTTTTACATTAGAACAATATTTAAATATGTATACTTTTTAGATTTCGAAACCTAGACAGGTTTGAAGATTTTGTTCAAAAGTTATTTATTTTTGTATATTAACAAAGAGGAAACCGTCATTTTGCTCCGGAAGGTCCGGGAGCTGAATCAGAACTGGAAAAATTCTCGTAGACAGCTGCTTTCACTTCAGCTAGTCCGGTTTCAATTTTAAATTCACTATGAATTCTCACTTTAGTGAACAAACCGTACTGCATTTTGAAGGAACACTCAAAGCCCATCACAATGTCCGGTAATTAAAGTTGTTCCAAAGCAGGAGGGTCGGGGTGCCATCTTACCTTCATAAGTTAACCCAGTATTGGAATGGTTTAACTATGAATTTGGGGCTCTGGCGCTCCCTGGCTTCGTCCCTCTTTACACTTCAGGAAGGTTTAGCCAAGTGGCCAGTGATAGGCTGAGAGGGTCAGTTGTCACAAGAAGTCTCCGGTCACTATCGCTTACAGAAATTTGTTTTAAGTGATGTCACTACTAAAGGCACACAATAAGAATTACACCTCTTGTATCTAATGTAAATGTATTTATTTTAAAATGTGCTACTTTGTAAAGTCCTAACATTTCAATGATTACTTGTAATGCTAGCTCTCCATTAACAATACATGAGAAAAAAAAATAAAAATAAAACAATCTAACGTGAACCACTTTTCATTTTATTTTTCCGTTACAGAATTCTAAGAATCCAACCTACCAAATGATTTATGAGCAGATGGAAAAAAAGAAGGATTGGGTTCTAGTAAAATCTTTCTCTGAAGGAGTTCGACGAGTAAGGGAAAGTAATTACGCCTTCCTGGGAGAATCCATTATGCAGGACCTTGTTGCGGCCAGACACTGCGATCTTGCCCGTGCCCCAGAAGTGATCAGTGGCAGAGGATATGGCATTGCTGCAACACTGGGTATGTCTACTGCTCTTTTAAAAAGTTACATCGGGCTAGTTGGTAAATATAATATATATTACTTTGAAAGTACGACTCTGCTAAAAAGAGAAACGGGCAAGGAGCAATTGAAGGACCACTATAGGCACCCAGACCACTTCAGCTAAATGAAGAGGTCTGGGCGCCAGGGCCATCTAGGTTTAACCCTTTTTGCTGTAAACATAGCAGTTTCAGAGAAACTGCTATGTTTACATTAGGGTTAATCCAGCCTCTAGTGGCTGTCTCATTGACAGTCGCTAGAGGTGCTTCCGCGCTTCTCACTGTGATTTTCACAGTGAGAAGACGCCAGCGTCCATAGGAAAGCATTCAAAATGCTTTCCTATGTACTGGCTGAATGCACGCGTGGCTCTTGCCGCACATGCGCATTCAGCCGATGGCGGCGAAAAGGAGGAGGAAAGTTCCCAGCGCCGAGGGAGCCCGGCGGGAGGGGGGCTCAGAGGGTGGTGGAAACCTAGAGACCCTATAGTGCCAGGAAAACAAGTATGTTTTCCTGGCACTATAGTGGTGCTTTAAGCATAATTCTTGCTACTACAAAACAGCAGAAGTTGCTGGGCATTCTATAGGGATTTGGAGAGATATAAAGGGAGGCCGTGAAATAAGTCTGGTAGAAAGGGAGAGCAGGGGTAAGGCTTATGCACATGGAAAGGCATTTGTCTTACTTACTAAATCAGAAAATGTGGAGAATTGACAAGGAAATTGCACATTATGCAAAGTAAATGGCTTAGGGAAAAAAGTTGGAGAAAAAATAAAAAAAAAGGTTGGAGTTGGATAACGGTTAGCCTGAAATTTGCAATACTCTAGGAAATTCTACACAACCTTGATGGTAGAAGAAAAAATGCAAGATGAAGTTGAAAAGGCAACTTGAGACAAATAGTAGTGAAAGAAAAAATATAAATATTGCTCAATTGTATATTTAAATTTACAATGAAAAAATGCTCACGAATGATGCGAGATAGTGATTTGTTGAAAGAAATAGACTGATCAGCCACAACATTGAAACCACTGACAGGTGAAGTGAAAAACTTTGATTATGTTATTACAATGGCACAATCAAGGGATGGGGTATATTAGCCAGCAAGTGAACAGTCAGTTCCTGAGTTCCATGTGTTGAGATCAGGAAAATGGGCAAGTGAAAAGATCTGAGTGACTTTGACAAGGGCCCAATAGTGATGGCAAGTCTTCTGGAGTGTTCCCAGTATGCAGTGAATAGTAACTACCAAAAGATGTGCAAGGATGAACAACCGGTGAACCAGCATCAAGGTCATGAATGCCAAATGCTTATTGATGCGCTTGGAGAGCATGGGCTAGCCCGCCTGGTCCAATCACACAGAATAGTTACTGTAGCTCAAATTGCTGAAAAACATAATGCTGGGCATGAAAACATGGCAGAACACACAGTGCATCACAGTTTCTTGATATTGGGGCCGCGCAGCCGCAGACCGGTCAGAGTGACCATTATGACCCGTCCACTGCCAAAAGAGCTCTGTGGACGTGCGTGTCATAACTGGACCATGGAGCAATGGAATAAGGTTGCTTGGTCTGATAAATCACGTTTGCTTTTAGATCAAGTGGGTTCCTGGGTGCGTGTGCTTGGTCTACCTGAGGAAGACACGGCAGCAGAATGCTCTACTGGAAGAAAGCAGGCCAGCAAAAGCAGTGTTATGCTCTGGGCAATGTTCTGCTGAAAACCCTTGGGTCCTGGCATTCATAAGGATGTTAGACATGTATCACCTACCTAGATATTGTTGCAGACCACATACACTACTTAATTTCACTGGTGTTACCTGATGACAGTGACCTCTTCCAGTAGGATAATGCACTCTGCAAAAAAATGTTCATGACAAAGTGTTCAAGATAATACTTTAGTCTCTAAATTCCCCAGCTCTTAAACTGATTGAAACATAGAAACATAGAATGTGACGGCAGATAAGAACCATTCGGCCCATCTAGTCTGCCCAATTTTCTAAATACTTTCATTAGTCCCTAGTCTTATCTTATAGTTAGGATAGCCTTATGCCTATCCCACGCATGCTTAAACTCCTTTACTGTGTTAACCTCTACCACTTCAGCTGGAAGGCTATTCCATGCATCCACTACCCTCTCAGTAAAGTAATACTTCCTGATATTATTTTTAAACCTTTGTACCTCTAATTTAAGACTATGTCCTCTTGTTGTGGTAGTTTTTCTTCTTTTAAATATAGTCTCCCCCTTTACTGTGTTGATTCCCTTTATATATTTAAATGTTTCTATCATATCCCCCCTGTCTCGTCTTTCCTCCAAGCTAAACATGTTAAGATCGTTTAACCTTTCCTGGTAAGTTTTATCCCGCAATCCATGAACCAGTTTAGTATCTGTAGGAACAACAAATGCGATCCATGGAGGCCCCACCAAGCAATTTGCAGGACTTGAAGGATCTGCTGCTAATGTCTTGGTTCCAGATACCACAGGATAAGCTCTGAGATCTTGTGGAGTCCATGCATCGACCCATCAGAGCGGTTTTGGCAGCACGAGGGGGACCTACACAATATTAGACATGTGGTTTCAATGTTGTAGCTGATCGGTGTATATTGCTTACTGAATAATCCTATAGATATACATTATTTTTTCAATTTAGAAAAAAAATCTAGATCTAAGGTTATTGGAATATTATTTTCCATAGATGTTAGCTATTAATACATGCATGTCTGTGTAATTTGTTAAATTATTTTTGTGTTATAGATTCTCCACTCATCAAACCTCTGTCTATTGCCATATTGGAACAAATTGAATCTGGCAACATAGATTACCTCCGTGAAAAGTGGTGGGAAAACAGCTGTCCAACAAAAGGCAGTTCTGGATGGACCCCAGTTCAACCACACACCTTAGGTGGAATCTTTCTTATACTGGGCATTGGCTTGGCTTTAGGTCTAATTGTGTCTTTGATTGAACTGATGTGCAAAGCAAAGAACAATGCAGATCTGCAGCAGGTAAGCAGCACTGTTTCTGGGCAATGTTCTGCTGGAAAACCTTGTGTCTTGGCCTTTACGCAGATGTTACTTTGACACATACCATCTATCTAGAGATGGTTACAAATCACGTACACCCCTTCATGGCATTGGTGTACCCGGATAGCAGTGGCCTCTTTCAGTAGGATAATGCACGTGGCCACACTGTAAATATTATTCAGGAATATGCTGGAGTGATCCAATTGAGCATCATTGGGATGTACTGGAACAATAAATCCAATCCACAAAGACCCTATCTCACAACTTGCAGGATTTAAAGGATATCCTGCTAATGTCTTAGTGCCAGATACCACAGGACATGTTCAGAAGTCTTGTGGAGTCAATGCCTAGATGCATCTGAGCTGTTTTGGCAGCACAAGAGGGACCTATATAAAATAGGCAGGTGTTTCTAATGTTGTAGTTAATGTGTGCATATATTTTGTTGCAAGATTAAAGACATGGACTCTCCTCAGTCATGTCAATCCATTCTCAGCACAGAGGTCTACACCAACAAGTAGGAGACAGGGGAAAGAAGAAGGACCCTCCTCCAGTTGCTTGTGCTTTCTGGAGGAGTATAAGAATCGAGTGGTCTATTTCAATGTCCACAAAGCCATGACAGATTTACTTTGAATTATTACATTTGCCATAGTAGAAATAAGATAAGAACATTTTTTTAAATGCTGGTCTTTTTCTCTCTGTCTTTTTTCATGTTAACATAGATTTAGTCATACTGATAACTGATTGCTAACACTCCAGGTAGCATAAACACTACAGCATACTTTAGTGGTTGTTGTGCCAGAAATGCCGTTTGGTATAGGTTTGACTTCTTACCTGGAGTCTGTTAGGTACATCTCTATACCTAGTCTTTGCCAAAAGCTCTCTTCATTTAGCTAAGTCCATCTGTGCAGGAATCAGCTTATTGGCTAAGAGGCTCTCAGCTGGTGTGCCAGCCCTGCACTGCTTAGCTAACCATGAGCTTCCAGCTCTTCTCTGAGCAGCACCTGGCAGATCCCAGGGAACATGTCAAATCTACTAAATGGTTTGACTACTTACATGGAGAGGCATCAGGGCACTCATGACACCATTTTCACTATAGCATGCTGTAGTGGTTATGGTGGTTATAGTGTTCCTTTATTCAGCATTTAAATGTATTTTAGCTCTTTTCTGAAACGCTTACCATTTTTGATTTCTATCTTTTTCAGAAGTCCTGTTGCTCTGCTTTCTCTGAGGAAATAAGTAAAAGGATTGGAGCAAGAAAAGAAGCCCAGGAGAATTCAGAAAAAGTTAAACCCTAAGCAGCTTTCATGTGGATAACCCCCCCTACACACACTTAAACATTTTCAGCTGCAGCTTACATTTTATGCTTGCATGTACGAGAGTATTGTTCTTTTAAGATGAACGGTACATAAATGTTACTGTGCTATTCTTTGCAAGTAGTTTGTATAATTGGAGGATGCAGAAAAAAAATAAGATTTTAACATTTTGCCCTATGCAGGGACTCGTTTAGTAGCATATAACAAAAAATTCTCTGCGCCAGCTCACAATCACTGCCATTATATACATAATCGTGTTACCTAGTTCTCTTGTAAAATAGTAACCAACTATGTGTTATGATCTAAAAAGTCCTGGGGAAATATTGAAAGCGCCAATTTAATTTTCAGAACATCAGATGCATCACATAAGATCTTAATAGTCCTTTAAGGATTTAATTAGACCAACTTGCTAAAAAGAAATGAATTTGCTATTCAATAAACTCCCTTTGTAGGGCATTGAAATCTGAGTTGCAAAATGAAGTATTGAAAATCCAAGCAATGACAATGGCTTAACTTGTAGAATGTTTTCAAATTAGCTATTTTTGCCTACATTTTGGAATTAGGATTTTAAGTCACTGATTTGGTGTAAATACACCTTTTTAACCCCTTGAGGACACATGACATGTGTGGCATGTCATGATTCCCTTTTATTCCAGAAGTTTGGTCCTTAAGGGGTTAAACTTTTTATTCTCTGGTATAGCGTACACCATTATTCTCGTACCTATATAATGGCAAACCAGCTTGAGTTAGGACTTTAAATACCATATGGGTGCCCAATGAGTAATGTATACATCAATACTAGAAGCTCAGGATCAAAAAAAAAAATGAGTAGATAGTTGTAATAGTGTTTATAGAAATACAGTTTGCATTGTAGAGAGATAGTGATTTACTACATTGAAGTGAATTAAGTAAAATGCGGTGCAAGTACATGACTTGTCTGTAAAACAAATATCAACTTTACTGAAATGATTCCAGAGTAAATCATATCATATTACACATCAGAGTTTTAAACCCTTTGTTAAATGCATGTTTTTCTATTATCAAATAATATGTATGATGATTTACTATGTGTGTAATAGAGAATCTGCCCGCTTGTTAAATTAGTATTTCTAGATCTCCTTTAAACAATTAACAGTGTTAATGATCCTCGTTGAAAGTTTACAGAAATGCTTTGTATAACATTTGCATAGGTTGTCATTCGAGCCTGTTGATGCGAAAATGTGCCAAGTTATAGGATGAACTTGGAATTAATCTACACAAAAATACATTATTTGAACCACAAAGTAAAATGTTACTGAGTGTATGTTAAAACCAAGATAGCATTCGGTATTAACCGAAGTAACTATGAAGAAAGATGAGTAGGTGAAGCTGCACCTTTAAATAAAGTTGTAAAGACAAGTCCTATTTCATGCAATAATAGAATGTGAAGATTTGGAAGTATAGTGAATACACATCTTACAGGGTTTTTCACTAAACTCAGATTTGGCTAAATTGAAGATAGCCAACTGGTATATGTCTGAGCAATTCAGAGGATAATTACTAAACTCTGCAATTTACCACACTGCCTCCAAATTGATCTGGATGAGTTTTAACTGAGAAACCATTTGAACAAAAATCCAGCATATTCAACCAATCAATTTCCAAGTCTTATCCTCTTAGAGAAGAGTATTGTCTTAAACAGGGGTGCCCAAAAGGAAGATCCCCAGATGTTGTAGCACAACTCCCATGATGCTTTGCATGCCTTTAGAATTCTTTTGAATGACAAAGCATCATGGTAGCTGGAGTTCTACAACATCTGGGGATCTATCTTTTGGGTACCACTGCTCTAAAAAGAAAGATAAAATACCCACAGTAGCTTTAAAAAAAAAGTTAAACAAATGCAAGCACTGTAAGATCATTTTAAACCAGTTGAATTTGATTGCTAATAAATTAGGTATGGTTCAAATACCATACTTTGGATCAATGCAGCCAGCCACAGATTTGTTCCGAGCCAGGTGAACACATTCACTCCATCTCCCCAAATTAACTCATGAGTTCAGCTTACTAAATATCAGAATTTAAATTTTTGCTAAATCTGGCAAGTCCCAGAGAATTTAGCAAATCTGGGATGTATTCTGTTAATAATCCTGTAGGTGTTTTGTGCATAAACCACGAATTGAGGTTAAACAGAAAATCAAACTGTTAAAACTGGACTATAATTGCTGAGTTCTAAAAACAAATTGGGATTTATTTTTCAGCTTTGACCTAAGCCTTTCAATTCTGTTTTCATGTCACCACATTTAACTACTTAGTGAATAAACACCCCAGTTTTAAGACCTTACTTTTTAAACACGGGTGCATTTAATGATTCACTGTTTTCATTCATTGGGTGTACATTACTAAAATAAATTTGACATCGAAGTAAGCTACATGTATTAAAATGTGTAATGATTCTGAATGTGTTGCAAAGTGTTTAAGCTTCATTTGGCATATTGTTCTCTTAGAGAACTGTGTTGTTTTATTGTAATACGAACAATCATTGTGAGTAACTAAAGCTCATGAATTCACTGCCAAAACAAGAGATACTTTTTTTAAAGTAGTACTAATGTCCTAAATAATTATTTGTTGATGTGCAACTACTAAGCTACATAATAAACACATAATAAACATTTTTAGTGACAAATGTATTTTCTCATTTGTGCCATAAAACTTTTTTTTTTTAAATTTTAATTCTAAATGAAAACCGTGACTTCCCTGGAAATGAAACAATTGAATAAAACATTTAAAATCATCTGTAAGATGTGCTAAACTCTTTTCCTAGTGATGCTCGGTTTTCTTTTGAATTCCTTTTTTTTCGGTTCACAAAGGTGTTACTCCCAAAGAAAAAAAAAAAAATGTAAAAAAAAAAAAAAAGTGCAAGAATTTGTGTTTTCATATTGCCAAATTTGTCTGCCGCGTGGATTTCCTGAAACAGATTTTTATTTTGTTTACACTTTAAACAAATTACAAAATGTATTTTTCTGGGAAATATTTGATTCGTACTCATTGGTCTTATTTTGTAAATTTCAATCAATGGTAGAATAATCAGGAGAAAAGGGGCAAAAAAAGTCAAAAAGTGTCAGAAAGAGGGGGTGGAGCTTAGCAGTGCACCGGAACATCAGCCATTTCTCTCCGGGCAACCGTGATATAATCTGCCCGCAATCAACAGCATCGAGCCTCACCCTGGCCTTCTTTCTTCCTCTCCCTGACCACAAAATACCACAACCGGTGACTTAAGTCCTACTACGTGGGCAGACAGCTCTGAGAGCTGGACGAGGACCACCAAGTGTGGAGTGCCGCCAAGTGTAATGTTCAACTACACGACTGCCACAGTAACACTGCCATGGGGCGGCGACCCAAAAACCGCTTCCTTCCACCCAAAGACACGTTGGACAGATGTAGGCTCAGGCTCAAGCCTCTCAGGAGGCCTCACTGCCAAAGGGAACAAACTCCATGCACAGCCCAGCTGTGGAGGGTCCTAGCAGAGAGACACCACAAGAAGCAGATAACTCAGCCCCTGCATCCAGGAGGGATATTCAACTCATGCTAGCAGGTCTGCAATGTAATCTACAACAAATGTGGGAGGCAGACCTAATAGTGCGCTCTACAGAGCTACAAGCAGTGACAACAGACCTAAAACAAGTCCTGACCTCGCTTGGCAAACATGTACATGCCCTGCAGTCCACGCAAGCTACCTTCTCGAGGCAAATCACAACACTGGATGACAGAGGCAGAAGGAAGAACATAAAGGTCAGAGGTATATCTGAATCAGTGCCCTTAGATGAGCTCCCGCACTTTGTCAACAATAATTCCAACAAGGAAGGCCAAATACTTTGCCATCGATGGAGTGTACTGAATAGTCAAGTCAGCTCAGGCACCTACAGCAGCGCCCTGTGACCTCATACTATGTGTGTCAAACGTTATCTGACAAAATCAGCCTGATGACAGCGCTCAAAGGAAAGACACCACATGAATTTGAGTCATGCCATATCACCCTCTTCCAGGACTTGAGCAGGTCCACATTGCTCTGGCGCAAATCCATGCAGCCCATTACCACATCTCTCCAAATTGCTGGATGGGGAAAACGCATAAGGCTTTAGACCCCAGAGATGGCCAGGCTCTACTGGCGACTTTTGGACTCACCGACCACAGCGTTATCCCACAAGAACAGTCTTGAGCCCACCCCTGTAATGTTGATGACCTGCATTTATACCTAGGAATTGCGAAGGTTCAAAACCTTACCCCATCTTCTGCAACCCATCTACAATTTATGTTTATATAGTGTATCTTATGTTACTACTCTCTTGCTCAAAGTTCGTAAATATTTCAGTACCCCTGTTCTAGGTGGCCTAAGACACGTGCTCGGCTGGCATACTAAGCTCCAGTGATACAACCTCTCCCCCATTACTGCCCCATGGTAAAGGGGCAATACTTGCTCTAGAGCACCTCTCTAACATATAGCAGTTACCACCACCTATATCTAAACCCCAGATGTTCACAACTGACCATCCCAGCTCGGAAAACTAACGCTCCACTCTCTAGATAGCCTTCGCCTAATGTCCCTTTATATGTCTATCTAAGCTACCCAAGTTCACCTGGCATGAATAAATCCACACTGACTACTATATAAGGCTGCCAGGACGCCCTCTGTGCTGAACCCAGCAAGATACCACATAGACCCCAATTTCCGAGTAGCCCCAAACAACTAGCATCCTACTCACACTTTCGCACGTAGGCACGCTGCAGGGGATGCACTTAATTTGAGTACTCAATTACCCTGTCGCCCACAGTTTACTATACCTACCTGATGCAATTGTCGAGCCCAATATTTACAAAAAAGGTGCAATGTCCAAGCAAGTCAAGTATTTCTATAAATAAGTCAACTGTAAGCCTTATACTGTACAATGTCGTGACACTGCTATTATATTTGTACCTAATGATTTGTACGCAAAAATAACGAATTACGGGGAAAAAAAATTGTGTCAGAAAGTCAGATTATATTGGTGTATTACAGCAAAGGTGGAAAAAAAAAATCATCAATGTTTAAAAGTGGAGTAATGGTATTATACATAACAAATGGCGCATGTGCCCAAACGTAAAAGAAAATGTGACATTTGTTAACCATAACCACCATTATTCCTGTTTCTCTTCTTCTCTAAGTGCTGACCAGCTGTGGCCCTCTACTTATTTTATTTTTCAGACCGAACAACATATTTTGTTGAATATGGGGGAAAGTAAACATTAAAAAGATTTGGAATTTCTAAAGAATTTACTCAACAAATGATCTACAGCGGTCATCAACCTACATTCATTAAACATATAATTTGTACTACTTACTTATAAACAGAGAATGTCATACTTATAGAAAGCAAAAGAATGACTAATTATGTGCAAAGAATAATGTATATATAATTTAAATTTATTTATACTGCCGCACAGTGCCCTTTTTAAATTTGAACAAAAGCACAATATAAATACAGCAAGTTTAACGTCCCACCCCTTGGTAATAAAAATTTATAATATATATATATATATGTGTGGTTTTGTTTTTTTTTTTTTACAATCAATGAATAAAATGTGCGAGGAATGGATCTATAAGAGCTGGTAGTGTCCTCACTTAGGAGGAGTTTCATATTTGAATACCACACTAAAAAGTTTTCCACCCAGTCTCTCGGCAAGCCAGGAATTCTTGATAACAGCCAGTTTTAAGCTCTCGCACTGGAAGGTTGCGTAGTAATTCGTGTGGATGGCTCGACCCATGCCTTCTATGATGACCAGATCAGTGTTTCTTTCCTTGACAAGCATGGCAAGGCCTTTGTCTAAGCGGCTGCAGAGAACAAATGCAAAAAATAGGTGGAAGGCTTTTAAATTAACAAAAACACACAATGTTTAAAGATAAAAATGTTAAATGTTAAGAAATTAGAAAATCATCGGAAAGGGGGAATTGGTGAATGTACAAGTGGAGTGACTGTGTAAGTGGTGTGGGCAGAGTTTACCAATCACAAAAGTAGGACATGGTGCAACATAACTGATAAGAACCCATCTTTTTATTGTGCTAACCAGATTTAAAATAAAAATAATTACAATTTCACAACTTTCAGACTATATCAAAACGTGATAAGTTAGCATAAATGTTGCCCACTGCACCGATCTGAACATTTTAACCTTGATTTAGCTTTTTTTGGAAAAATGTTCCTATCAACACCCCATTTGTGTAGGTCTAGAGCAGTGGTTTCCAAACCAGTCCTCAAGGCAAGCAGGAAAAAAAAAAAAGGAAAAAAACAAACACTCACACAACTGGGTAATCTCTAAATCCTGGACTGGTAGGCGTGCCTTCAGGACTGGTTTGGAAACCACTTGTCTAGAGGGTAATCTTCTGTGGACCCCTGGATCACTGTACGAAGAGTGTTGTGAACTATACAACTGTGCTCAGCGAACATAGTTTTTGCTCCATTTGGGCCTCTGCACTAAGACTACAAGCACAAAACCATCACACACCATGGGCATCAACAAAAACATCACGGGAAGTCGCTGCAACTCTTGTGCAGAGTTGACCTAGCTGACATTTTAGCTTTGGACTGCCTCCATTTGTGGAATTGGTCTCATATGGAAAGAATACACTTAACTGCTTTGAAGTGGTTATGGTGCCTGCGGTGTGTACGTGCAGCATTTCGCAATGAAATGCTGCCCATACAGGGTTTAGCTAGCCCAGAAGATGGAGTTACACATGTGGCACGAGAGGTTAACGTCAAATCTGTGCATATTTGGTATCTGTTGTCAGCACACACAACATGTTGGCACTAGACAGCCAATGACCGCAAGCGACCCATTAATGTCCTACCCTCAGCCCCCCCATCTCTGACATCCACCCTTCTGAAGCTAGAGGGAGTGACCTCAGCAGGGGACGATTGGGCTACAGGAAAAACTAGCGGCGGCCAAGGCACTGAAGCGGAGGTGAGTTGTAAGTGACCGAAAATAATGTTTTCTTTAAACACTATATTTTTAGTTCGGGTAACCCTTAAAATTGCATTGTAATTCTGTTGTAACACTTTGTTGTGTCTTCTTCAAATAAAATTAAGATTAGAACATAATTAAAAAAAAAAAAAAAACCCTCAGAATTAGCAAAATATATAAATCCATTGAAATAATGTAGTTAAGTTTTGATGAGCTCTGTATATAAATTCCAGAATCCATAGTTTGAGGATCTTAATTCATATTGGTATGAGTGCTGGTTGGTTACAATTATAAACCCAGCTATTACAGAATATGCATTAAGAATGCTGTTCATTCTGAACAGGTTAATTAGTTAAACGTTGATAAAAGAAAGTGAGGGTAGAATTGTGCATCTGGCCAGTAAAGCAAGTAAGGATTTGATCAACTGATACCAGAATAAAAAAGCATTTACCGGTCTTTCATTTATAAAAACAGAAAAATAAAAGCTAGGCAATTTCTGCTACGCCTGCAGACAAATGTTTGCAGAGTTAGAAAGTTAAAGTAATGTATGCTTTTTTTTTTTGTTCCTGAGAGGCCTCCTGTCTCTGTTCTACATTTTTGTCCACTAATAATGGGATTAAAGCTTTTCTGAAGCAGCAGGAAAGATATGGTAATAGGCTCCATCTGTTATTGATTAATGGATGAGGCATGACTACCTGTTAACATAACTGCACATCGGAGACCTGCTTTATCATCGCGTAGCATTGGAACTTTCAGATTATTAGTGTAGTATATTCAAAACTGCTATATAGTTTTAAAAAATCTATTAACACCACGTGCTGACAGATGTTTTATGCAGTACAGATTACAGTTTAGGGAAAAAGTTCTAACCTATTATGAATTGCTGAATATATTATAGTAAACCTTGATAAATTTGATTTGGCTCTAGAAGTCAGACTCCACATCACTGGCAAGAAAATCCCTCCTGGTCTGCACACTTATCTCATTAGGGCTACTCGCCCACCACGTATACTTCTAACACCTAGCTGGCACCTAAATAAATATACGTTCACCCCCTTACCACCAAGCGATTTGAGAAGAAAAACTACCACCAGATTCAGAGTATTTTTGGGTGTCTTGGAACACAATCTTTAAATGCATTTTGTTTCAGTATGTCTAGATAGCAGATGATTTAAATATAATTAAGTTACAGCACTCTTCGTACAGTGATCAAGGGGTCCATGGAAGAAAAGCATTGTAAATAAATAACTTTTCTGAATATGTAATATACATCTTTTCTACACATTGTGTCCCATATACACTCAGTTGTGAAACACACTTTAGATCTTTTATGTTAATTGGCCCCGGCAGCACCCTAATAATGTATGCACAGCGATTGCAAATTAAAATTTGTTTGGAAGAAACAAATTTCACTTGCAAGTGTTAAAATGGTATACACACGATTCCAGTGTATAGGACCATACCCTTGGAAGGGGTTAAAAGCCAATAATATGGAAGGCCATCATGGAATATAATGCTTATTTTTCCATTTACAAACTTATCTGCTCAAGACTTGTTCTGCTATATCAATAGGGTATTTAACGTTTGTTTGTTATGAAGGAATTGTTCGGTCCTTGATACTTAAGAGATTTGCATAATACTATACTATATCTATATATCTAGATCTACACTGATAATGAGGAAACTGCACTCTAGCATTATCAAGTGTCTGACCTTGGATGGTGATGACTGGCTGAGAGTAGAAACACAGACATCTACATTTTGGTAACTTACCTGAGGTCTAAGCAAGGAGAGCTGGTGCCTGTTTGAACCAATATTAATTTGTCTTCCTGTAACGCGGACCTTGAAATAAACAAAAAAAAAAACAATTGAATGAAACATAACATATCTACATTGCCTTCACAAGGTCCATTCTCAATACCAATACTGGTACAATCCACAAAGAATAGAACATTTCTTAAAATGACAACATAATAGGATAGGTAAACACACAACTAAGTTGTATCTATCCTGGATGGATCAGCTGTGGACTTATCTAATTTGTGCCGGCCAGTAAGGAAAGAACAAATAAATAGAAAGGCTCAGATATCCAATAAGAAAAGAACATGCAGGAGTTAGCATCTAACTATAGGAGGCTGAGAGCCCAAGTGATAAAACCGCTGATTATAATTGTCTATTGATGGCTTTGTAACCAATTTACCCAATATTTCTCTATGTGATGATAATAAAAAACAGTCATATAGGATGGGAAAAGGCCAGTTTGCGCAGTTAATATGATCTTTAACTAAATAAAGGTGCACGAGTGTTCTGTATGCTTACTGTATTATTGAATCAATTGCAGCAATACGTTCAGCGACTATTAGAGATTCATTGAATGTTACATCATTTAGAGCAGGCCCGGAGTTACAGGCCAAAATCACCTAAAAAAAAAAAAAAATCCAAAGAAATACGATTATCCCAACAGCATTCGTTCTATCTCCAATTCAGCAGCTCAGGCTTTACGGTATTCGCAGCAGAGTGATACTCTTTATTGATTTCAGATGAGTGAAATGCTGAGTTGACTCTGCTGGGAATGTATCTTGAGGTCATGAGGTTAAAACCAGTACTGCAATTACATTATTTACCACTAGTGATGTACCGAACTGTTCGCCGAATGGTTCGCCACGGACTCCTCATTGAGTAAACTTTGACCCTGTACCTCACAGTCAGCAGACACAGTCCAGCCAATCAGCAGTAGACCCTCCCTCCCAGACTCTCCCACCTCCTGGACAGCTCACTAAGAATGCAGCTTCACAATGGATGCTATCCAGGAGGTGGGAGGCAGGGTCTGCTGCTGATTGGCTGGAATGTGTCTGCTGACTGTGAGGTACAGGGTCAACGTTTACTCAATGATGAGTCCGCGGCGAACCGTTCGGCGAACAGTTCGGGACATCACTATTTACCACCTATTCAATTGGGAGGTTAACTGGGAGGTCTTGCAGAAGAATGGAAAAAAGTATGTCCACCCTCAAAAAAAAAAAAATACATATTTACTGTAGGTGGTGGAAGTTCGTAATGGTTATAAAAAAGTAAGAAGGACTGTGTACATTGTTGATTAGCTTATGTAGAGAGAAGTAGTCGGAGAAGACTACCTTCCATTACGGGTAACGTATAAAAAGTGTTATAAAAAAAACACAAACCTTTATTCCAGACCGTAAAGTGTTAATCTAAGTATATAGCCCCCCTTTAAAGCTAGTAAAGACACACATTATTTCCAGAGGTGCGCAGGACTGCCGGCACTGGCTCCGCCCCTGTCCACCTCCTTGGCTGACATCAGAATTGATGATATCAGCCAATCACAATGCTTTCAAATAGAAAAGCATTGGATTAGCTGAGATAGTCAATTCTGATGATCTTCACCAAGGAGGCGGGACATGGATGGAGCCAAACAGCATCTCCTCACAGAGATGCATCGCTATGGAGAAAGTTCAAGTTTAGCAAAAGCATGTCTAGTGACCCTCTGAGGATTGGCCATTGTAGGTGTCCCTAAGCAGTAATGTAAACACTGCATTTTCTCTGAAAAGACATTGTTTACAGCAAAATAGTGTTCTTTAAAGTACTAGAAATGGGGTGGTCACCATGGAAACCAGTGGAACCAGCCAACATTTACATTGATGACTCCTCCCCTTTACCATTTTAAGTTAAATTAAGAAATACATTTTTGAAATACAGAGAAGAATATAGTTGCAGATATTTAAAAGCAGAAATTAGATTGTTGGAAAAAGGTCTTATTAAACCAAATTGTGAAATGATAGAGAAACCATTGCTCGAGTCTAATCAAATCACACTAATTCTTGCATGGTTGACAACTAGTTTGCTTTGCTTTTTATATATAACCAAATATTCATTCAGTACCCATTTACAAGCCACATATCAGAGTCTGAAAGGGCATAATAAACAGTCGTGTTTACATTACCTCAGTACCCCTGGAAAGAAGCTCTCTTACAAATGGAAATATCCCCAAAATAATATCTATGCCGCTGTTGTCCACAAATATTAAGGCACAATTATGAGGAGGACCCTGGAAGGGGGGGGAAAAAAAAAAAAGTTATGAAAACGTTCAAACCTGTATGTTTTTCTCACACAAAATAAAACATAAAAAAAAAAAAAAACACACTTTCTATCATACGTGAAACATGAAAGCTCAACCTGATTTATTTTCAATTCTAATAAATCTAATAACAGAATATCGTGGATATATGTGAAAAAAAAAAAAAAAATCCTATCTTCACCCACATTCTAAAAGAACAGAAAATGTTTGAGGTTTTAGGATTCGTGAAGCATTGCAACATGCAATACAGAGAAGGATAGAATGAGTTACATGTACATCAACAATACTATGTTAACAGTTCTAGGTTGTCAAAACACTGCTGTCCATCTTTATAAAAGCAGCTGCTCTTTCTCACTTGTTTCACGTTTTATTTCTAGCTCAATCTGACATTCAGAGATCAAAATAACAGAGCTAGAACTAAACTTGTAGACAGCGTTGTAAGGTCCAGTATCAGAAGAATGTTACATTCTATTAAGATCTGCTATTTTGCACTTACCTTTATCATCTACAACCGCTTTCCTTAACATTTGTAAGCACTAAATGCCTCTTCCGTATTACCATCCCAAATGTTCCCACCCTGTAACTTTATTTGAACAGATGTTATGTACTTTATCTTTCTCAGTTCCTGCTCTCCATTTGCCTCTCTTGCTTTCAGTGTTACCAATTTCTTTACTAGGGAAGGGTACCCTGGAAGTTAAATCACACTCTGGCTGCTTCACTTTCTACAAGTGTTCTGAAGGGATGCAGGATGCATCATGTGTTTCTTATAGGACTCTCCACCATGAATAAAACCATCCTGTATGGCACACAGAAGTCTACATATCATGCCCAACCCAATGAGAAGGATGATATAAAAGATATAAAACATTGCAGATAATACAACTGTACCTTTAATCGCTCTATCCATTTACAATAGGTGTCTACCAGCCAAGGTCGTGCTGTGGGACAAAAGTCAACAAAATACAGGTCACATCTAGTGTTCTAAAGACATTGTAGCAAATAGAAAAAAAAAACACACACAAAAAAAACAAAAAACAAACAACTAGAAGTGTTATTAACAAATAATAAGTACACAGAACACTAAGTAGATATCTTGGAGGAACACTGCAAGCAGAACATTGGGAGCAACACCTCAAGTATAAGTCAGGTGGAAATGATGAAAGCAGAACTCCGGGACAGAGTAGAGTTACACATAACACATTATAAAAGTAGTATAGAAATCTGGCTGACCTCTGACCAGCACTACAGGATACCTTTGTCATACCTTGTAACTTCTTTTTTGCTGCTTCAAATCCAAACTGCTGATCAGATTCCAGGACTCTGAATGGAATGTAAGAAATAGGAACACTTTAAATATGTTTTCAGAAGCATCAATGTATTCATTGGCCAGAAATCCCAGCAATTGGAACTCCTCTTTCTACCTAAAATATATGAACGAACGAACCAACGAACAAGTGACACACACACACAGCACAAAAAAAGGAAGTGTCACAAATGTTAAATTAAAACTCAGGCATTACCAGTATGTCCACTTCAATTCCCCTCTGTCAGTAACCCTGCCTATGATTAATTGATACATTTTATCTATGGAGGAGAGTGCCATCCCTCCCAACAATGGCAGATATGGATGTGAGACAAGCAGGTACAGGATAGAAGAGGAAGTAATAATGGGAAGGGATAATGTCTGCAAAAGGTGTTCTGAAGCTCCCTGCCCATGGCCTGAGTAACCCAATGTAACTGAGCTGCGAATATAATGATACGCCCACACTTTACTAATTGGGGACCTTTCCCTGGCATCTCCAGATGTGAGATGCCCGGGGGAATTAATCCTGAATGCAGGTTGGCCCCACTGAATCCAGGACAATTGGGAGGTATGCAATATACTAAACTGAATTATATAAACAGCTTCTCAGTTCAGCGCAAAGAATGGCTAACCTGGACACAAGTGACATCTAGTGGTCTAAATTCAGAACTGCAAGCACATCTTTACATCGTCATTGTTATTTGAATGCTTCACTTTCAAAACACCTACAAACTTTAATTTAATATCTCCCAAAAGTCCTTGGTTCAGCAGGACAAGCCCAAATATGGACTCCTATCCCACTGTCCTGTGTTTGCTCCCTCGTGTTTCTCCTATGCGAACACCATAAACCTCATAAGGCACAGCTTGAGAATGTCTTTATGTACAGCTAGAAGGAAGAGGGTAAGCTCTGCCTTTGCAATACCTCCAGTGGGGGGGGGGCAAGCTGTAGGCAGCCTGGGACTCTTATTTACTTTTAAACAAGTTGAAAATGGTCTTACACAGAATGAAGGGATAAGGATCTTAGATCCTATAACCTAGTCAATGAGTTGAAGCGAGTTTATTGATAAAAGAGTCCCTTTTAGAAAGTAAAATAAATCAGTATTACACATACATCAATACCCTCTGAAAATGAAACATCCTATTAAATGCCTACATTTTAATCTTTGATGCTGAATTCTTTATCCATTGAGACCAGTAAGCAGCAGCTGGTGAGCATAATCTGATCATTGCTTTGAGTGAAACAGATGAACAGATCAGTGGGGCTTTATTTACATATCTAGATAAATAACACTGATAGCATTATTCACCAGGAATTGACCAGGCAATATCCAACAAACACATACATACAAATTTGGTGGAGTATCTTGGTATACAGTGAAATGGAATATAATGCACAGTAAAAGCTGTAAAGACAAAAAGAGCGAAACCTAGTGCAATATTGTAAAGTATACAAGTGGCTTGAAGTATAATATGTGATTGGTACTCACAAACCAAGAGCCAAAAGGAACTGCCTCAATTCAGGCACCTGTGGGGTAGTTGTAAGGGTTCCCACTCCCTTTCTGTGTAGCAGCTGTTTCTATACAACTACCCCATAGGTGCCTGAATTGAGCCAGTTCCTTTTGGCCCTTGGTTTGTGAGTACCAATCACATTATTATACTTCAAGCCACTTGTATACTTTACAATATTGCACTAGGTTTCGCTATTTTTGTCTTTACAGCTTTTACTGTGCATTATATGCCATTTCACTGTATACCAAGATACTCCACCAAATTTGTATGTATGTATGTGTTTTGATTTTTATGTGGATTGAGGGGTTACCACATTGGTGGTGTTAGTACTTGGTTTTTCATTGAAGCCACTCGCTATAACTCAGTATTTGTATTATATAATATCCAACAAAGGCCATAATAGCCAAGCTTGGAAAAAAATAAAAAAAGAGAAAATTGGCCAAACATTTCAAATTCTCTTGTCAATTTGCTAAAATACAAGCTAAGCATAGAACCTTATAAGAGGTGGAATCAGGCATGGATCCAGGTGGTGAGCAACAGGGCAAGTGCCCTCTCGTGACGCCTGACAGGGACCCATGCCGGGTTACCAAACAGGAGTACCAGAATTGTAACCCATTCTCTGCCAGGTGCAAGCAATATTTATTGTGTATGCATGGAACATGGAAAAAGTTGAAGGTGTGGGGGCAGAATATGAGAAGAGGGACAGGAGGTGGGGATAAAATATCGACAAGAGGGCAGGAAGTGGGGAAGAAGGACATTAGGGAATTATGGCAAGAGAGGCCCAACTGGGGAAAGGGCGACCCATGTGAAGACGTAAACAATTAGAGAGTAATGCTGGATAGGCAAATAATGAAATTATATTAGAGTTTTATTGTTGTGGAACTCTATTATGCATTCACATACAATATTACATTAATGAGCCCTGCAGCAATGACAACACACAGGGTCTTTACCCAGCTCTGAAATATGGCAAACCGAAGCCAAATTGCTAAAATAAAAGCTAGGTTTGCTACAATTTGGAGTTTAGTGAATAACTGGCTGTAATGTGCATGACAAATAAAAGTATATCTATAGCATTTAGAAACCTTGATCACATACACAGAAACTGCTTTGGCTCCCCAGTCAAAGACATTGCCTGCCAGAAGTCCCTTCACCAACGCAAACTGCTTCTCTTCCCAGCCCAGTGCATCCAAAGATTTGATAACGCTCTGATAACATTTTAAGGCAAAATCATTTTCTTTTTGCTTTACCTGTGAAAGAGAAGAAAACATATATATAATAAGAAATTACTCCCACGATCACAAGTTCTCCTCATTAAGGTTGTTATGGTGGCAGGTGCTGTATTAACTCCAGGATTAAACGATATCTCAATAATTTAACCATGAAGATAGTCCTTCGGCATGTGACAATGCCGAACATACATATCATGGTCACTACGGCCATTTAGGTACTTGGCTGTGCTTGGGAACACTTCCCCAAACAGGACTATTCTCCCAATTGTGTCAATGGGGAGCAAACTGTCACCATGATTTGTGTAGTTACTCAGTCTCTTGTTCAGCTGAGCTTCTACTCTACCATAAACCATGGTAGCTAACGCAAGAAAATCCAGTTCATAATAAATCGGAGCTTTGTACATAATGTATGGCCATTTAAAAAGTAGGCTACTACACTGCTGAAAGGCACGGCACATGCAGCCCCAGCACCATATATTATTCATGCAATGGTTGAAATAATAGGAAAACAAAAAGCTCACCACTACGCAGGTCTTGGTCTATGCCAGGGATAGGCAACCTTTGGCACTCCAGATATTTTGGACTACATCCCCCATAATGCTCTTACAATCTTAATGTTGGCAAAGCATCATGGGAGGTGTAGTCCAAAACATCTGGGGTACCGAAGGTTGCCTATGCCTGGCCTATGCTGTCCCTACGCATGTTAAAGTTTGCATTTTTAAACTGCAAATCAGTCAACCCTAATTTTACAATCCAGAAACCCACGACGGAAGGATGTGGTTTAAGATTTTGTTCTCTCAGACGTATAAGAGTAAAGAACAGGTAAGCATGCACAGACTCTGACATGGGGGCAATTTATTTTTAATCTGTTCCTATAGTTTATTTACAATAAAATCAATATATGGACAGATCAGAAATAACCGAAAATAATAATAAAACCAAATTTACTCACCTTTGAATAGGGATCTGGAAAATCAAATTCATTTAAGCAGTGTTCCCGTGTATCCAACAAACTGCGTACTGTTAGTGAACCATAAGCACTAGGAGACAAGAAGAGAAACCAATAAGGAACGTGGAATGATGCAGAAGGCCAAGTAATTGTATAATGGGTTATACTATTAAAAAGTATGATACTGGGTTACACAAACACATAGTATTGAGAATACATTTCTCTAGTTCACAAACATATGGGGTTCCAAGGCTGATCATTATAACTAAAGAACATCTCTACCAAATGTTCTTGTGAAAAATCACACATGAGCAGGCACTTTCTATTATAGGATTGTGCACAAGCATTTGAGTATCATCCAGTGACTTCCTACTGATCTGAAATGCTGGCTGAACAACCAGTGACACAACCCCCGATTCACAATAGTTTAGGAACATGCCAATTTTTACTTTTATTGACCAGGAAAGTAACATTAAAGGGACACTATAGTCACCAGAACAACTACAGTTAATTGTATATGTTCAGGCTTTTTGCAGTAAACCCTATCTTTTCAAAGAAAATGCAGTGTTTACATTACAGCCTAATGATACCTCTACTGGCCACTGTTCAGATGACTGCTTCCTTGGGCAGTGCTGCACACTGTGCAGTACTGGCATTCAGTGACTCCACCCTCTGCATGGAGACATTGAACTTTCCTCATAGAGATGCATTTGTTCAATGCATCTCTATGAGGAGATGTGGATTGGCCAGGGCTGTGTTTTGACGTGTGCTGGCTCTGCCCCGATCTGCCTCCTTGACAGTCCCAGCCAATCCTATGGGAAAGCATTGAGATTGGCTCAGATAACAACTTCTGATGATGTCAGCCAAGCAGGCAGATCAGGGGCAGAAGCAGCAGCTGTAGACCTGAATAAACGTAAGATTTTGCTATATTTAGGGGGGCAAGGGAGAGGCCAAGGGGGCTTGATGGTGGTTTTAATACTATAGGGTCAGGAATACAGATTTGTGTTCCTGACCCTATAGTGCTCCTTTAAACAACATGAATGCAGGGCCAGACATAGGGCTGGTGGAGCTGCAGCTCTACGTCTATGCTCCTGTAACAGATCCATGTACTAGGCCCATAATAATGTACAGCAGGAGGGAGTGGACAGTACAAGGAAAGCAAAGGACAACTCTACATTTTACAGACTGGCTTAAGTGAACTCTTTGGCAGCCAATGTATTACACTGTACAAATTCAGGCAGGCAGCTGGCAGAGAGTACATCATCTTATATTGATGCTATCTTCATTTAATTGATCTATTGTCCTGCTCCAAGCTGCACATAGTAGCTATTCTCTATCTGCTAGTTAGATCCGGAGAGAGGATTTCAAAGACTGTACTCTGCGAGAGAACATGTTCTAGAGGCTTGTTAGATTGGTTTAGACATGCTAGGCTGAGATAGATTGAGAACAGAGTACTGGTAATTGCATGCGTGAGTGAGAATGGCAGGGGTGGTCGCGTGTGGCTGAGCAAGTCTTGGCATTTTCGTATACTCAGGTGGACGTGAGTGGCTTAGGAAAGAGGATGGGCACTGAGAAGAGTGTGAAGAAAGATGGGTGCAGGAATCACATACGATATGTGAATAAAATAAATAACTGCAACCTCCATGCGTCCCTTGCACCAGCCACATGGTTAACAACCCTATAAAATCTTGGTTCTCCTAACCATCATTTCAAAAGGGATGGCAGTTATTACTCACTTTTAATTTAGATTTTGTTGGGATCACAGTGAACAATGATACAAAACAACTGGGCCGTGTGTATTTAGAGAAAAAGTGCACTAACGTTTATTTTGCAATAATGCATAGGATCAATTGGGAGCCAACTGGCTGACATGCCTGCCAAGCTAAAATACATTTTCCTGGCAGCAACTATCCTCCATCCATCTCAAACATGTTCCCTGTGATGTAAGGTGCAGCACTGAAACCTCTGTAGCTATACAAACCTGTCCCTGATGGATTTTAACAGGACAACATGTAAATGTTCCTTTCCATTCAGAAACAGGGTCAAAAGACATAACCCACCTTGGCAGGACACAAGCCCTATATCAATACTGTACTACTGTTGCAGGAAACGTTGATAACATGGTTGTTGTGTGTAATGGGCTTGATTACAGAATTTTGCAGACCATAAACATGTCAGTACCATGCTCAAAGCTCTTTCTATTCTTATTGGCAACATAATCCACAGTGCTTTACAATTACATAACAGGGATGTCTGACAAGTAATTGACATACAAAATATTAGAGACAAGAGAAGAAGAAGGCGCTGCTCAAAAGAGCTTACAATCTATGAAGGAGCTGCTGAAACTAGCTCAATCCAGCAACATATTAGTGGGGTTGTCGTTCTCTCTGTGTCCATGACTATGATTTCAATTAGGACTAAAATATTCTCAAACCAGGAGCAACCAAATTAATTTCAAACTCACAATTCAGGAGCTGTTCAAATTTGTCTTTTTTGTAAATTTACATTTTACCGACACTCTCCAGATTAAAGATCCACTTTTTTCCACAGCCGGCAGAGGTTGGCACCACAAAGCACCTACTTCTTTCCTCTTTCCTTTATGCATGTTCTGCTTGCACAAGCAGGAGCCTCCATAATAGGACATCATGTACCTCACACCTACTTTCTGTAACACAGCATGCATCAAAAGGGAACGAGAAACGCTTGATCCTCTTCTAGAAACTAGGATAGCTGGTCTCTGGACCCTGGGATTCAGAGGCACAGACCCAAGTACACTGCTATAGTTATACTGCCTGAGCAGAATGAGATAATTGTATAAGGAGCCATATTTATATAAGAGCCAGTTACCCTGTAGTCAAATCAGCCCAGATCGGCAATCTCTTCCTCTACCGAGTAATGTTTTCATACAATATAGCATTTAAATTCTTTGTGGCTGTGTGGTCACCCAACATTTGCAAAATGGGTATAATTTTCTAAACTTCCTCCTTCCTCAACATTTGACACCAATTCCCTTTAACACACATCTTAAAATATATAATGTCCTTTGTTTGTGGCCAGTGTTTGTAGACTTGAGAAACTTACAAGGGCTGGTGTCGCAGTGTCTGTAGCTTATTCCAGTACTTCTGCTGGAACTTTTCTGCTCGATCTGTTGCGTCCTTAGCATCTGGCTGACTGGCAACAGCTCTTTTCGCCACCTTAAAAATAAGAGGAAAAATATGTTTTCAATGCTGTGACATTGTGAGTGTGTGTGTGTGTGTGTGTTTGTTTTTAAAAGGAATTGTTTCAACTTTAAACGTGAATTCTAAAAAACAAACAAAAAAATCCAACTTTCATCCATTAAAAACTAATCAAAAGGAGTTTTCTGGCGAATCGATCAGTTTTAAAAAGAAACAATTTTTTAAAATCAAATTCCAACTAATACATATGTCTATTGCCCACCAATTATCTATGACGTTTCCAAATGGCAGGATAGAACTAGACCAATATTGCTCAATGTAAATTATATTAGTAAGTAAGCATCCAGATTGAAGTATCCTTATTTTAAGTTTTAACCATTTAGTTTGCCAGTGGATTTTAGGGAGAAATGCTTCAAATTAGCAGGTACCGTGGAAATATGGCAAATGGACGTTTTCACCTACCAATAGGTTTTCTCAAAGAGCTGCATGTTAATAAGTAAGGATGTTTCTTCAATAAGCATAGATGACTTGCTTGTCAATGGATACACTTGGACCTGCCGTCCTTATTTAAACACAGAAGGAATTACTTCCATTTTTTATGGGATGGGCATTTTACGTGAAGGTGGCATACAAGTTGATTTATTTATTTTTAAGTCTTGTACTTTGTGTTCCATATTGTTTTAGCTTTATATCAGGCTTAGTGCATAAAGCCATTTCATTCTCTTACTCAGTATAGGGTGTTGTAGGACATATAAACTAAAACCACAAGGTGGCAGCATGATACATAAAATATGTGCATGTGCTCGTGAATGATGCAATATCTTGCCATGATTAACCCCAGGGCAAAGACATGCAATATTTTCATTAATGTTTTCCGTGCTAGCATAGAATAATCCAGAGATTTGCTGTATATGCCGTGTCACAGCTATAATTGCGATAATTAAAGAATTTGGAAATTGTTATGATGCCGCAGACCAGAGACAATAATCCTTGGCACTCCAGATGTTTATGAACTACAATTCACTTGAAATTAAAGGAACACTGTAAACCACTAAAGCACTCAGTTTAATTGCTTTATGGCTGATCAGAGCATCCACTTTGTCTTTTATAAAAGTGCTAACTTCAAGAGAAATACACACTTTTATAAACATTCTACATTGCACCATCCTGGATGGTTGTCTTCCTCATTCTATGAGAAGTGGGAGCCTCTCATAGAGAACCACTGGATTCAATGCTTCTCAATAAGAAGCATTTGCTTGGTGCAACACTACAATTGCCATGCATGTGCCACAGGACCCCAATGCTTCTCTAATAAGGATTTCCCAGGAGTGGAGTGGAACTGCAGCAAGGATACCATTTGGCCTCTGGATTAGAGGCAAGTAACATTTTTGTCCTTAGGCCATTTATTTCTAATGCTGAAGTGTTCATTTAAAGGGAAACTATAGTCACCAAAACAACTTAATGAAGCAGTTTTGGTGCATATATCATGCCCCTGCACTCTCACTGTTCAATTCTCTGCCAGCGTTAAATCACTTTTGTTTCTGTTTATGCAGCCCTAGTGACACTTCTCCTGGCTGTGACAGACACAGCCTGCATTTAAAAAAAATCTTTCATTTTCAATCACACGTTAACTTATTTAAGGAAATTTAATCTCCTGCTCTATAAATATCACAGACATGAGAATCCTGCAAGTTCTAGCAAGCTAAAATAGAACATGAAATAATATATTATAAAGGAAACAGAACATGCAATAAAAGAAGTGTAAATATTAGATCTCACTTTACAGGAAGTGTTTAGGAAGGATGTGCAAGTCATGTGGCTGGAGCTGTATAAACAAAGTGATTTAACTAATAAATGGCAGAGAATTGAGCTGTGACACTGAATACACCAAAACTGCTTCATTAAGCTTAAGTTTGTAGTTTATAGTAGCCCTTTAAAATTGGTTGAGCTTCATATGAAATGTAGTTCTGAAACACAGAGTGCCAGGGTAACTTTACTATCACAGACCATCTTGTTGCAATATGTACATTCCTTTTGTTACTTACCCCTTCCAAAGCTTCCTCAAAGCATGAAAGCCAGTACTCTCTTGCCATAGAATCCTCTGTTAGATCCACTGTATCGGGGATATAAGAGGTTGGGTCGTAGAGTAACGGAAGATTCACTACCAGTCTCTCCAAACGATCCATCTCCAGCATGTCGAACTAGAGAGCACAAAAAAATGGTCTTATGTGGATGTAAGCAACTGATATTACATCTTTGGTTCTCAGACCAGACCTCAAGGTCCAGTAATAGTTCAGGACTTTGAGATAACCCAATTATGTGCCATTGGAGCTATCAAAATCTAAAGGAGGACAGGTTTGTGAAGCAATGCTTTAGAGAAGTTAAGAAAAGTTAAAACAACATATTTAGAAACTGGGAAATAAAAAGGAAATCATTTTTGCATTTCATAAGATTTAAAGATTATCGAAAACATATGCACATGGATCCATGCCTGGGAATGCACACATTCACTACAATGCCCTTTGTGGGTGCACCAAGGTAAGCGTACAACATTTTTACTGCTTTTACATGTGAACTCTGTATTATAAAAATTGCCCACAAAATTAACTTCTCTTTAGTGAATTGCTTTTATAAAAAGGACGTGAGGAAGTAAAATCTCCAATTTTGAATTCATCGAAACTAAATAATCTTACACAACGAGAGGGCACTTCAAAGCATAGGAAGTAGTTCGTTTTTTGCTTCCCCAGAGAATGCAGCTGTTCATACAGGTGTGCTCACTTATAACGTGGAAATTAAAGAGATACTACCAGTTTATTTAGGGGTGGGGGTGGGAGAATTTGTTTTTGAATTGTTTGAACTACGTGCCACTTTTTCCTGTGATGGAGTCACCATGCTTCAGTGCAGTGTTTTTTGTTACACTCACACAAGCAAATATTTATTTTAGAATCTTGTAATTCTAGTTAAGTGAGTTAAGTGTTTATTTACTAGAAAATATTACCACATGCTTAAATGCAACAAAATAATTTGAGATTAAAAACATCAGAAATCTGGCAAAGCATTTTGGGAGTCAAGCAACACAACACGCGAGTGACAACCAACTGCTACCGATGTGAAGTAGAAAAATAAATAAATAAATAAATAATAAAAAAATAAAAAAAAGAAAGAAAATCTTGGCACTACTAAACAAACAGACAAATCCAACAAAAGCAACGACTTTCAGGAAGTCACTTACTGGAAACTGACGGTAAAGATGATAAAAGGTGGAAATGGGGGGAGAAGGGAAACAAAAAATGAGATGTATACAAAGCAAATACACATTTTATAACATGAAAACCATTTAATGATCAGGTTTGAATGCAATGCATGCAGTGACTAAATGTAGGAATGATTACTGAAGTCTCTAGAATTCAAACAACATTGCTTGACCGGAACTTGCTACATAAAACAAATTTAAAAGCAGTTTTTAATCCATTCAAGACAGATGAGATGTTAGGAGATTAATTACATCAAAAGATTTTCCTTATCCCCTTGCCCTGACCGGATTAAAATGCATAAACCTCTTTTTCACAATACAGTAGATTTCAAAACGAACACTTCATCACAAAATTATCCCCCACTTCAGAAAATCATGTTTCCACGTGTGAACTTGGTAAAGCATGAAAAGGCGGTGTTTGTATTGCTGCCTACTTGCCTCTCTAGTGGCAATCACTCAGATGGCCACTAGAGGTGCTTCCTGGGTCAGTGCTGCACGTTCAATGTCTCCACACTCTGCATGGAGACTCTAAACTTCCCCACAGAGTTGTGTTGATTCAACGCGTCTGAGGAGATGCTGATTGGTGCAGTATTTTGCTGGGCATGCGCAATAGCCTTCCAATGCTTTCCTAATGGAAAGCATTGGATTTGCGGAGATCATGTTTGACCAGATCGGCGTTGGAGAAAAGGTGAGATTAAACACCTTATTTCTCCAAAGAGAAAAAAGTAAATTAACAGGACACTCCAGGCACTAGGGATCAACTGATTATCAGTTTGGTCGATAATACTGGCCAATATTAGGCATTTGGCACATATCGGTATCAGTTTAAATTATTGTCTATACCTGTGGAGGAGCGGGTTTTCTGACCTGGGTGCCACACACTTCGTAGAGGTGGAGGCTTGGACCAAGTAGTCGCTATCTTCTGTTTCCAGCAGGTCCTCTCTCCAACAACGCGCCAGGCACCCCACTCTACAATCTTAAACCCCCTGTCAGCCTGCACATAGCCACTGCACCACCAGGCAGCATAATTCCCCCCTCCCTGGCCACAGGTAAAAGGCAGGGAGAAGGGGAATAAAATGTTGGGTTTTGTTTTGTTTTTTTCCTTACATTTAAGCAAGCAAATTAGGGATTTACAATTGTTGCTATTTTTTCTTCATTCCTGTTAAAGTGCTATTTTGCACCAAAATGCATGATGCTTTAGACCCCTCCCCTCCCCCCTCCCCACTTAAATTATTTTTTTGGCTCCAGTTTTGTGTTACACATATACTCTTCTAATACGCGCACAAGAGAAGGCTGCATATGTTATCCCCCCAGCAGCCTGTACAAAGCCACTGGACTACCAGGGGACGTATATCGGTACTAGTTACTGGTTTATGTACTCAAAATGCCACCGATATCAATATCAGACCTTAAAAAAAACAAAAAAAAAAAAAAAAATAATAATATTGGTCAATCCATACTGGGCACCAACTACTCCAATGTATTTTATAAGGGTTGGCCTCATTAATATGCCGATTGTTTTGCATTCTCAAATCTTTATCTTTTTTGCATAAAACAAATGTTTTGTAGAATGCTGCACCATAAGCCTGCCTTTTTCAGCCACACCCCCTCACTCCAAAAAAATACTTCCTTAGCAAATGTATTCACACAAGATCTGAGCTACAAAACAGATTAGCATTAGAAGCGGATACCCAGGTAGACATATAGCAAGGAATAACCATTTATTGTTGCTGTGAATTAAAAGCAACTCAGTCAGTACTGCTGGGGCTGAGACTGTGTGCATACATTTGATAAGGAAGTTTTTTTTTCTGGCATGAGCATTTGACTAAAGAGGCAGGTTATGGTGCAACATTCTGAAACATTTATTTTTATTTTCTGCAAAATAAAATAAAGAATTGAGCATGTAAAAAATTCAGCATATAAATGAGGCCAAATTCTATCAAATGTATTAAAGTTGTATTCGTGCCCAGAGTGTCTCTTTAAGCGAAGTTGGACATTGTTTCTATCTTCATGTCATGGCTATGGTCTCTATTGTTATTTAATATGGAAACCAAGTGAAAGGAGATGATAGGGCTATTAGAGAATGACTGGATTGAGATCGACTCCTTTGGAATAAACAGACGCACAGGGAGTAAACAAACAAAAAAGGGATAAAAGGTCTGATTAAAGAAGAAGGGGTAACTGTAGCATCAGGGCAATGTGTGTGGTTACAGATATAGTGTGATCATGATTATATAGGTCAGGGCTGTTGGTTAATTTGTACAGGCCAGATAACAAGCGGTGTTCAAGCAACCAGTAAAGAATGACGATTGATAGGTAGCAGCAATCAGAATGCAGGAGAGGATACAAGATTTGCAGGTGGCTAGTTCTCACATACAGGGGCACCAGCAATATATCAGCAGTGTTTTAAGCAAATGTTCCCTTCATTAGGACTGTGCTGACCTGGCATTGGTTTTTTTTTTTTTTTTTACAGCTGTACATCACATATTTTCTTATATTAATCCTGAACATTTCAATTATTATTTTCCCCAGAAAAAATAATAGCTTTTCAGCAATTCACGGTTGTTTAAAGACACAATACTTTATAAGATATTGCCTCGTAATGACCCCATGAAATAGGAAATGAAGAGACCACTCATACAAATATACTGATTGTATAAGAGACTATTGTATATGTGTTTAGGCAGCTGAAATCCAATGAGATATAATGAAACATTGACTGCAGTTACTGTATTGAGGAAAGGAGGTTTTCATCACAGTTAATATCCTTGCTCACCGTTCCGCTTCGAGAGCGCTGCATAGGGTAGATGTCTGGGGATGTGCTCATGAGACCAGAACTCCCAGCGTAATTTTCTCCCCAGCTATAAAGGTTAGGATCTAAAGGTGAAAAACAAGACACTAGTTATGCAATTAATAACAAGGTATGAAGGCAAATTAAAGTGTATGTGGTTTCAGAAAAAACTAAATATATACATACATACATCATACACACACACACACACACACACACACTCATACATATACACACACACACACACACATAGCATCATGGCCACTGCCTATTAAATCTTTTTAGCTTTGTAGAATTGCATCATGTTACGGTTTTTCAGCAGGAATCAGTACTTTTATACTACACATATGCACGAGAGTGCAGCAGTGACGTAATATTTAAGAGAACCCAATCGGAACAAGATAGCTGGGATTGTGAGGGACAGGTTCCAGTAAATAAATCTCACTTTCACCTAGTAGGGTTCTTTGTGAATTCGCCAAAGTCCCTAAACCGTGACAATCCCGCTTTAAGAAAAGATTATAATATAGTTTAATGTTCTAGTAATGTCCTTGATTACACTGTTGTAAATGTATATTTGCCAAATGTTGGGCACACTGGCATACATACCGCGTTCGCAGGGGTCGCAGCTGCGACCGGGCCCCGTCCGCCCTGTGACCCGGGTATGTACGCCAGTCTCTTCTCCTGGAGGGCCCAGGAGCTGGCCACCTTAAGGCCCTCCGAGGCTGGCAGTGGTGTCACTTTGCGGGTGCGTGGAAGTGCAAGCGAGCATTTTCCCCTGAGCGCTCTCTGCCCAGCTCCCTCACGGGCAGCGCAGTGATGCCGGAGACGGAATATAATGTCACTCCGGCATCAGTAAGCGGCACGTGAGGGAGCTGAACAGGAGGATCAGTGCTCCCTCGCCGCCTGTAGGACCAGCCGTCCAGCAGCCCCACTGGACCAAAGGGAAATCTGGAATCCCCTCAGCACTCCCAAAAGGTAGGAAAAAAAAAAAAAAAATACCGTATATACTCGAGTATAAGCCGAGTTTTTCAGCACATTTTCTGTGCTGAAAAACCCCAACTCGGCTTATACTCGAGTCACTGTCTGTATTATGGCAATTTACATTGCCATAATACAGACTGGGGTCTGGCAGAGCTGTTACTTACCAGTCCTGCAGCTCCTGCCAGCTCTCTCCTCCTCCGCGCCGGTCCGTGCAGCACCTCGGTCAGCTCCCAGTGTAAGTCTCGCGAGAGCCGCGGGGTCATAGTGCGGCTCTCGCGAGACTTACAGTGTGAGCTGAGAGAGGAGCTGCACGGACCGGCGCGGAGGAGGAGAGAGCTGACAGGAGCTGCAGGAGAGGTAAGTAACAGCTCTGCCAGCCCCCTCCTCCCCCCACTGAACTGCCAATGCCACTGGACCACCAGGGAAGGAGAGCCCCCCTCCCTGCCATGTATCAAGCAGGGAGGGGAGACGAAAAATAAATAAATTTATAATAATAAAAAAAATAATAACAAAAAATTAAAATAATATTAATTAATAATATATAAATATAAATAAAAAAATAATTAAAAAAATAATATAGCCCAAAAAATTAAAATAATAAATAATAATTTTATTATTTATTTTTTTTTATATAAAAATACACACACACTGCATTCATATACACACACACTGCATTCATACACACACACACTGCACTCATACACACACTGCATTCATACACACACACTGCATCACACACACACACACACTGCATTCATACACACACACTGCACTCATACACACACACTGCACTCATACATACACTGCGCACTCACACACACACACACTGCATTCATCATATACACACACTGTTAATAAATATTCAATTAATATAATTTTTTTAGGATCTAATTTTATTTAGAAATGTACCAGTAGCTGCTGCATTTCCCACCCTAGTCTTATACTCGAGTCAATGAGTTTTCCCAGTTTTTTGGGGTAAAATTAGGGGCCTCGGCTTATATTCGGGTCGGCTTATACTCGAGTATATACGGTAGTTTTGTGTGTAGACTGTGTATGTGTGTTAGTTTTTGTGTGTCAGAGTGTGTGTGTGTGTGTGTTACTGAGTGTGTTGGTGTGTGTCTGTTATTGAGTGTGTTAGTTTTTGTGTGTGTGTGTGTTAGTTTGTGTGTGTCTGTTAGTTTGTGTGTCAGTGAGTGTTACTGTGTGTCTGTTAGTGAGTCTGTTTGGTGTCTGTTAGTGAGTGTGTGTTTGTCAGGGAGAGTGTGTGTTTGTCAGGGAGAGTGTGTGTGTGTTAGCTAGTGTGTATGCGTCTATTCATGAGAGAGTGTGTGGTTAAAAGCCCTTCAGCACTTACCCAAGGAAGCCCGACGCTGGAGATCTCTCCGCCCCGTTCCGCCTCTCAGCTCCGAATGCGCATGCACGGCAAGAGCCACGCGCGCATTCAAACCGCCCATAGGAAAGCATTACTCAATACTTTTCTATGAACGCCCAGCGTCTTCTCACTGTGATTTTCACAGTGAGAATCGTGGAAGCGCCTCTAGCGGCTGTCAGACAGCTACTAGAGGCTGGGTTAACCCTCAGTGAAACATAGCAGTTTGAGCTGAAGTGATCTGAGTGCCTATAGTGGTCCTTTAAGTGTATGTGTATCTGCATGCACTGGCGTACATACTGTGGTCGCAGCCCTGCGACCAGGTGCCTGCCGCCATGTGTTGCGGCCCCGGCCCGCGCAGAGTAAGCATGGGGGGGGGCATGGATCAATTTTCGCACCGGGGCCCCATGGATCGTGTGTACGCCACTGGTTGGGCAATTTCCTTTTCTTAAAAGGGTATCCGGGTCTGAGAACAGGAAAGGTTATTGTAACTGTGGATTTGAATATGCTATTGGATCCATTGCTGGATTCTTCCCCCACTTATGGCTCTCCCACATTTAAGAGACTGAAACTGTAATTCGAAATAAGTTAAGTGAGGAAATAGATACAATTCTAATTCAAAAGACTGTATTTTGGTAGAAAACAATGAATACATTTATCTGTAACCCAGTGCCAGGCAAAGCTTCCTATGCTGATTTCCATGCCTCTGCCCAACGTCACAACTCCTTTGTTTAGTCCAACAGAGTGTGAAGACACTCAATTAGGGGACCCAGAGCCTGTTAAACTCCCAGATGCGCCTCTAGTGCAATGCAATGCTTTACATTGCAGGACTAAGGGGGACAGGGACACTACACCAAGACCACTTCAATGAGATGAAAAAAAAGAAGAAGAAAAATAATTATATTAATATTATATATATATATATATATATATATATATATATATATATATATATATATATATATATATATATATATATATATATATATATATATATAAAATTTTATTTTTATTTTTCCTTAGGCCATCAGTTAGCAACTTATATATAACACCAATATAATTTATTAAAACTATACAACTGTCTCCTGAGGAAATTCATGATTTTTTTTAGTTGTTAGATTTTGCCTTCAGGATTGGTGAATTCTTTAGAATTTCAGCTGATGTGTGTTCAAAGTAATTACAACTGCTCTTTAGGGCATCTTATAGAACATTTCTAAAATGTTATTTCCATAAATGACAGTTTTTAATGCATATATGAGTAAGAGATTCTTTCCAACTGGTTTCTTGGCAGCAAATATTGTAACCTTTGCCAAACCAGGTAAACCCCTTACCTAATGTGTGCACCATCTCTCTCTTGAACATTATTTATCCAAGCAATGCTAATGTATTCAAGAGTTTAAACTGAAACGTTGATATTTTGACAAATAAAGTTAAGTTTTATTTAGAAGTCCCAAGAGTGCTGACCTTTCCTTGTACATTGGCTATATTATATTATATTATACAGGTATTATAAAGTACAGAATCCTGAAAAAATTAGATTTTTAGGTTCCAGCTTTTTACTTTGTTGTAAATTGAAATTTCACTTAACGAAAAGCCACAAAAACATTCTGTTTAGAATTATCAGAAACATACTTACTGTCTTGCTCTGCTCCTTTCAAAAATGCCCCAATTGCACCCAGATAGCCTTCATGCCTAAGAAAAAGCGCCTGAACCTCCCCCTGAAAAAAGGGCATGAACAGGTCAATGTCAAGTAAATAATGTACACTATATACAATTCACACTTTTGTGAATAATCCTGCAAATATGGCAGAAGTCAGAATTACAGAAGGGACTTTGTTGCTTGGCATGAAACAATACACCCTTCAAGACATTTTGTTTTAGTCACCGCATGGTACCCAGTATAAATGGCAGGTGAGGACCTTCTCACCTTGGAGAAGAAGTTGATACTGTAGGTGATGGTATGCATTGTAACAGGGTGGCCTCGGATAAAGAAACCTCCGAAGTAGACTTGGGACAAGTTATGTTGTTTGGCATACAGACAGGCCAGCTGACCAATGTCATTGCTGATCATGTGCAATAAGCTCTTTGCCATGTCCTCTTTGGAAAATTCTGCAAGTAAATAAAAAAAAACAAACATAAAATACTTTAATGGATATAATAAAACTACTACAGTCCTATAAAATACTACCATAAAAGGAACTTCTTGAGGCCCCTCAATTGCTCTACAGAGCCCCAACAAAATGGAGAGGAGATGCAAATGTGGCAAATAATGTTACATACACATTTATTATACTAAATATAAATGTAAAATAACAGATTAATTTCGTATCTTGTAATTCATTTTTTTATTGGATTAACATCTGCATCACTGGACTATTACAACTACAATCTCTACATATTCTATGAAACTGAATGCAGCACTCTAGTGAACCCATTTGACTGTCTTCCGGTGATGTGGGTGATGCCTCGGAGGGGATCTCTGTGCAACCTTCTGCCTGGGCGGGCTTGCGACTCATGTGATATGAGCTGGGCGAAATGCTTTGCCCAAGACAGGCCGTTCCGCCTCGCATCCCCACTCCTCTCCGCCTCCCTTGGGTAGGAGGTGGTTGAGTAGTGCGCTGCTCCAGCTTCTCCCAAAATTGGGTGAGTATTAGGTCCAGCTGCATGAGCAACGACTGCATGGTTACAGGCACTGATGGTCGATTTGCGTCCACCATTTTTCTGGGACCAGTGTAGTCATAGCCTGTGTTGCAATAGACATTAGAAGCCAGTGGCAGGGTGTGTGAAGGATTGGTGGGGCCACCGGGATAACCCCCACCGGTCCATAGAGGGGGGAACGGGAGCCGAATCTGCGAGTTGTGGTGGCGGGAAAGCGGCTGTCTCCCCCGGGTCCACCATGCTTCTAGGCCGTAAGATTTGGCCACTCAAAGCCAGTAAAGAAGTGTGGTATTGGTTTGGAGGTCGTGAAGTCCCCTTGCGTTAGTAAGCCAGATTATGTCAGGTTACAGGCACTGCTCAGGGAAAATCAGCAAGATAAGCGTTCGGATGCGGGAGCCGCTGTAACCTGCGTCTGTTCCAGTCTGCGGTCAGGCCCCGCCCCCGACTGACTATATTTTTTCTAATCCAGCTACATTGGCCTAAATTTAGAATTTTTATTTACTTTGAAATTCCAGCAAGATAATGACTCCTAATAATCCATAACATTCCAAAATAAATAAAATAGATGAAAACACATACACTAGCTGAATATAAACCCATGATTGGTCGTACCTTTGTCTGCAGTGGCAGACTTGCCAAAGCTGCTTGCTATGAGGTTTCCAGTTAATCCCAGGATTTGGTAAGCTCCTCCATATATATCTTTCACCAACATATCCACATTTGTGTGTTGTCCCTTAGCAGCGAGCTGTAACAATTCATCAAATCTCTGTCAACATAAAAAATAAATGGGATGAGTTTGTATAGCTAAACAACCACTTTAAAAAAGGAATGTTTTAATTACACAAAAAATAAATGTAAAAAGAGGAGGGGAAAAAAATAAACTGAAATGCCTTACTTGTGGATTAAGGGTTTATTCACTAAACAGCAGCTTGTAGAGAAGAACTGAAAAACAGAACTGAAAAGGTTTTAAAATTAGTATTCTTGTATGGAGCAGTTTTGTTTTCAGTTCACTACAATTCAGTGATTAGTGAATAAACCCTGCAGTAACAATAAAACTGAAGAAATGTGAAAATTGTCACTTCTTTAAACCCATTACATAAAACACAGAAAATCATCTATAACTTGTGTTAAATGTTTCATGAGATGCTCCAATTTATTTTAGATTTATGTTAAAGGTGACTAACAGAGCGCTAAGATGGAGGTGTCCAGATGCTGGAGAAATATGTATATTACTATATTTAATTATCATTTCCACACTTCACATATACATATTTGTTAAATATAGGGGTTATTTGTTAAATATAGGGGTAAAGGGAATATTACAAATCCTGGCAAGCCATAGTCCCCCTTAAAAATGAACATGGAGTTATCCAAGTGTCAATTTGTTACTTTGACTTCTGGGTAGTCTGAATCACAACACCAAAGACATCAGCAATGAGGACATAAGAGGAAAGTACATCTCGAGAGCTGGTAGGGGGGTGGCCGATTAGCAGGAAACGTTGTACCCAACCTTGGACCTCTAGACAGGACAAAGTAATAGTAGTAGTAGGGCTGTTTGCATCCTCAGCAACACAGGACATTCCATCTCAGTACAACACAATGTTTCAATGTTTTTTGGTAGTGCCTTTCCATTAGCACCTGGGTACTAGGTGTAGTTATTGCTGTACCTGCAAAGCTTCATTTTGTTTTCGAAAGGAATCTGTTAATTTTAAGGTTAAAGCATCTGTGAAATGTACATAATTCTAGCACACGAATACAATGACAGGACTGTGTATAAAAGAACAGGTTTTTTTCTCTTGATCATTAAACCTGCATTGCAACTGCAAATGGTTCGGTAACAACCATAAAGCTGCATGACTTTAAAAAAAAAAAAAAATTAACTGATGTCAGAAAACAAACATCCAATATATAACTACTACTGAACAAATGAGGAAGAAGATCCAGAAGTATCGTTAACCATAAAAAAGCAGAGGTATTCTATGCTGGTACACTACAACATTTATTTTTGCAAAAGACCATATAGTAAAGAGGCCCATAAACTTTGCTTATTCAGGTTTGTAGCCTTCTAAAAGCCGTGGATTTGTTTTTTTTAAGTGATCACTCAATTAAAAAAAAAAACTAATTTTTTTCCATTGCTGCCTGACCTTGGTCTTTGTGAGCAGAGCTCCAAGCCCCCAGAAGGTTCCACCACCTATAGAACTTCCACCGATGCGTTCAAATTTGTCCTCGGTTTCTACCTGCAAAGAAAACATATTTAGAGACGCAATCTACATTAAACAAAATGAAAATAAATAACTCACACATACAAATATAACAGAAAAAAACAGAATGACAAATAAATCTCTGCACTCAATCCATCACTGCAGTATGCGAATATGATTAACATCCACAGTTCCTGCTTGTGATATATGATCTACAATACAGGGATTTCTATTCTGTTTAATATTGTTTATGTTTTGTATAATGCTGTGCACACACTTAACAGAACAACAAAAAAAAAATATATATATATATATATATATATATATATATATATATATATATATACACACACACACACACACACACACACACACACACATATATATATATAAACACACACACACACACACACACACACACACACACATATATACATATACATACATATATAAAACACACATACATACATACATACATACATACACACACCAGTCGGTACAGGTTTTTGAGGTCTACAAATAAATTCAAAATTTTAGTGAATTTAATGTAACAATGCACAGAAAAAAAAATATAGTAATTAAGGTACTTGTCATGACAGGTTGACTTTAACAGGTAACAGCTTCTAAAGCTCAATTATAAATTTAAATGGTTTAGGATCTGGTGAGTTAATGCTCTCCTACTCTCCGGCATACCAGTGCTCCCATGATCAAAAGTCGGCGGGTGTTACACTAAGTTTACATGTATCCCTGGTCCCTCCTTTTTCCAATGTGAACCTTTCATTGCCAGCTCGTCAGGGTAAGAATAGAGTGCCCACTCTCTTCTGATATTCCCCCAGAATCACAATGAGCGCTCACTAGAGGAATATCACAGCAATTAGTGCATGCGCTGCAGAAGCTATGACAGGAGAAGAATCATGTTTTGGAAGGTTCTCCCCCACTCCCCTAACTTTCAAATGGTGACAAACATCTCTAAAATTTTTCACGTCTCAGATTTTGTAGATTGATTCAGCTGTTCACCAATAGCTGAACTACAACTCCCAGAAATCTTTGCTAAACCTATAGAACACAGCTAATGCCCTACACTAAGCCCTGCTATAGAAAGTTAATTGAGCAGCAGTCTCCTGTTTTGGGGACAGGTTGTTTCATAAACTGCAAACACAACATTTAAAGAGCAAACTAATTAATAGCAATTAATTAATAAAAGAGCAGATGGTTATAAAACACTAATCAAATTAAACAAAAAGAAATTAAAAAGAACTAAAGGTTGAGAATGTATCAAACTCCACTATTCTGAGTAATTTTGCAATTAGTTTGTCACTTTTTTTAGACATCAAAATTTAATAAGTGTCTAATGCTCCACCCCCTCTAAAACACAAACAAAAAAAACTGTTCATGAAACAGAAAACAAGGGAAGGTACCAGTGCTAATATTCGGACAATGTTCAATTTTAACAGTATAATAGCCCAACTAATGGTTAGCTGCTATATCACCTCAGTCTTATCTTTCAACAACAAAGTATAGCCAGTGGGGAGGTGAAGCGCTATATTATATATGGGTAAAACCAAAATAGAAAGTGTTCCGTGCAGTGGAGCGCAGAGATATAGTTCAAAATACCTTGACTTGTCTTATATCAAATCACAAATGCAGTTCCTTAAAAACATAAGCAAAAAAACCTAGACATAGTGCAAACTGTGACACAAAAGTAAGCATATACAAAGGAGGATATGGATTTCCCACTCACACTTTTAGGAGCTAAATATGTATAGCTCAATAGAATCACTTTCGGGGGTCCGTAAAGGCAACCCTTTTTGCTCATGAAACAGGTTGATGCTTTTTAGCCACCAGATGCTGTTCATTAAGGGTTGTTATTGATACACAAACAAGGGTGTCCTATTTCCTACAAGTTGTCAGGATTTCACAAATATGATTAAATCACTATGCACTATAATCGATTCACCACGTCTGTGTCAAACGTCATTTGGTAGAAACCATCTTACCTTAATAATTGAAACCCCTGAGCCAATATTAACAAGTAAGTATGGAAAAATGTTAGGGTGGGTGTTCTGGAATCGAAATTCGGGATCCCCGTGTTTCACATAGACAAACGCTTCATGTGGTATGTTCTTTAGAACAAAATTGCACCCCTTTATGAGACATGTTATTTCATCTTCTTTGTCCACACTAAAGCAGAAATCGGAAAACAGAAAAAAATATTAGTTTTATTTCGTACATGTATACACTCGGTCAGTAGAATACTGCAGGAAAACTATGACAAGTTTACCCTTTATTCTTATTTAAAATAAAAAGATACATAGGTTATAGCCCCTCTGTGTATAATTTTGTAATGCATGCATATAAGTCAATACATCTTTTTAATGTATCTCTTCATCCACCTTTGATCCATATGGGTCAGATTACACATAAACTGTGTTTCCTATCAGAGAAAACTATGGCTTTCAGGATAAGCCCGAGATGCGGGGGGAGGGGGAGGTATTTACATAAGTTTGCATTACAAAATAATACACACAAATTATATTGAATAACAAAAATTATGATTAAGATTCCCTTCAACATAAATATTAAAACAAACAAGTTTACGCGGAAGGTTTAGAGTAGAAGAGCAACAAGGTCCCTGACTAGGGTCTACACCTAGTGCCTATAACCACTAATTCAATAGGATGACTCATTCCAATGAAAGAGTCACGGATTAGTGCTTGTACAGTATGTTATCTGAGGGGTACATGTCAAACAACAAAGTGGAGTACAAGAATCGCCGGCATTGTACGCTAGCCATTAGAGCTTCTCCTCCCTTGATCTGCCTCTGAGGGTAATTACAATCCTGGCTTATTAACGATGCTAGATGATGTGTGATGTGATGTTTGACATGCACGGCTTGAGTGGAATCGTGTGCTATGGGATGAGGGCTGGTTCTCTGGGAGGAAGATATGAACAGAGGTTGGAGAGAGAGTGAGAGGTGACTTCTTTTTTTGTTTTTTGTTTTTAAGAGCTAGACAATTTAAAGACCAGTTTGGAAACTATAACACATTCATTGAAATTAACTAGTTATGGTGCCAAGTCATCTCTGGCGCTGACTCACCTTTAGGTGTTAAACCATTCACTTCGGTTCACATACTGTTTAACCTCAAAGTTTGTGTTCAAGTGCCATATCTCTCAGCCCCCTGTCCTTCTGTTAGCTGAAATGCTTTGAAACGGAAATTATGGCTGCTGCAGGCAAAGGCGACTCTAATTGGCTAAGAGGTCAGCTGATGCTCTCAGACGATCAGTGCCTCCCTATTCACATAAAAAAAGCTTGAGAAAAATAATTAAAGTTTCTCAAGTCCCTAAAGGTGAGGCAGCACCAGGGACCTCCCAGCACCATAAGAAATTTATTTTGAAGTGGTTACGGTGCCTGGAGTGTTCCTTTAAGGTGCTGTTTTATGTGACGACTGCTATATTACCAATCACAATAGCACTCCCTGCAACCTGATAGGTCAGTGTGACAGCGCACCCTCTCTGTTTGTACCCTCTGCAATTGCACAGGTTGCAAAACCCCAAGGCCAGCCCTGTCAGTAGATCAAATGTTTCTATGGGTCTGGGTTAGGACATGAACATGACAAGGCACAGATACATTCACCTGGTTTTAGAATTATAGCTGCTTGTGCGAATCTAGTAGTAAAGAAAATACACTTTTAAAGAACAAAATTTCACTATTAACGAACACATGCAAACTAGATATATTGTTAAACATAAAAGAAGTTAAAAGAAATGGACTTCAGCATTGCGTATTGTGTAGATAAAAATTTAAAAAAATAAAAAAGGTACATGCCATTCACCATAGGCAATCTTGAAGCTGCCCTGTGTCTCATCTCCTCTCATTCTTATTATAGATTTAGTGATTTAGATTTTTTACAAGCTCAAATCCTTGCACAAAAAAAAAAAAAAAAGTTTTGTAGAATTCTGGACCATAAGCCCACCTCTTTAATCAATGCCCCTCATGCCACAAAGACTTTCTTATCAAATGTATGCACACTCAGCGCCAACAGTAGTGACTGATCTGCTTCGAATATACAACCTTGCTGCTGACAGTCTGAGTAACCGTAAACAGGTAGTGATACCATTACTTTAAAGGGACACTGTAGGCACTGTATCTGCTTCATCTCATTAAACTGGTTATAGTGTCTGGAGTACCCTGGTACCATCATTTCTTTCAGCATTAAACATGTTTTATGTTTTAATGCTAAACAAGAGTCCCTGGCAGTCCATCCCCTCTGTGCTGCTTTGGCTAATAAGGAAGTATTAGCCTGAGCAGCTGTGGGCAGCTGTGATTGGCTGAGAGTGTCAGCTGACTGCGTTTAGCCTGTCAGAGCTCCAACTGATGGTATGAATGGGTATGACAAAAAGGAAGTGTGTAAACTTTGCCTTAGCTACACATACAGAAGAGGCTGGACTGTGGGTGGCCAGGGACTCTTATTTTTTGGCATACTGCACAAACATGGTGCAACACTGAATGGAGGGACAGTGCCAGGGCACTCCAGGCACTATAACCAATTCAAAGAGATGAAATGGTTATAGTGACTACAATGTCCCTTTAAAGGACCACTATAGTGCCAGGAAAACATACTTGTTTTCCTGGCACTATAGTGCCCTGAGGGTGCCCCCACCCTCAGGGACGCACTCCTGCTGGGCTCTGGGGGGAGGAAGGGGTTAAACTTACCTCTTTCTCCAGCGCCAGGCGGGGAGCTCTCTCATCCTCTCCTCCCTCTTCCTCCGTCATCGCCTGAATGCGCATCAAGAGCCGCGCGCATTCAGCCAGTCCATAGGAAAGCATTCTCAATGCTTTCCTATGGACGCTGGCGTCTTCTCACGGATTTTCACAGTGAGAAGCGCGGAAGCCCTCTAGCGGTTGTCAATGAGACAGCCACTAGAGGCTGATTAACCCATTTATAAACATAGCCGTTTCTCTAAAAAAGGGTAAACCTAGCTGGACCTGGGACCTGGTCTGGGCGCCTATAGTGGTCCTTTAAGTGTGCCTGGTGTCCTCTCCTTCTAATGCGGATTGTTTTATAGTTCAGTTTATTCATTAGTGTCAGTGGCCGAGCTATGTACATATATTTGATAAGGAAGTTTTTGTCAGGAGTGAGGGGGAGTGGCTAAAGAGGCAGGCTTATTGTGCAACATTCTGAAAAAGAAAAAAAATGTAAACATGCAAAAACACAGCATGTTAATGTGGTCATTTACTTACTGCTGGTATAGTTTGTAGGGCATTTGAAAGTATAAAACTGCTTTACACTCTGCGTGCCCTCCCCCACCCCCAATTAAAGAAGAGCATCAAGAGGAAAATCAATGGTATTGGATATAGACAACCAGTCAGTTGAAGATTCTTATTTTTGTTGGTGTAGATTTGTTTTTATTGTCATATTCATACCTTATGACAATACAGTTTTCTTTAAAAATAAAACAAATCTTTATGTGCCTGCAAAATGGATAAAACAAATATTTTTTTTGTTTTTATGTACAAAACAAAGAAGAAATAAAATATGGGTAATGTTAAAGTAAGTTTAAGACAGGGCCACCTAGGGTATACAAATAAATTAATTAAAAAAAAAATAAATAAAAAAAAAAAATAACACAAAATAGTACCTACCTAACATGGATGCGTGCATCCAGCAAGAATAATAAGCATGGAGCATAAATTATACAATTTATTCAAATTCTTGAACTCTTGTTTGTCAGACACTGAGCCAACTCACTTTAATCCTAATTTCTTTTCAATGAGGTCTTTGAATTTGTAGGCTCCTCCACCTGTTGCCTTGATAACCTTTGTCTCTGTATTCACTAGATGATCTTTGATAAAGTCCAGACAGGTCTCTATGTAAGTGTTTTCAAATTTAATGAAGTGGAGTCGAGCTGTGATCTCCTCTTGTTCGGATATTTCATACAACGAATCATGGTCTGCATCCTATGGAAGAGGACAGTGCATTTTACATATCTCAGGTGAAATATAGAAGCAACAAACAGAAAGGCTAAAACCTCATACAAGCACGCGCATAAACACGGCAGGGTTTCCTTCTGGTGAAACAGTCTCACTCATCTTATCCACTCAGGTTCCTTATTTGTTTACACAAACGCAAACTCATCTAGGTTAGAACACTGTACATTGTAGTAGGCAGGACACACAGGTCTCAAACAGGAGGCTGAGCAAAACTAAATGGGAGTTGTAGTAAAAAACAACATAAACGTTAAAGGGATCCTATAGTGCCAGGAAAACAAACCTGTTTGCCTGGCACTATAGGCTCTTGGAGGCGCGCATGCGCATTAAAAACACACCCATAGGAAAGCATTACTCAATGCTTTCCTGTGGGGAGCTTATTTGACACTGGACTCCGTGAGGACGTCCAGCATCAGATAAGCGCGATTTACTCAGTGTAAATCACAGAAACCGCCTCTAGTGACTGGATCTCCGAAACTGCAATGCTTTCAGCTGCAGGGATAAAACTAAGGGGACCTGGCACCAAGACCACTTCATTAAGCTGAAGTGGTCTGGGTGCCTATAGTGGTCCTTTAAGATAAATTGCACTATCTAGAGTTGAGATTACTTCCAGAAATGTTTTTTACTCTAGAGAGAAGGAAAAAAAAAAAAAAAAATTTACAATAGGAATAGTAAATTTGAGTTTAAAGCCAATTATATATTGATATTGGGCAACGTAGTGTGTTAAAAAAAATCTGAGAATCGCCAGTTTATGTGATGCTTACTAATTAATTTGTGGGGTGTGAAAAATACAATTAAATGTAGAATGCCACACCTGAAAATAGGCACCTCCTACTTAACCCTCTGTCGATCATTGTTGTAAGCTCTTCCCCAGCATTCAGCAAAGAAAATCCATACAGGGAAGACAAGAAATTAAACATTGTTTCTTCTCTTTGTCTGCAATGCTTTCCCTGGGGATTTGCTTTGTCTGAACTGGAAGATGATATAATTTGCTAAAATGTTTAATATAGATTTAAATATAACATGAGTTATGGGCAAAATGTAATATTTTATTCAATGGTAGGAATTCTCGAGAATGGCAGCTCCCCTTTAAACAGATATAGAAATTAACAGCATGCCTATGCCTTTGGGACATCTCAAATATGTTTTAGCTCACTTGCAACGGTTTTGAAAGATAGACAGATCAGTAAGTTCCGGTCTGTAAAGGTGGTCCAAGACCAAGTATGGTCTTTCTGAAATCCATCAAACCCAGATCTGTTTTCTTGCCTATTTAAAGGTCTTTATTTTGGGTCATTTCAGTCAGTTGCAACAGATGGAACTGAAAGTTCATCAGAGCTCATGGCACAACAGGCGTGCCTATAACTTCTGACTTATCTTTGGCCATTAAGGAGAAACCCCTAAGAAAATTCTTAGTGACAAAATGCATACAACGGATAAAGTATTTTGCAATCCTGTTTTGAGTATTCTGAAGACAGTTAAAATTACACCCGAAAACATTTGTTTTATTATACACAACTATGTGCTAAACCTACTTAATAGGCAAGTCGATAATACAGAATCTAAAAATCAAATACAAATTGTCCCTGAATGAATAAACCTCTCATCACTCTTAACTTGGGAAGTATTGGAATACGTTTACTGAATACATGCTGCCACTTGTCGAACATTAAGAGTTTATGCTTAAAGGAAAACTACCACAATTTTTTTCCCTCTGAATATTAAAAGTTCAGATTAATTATTTTTATGTAGCTTCCTTTGTCCTTACGGTTATAAAGTGCAATTATGCAAATTTACATTGTGCAGGTATTCCCTCTGCTACCTGCCTCTCTTTGCCAGTGTGTGAAGCCATTATGAGTGATCGGTAAGAATTGGTTGTTTTTCAATCCAAGATCTCTCTGCCTCACTGAGCGAGGACTTCTCCTGCCCTGGTAAAACCGCTTTTGTTAAGAAACACAAAAAAAGTTCCTTCCACCTGCGGGGAGCCTACACTGTACCACTGATGAAAATCTGTGCAGTCATCTATCAGATCAGAGAACAAAGATTTCCAATGCAGTATGTATAGGTTTCACAACTCTACACCACCAGTCAAACCGACACCATATCCATCAACAACTATGTTAACAGTTGCCACACGGTCATCTTCACTTTATCACTTTGATTTGCAACCTTTCAATATCAAGAATGGCACCTGACCCAACAAACGCTCCTAGGCACAACATACCCCACCCCCAATAAAAAAATAAAAATAAAAAGGAAATAGATCATTTGGGATAAAGGAACACCCCTGGTACCATAACAACTTTGTCTAAATGACCCAACAGGTTTAGGCATTAAAAACAAATGTTGATAAATGTGCTTCCAAAGCACATGTATCAGACGATAATTCTCAAGCAGTCTGTTTATTGGATTAAGCTGCTAGAATTCTGATAAAAATATCCACTGACACAAGTCGATAATTTTCAAATAAACTGGAAGTAAATAAGTCCACTTGAGGAAGATGCTGCTGTAAGTATATTAATTTAAATGGTTCAGTGTTTACATCGGGGATAAGTATTTTATTTATGTGTATTTTTCATACACCTGTGCACACGCAATTTATGAAGCTCCAAGATATTCCCTTATTCAACAGTACCGCACAGTAAATGATACATGCAAGTTACTGTGACAAAAAAAAATTGCGCACACAAGATCATGCACTGAGAACTGCTAAACAATAAAAAAAAAATTTTAAAAAAATTTAAAAAGGAGGATAAAAAGATACAAAAGCCAAGAGCCCAGTGTAACAGCAGGAACAATAGATTGCTGAATAGAGTGTTCGAGCAGGTATTGGACAGACAAGTTGTGTTGGGTGAGATACAAGACAACCACATGGGCTTTCAGGTTAAAATTGACATATCTTCTCAAAAAAACACGTGGATGACAAATTTATATATACATAGGTGACTTATCTATACACTGTGTGGACACAAAATTAGCAAATATCTGAATTAAAGGACTAAGCAAGGTCTTATCCAATATGGCCCTGCTACCACTAATGGACACTGCTGCACCTGGCAGTCAGCAAATAGAAAATAATCAGGAAAGAGGAGAAATTAAACAAGGTTTGCATCTTGCCTCCTGATTTACAATGTATATTGTAGTTGTGCCTGGATGGAACTGGTTTATGATGCAGTTTGCTATATCTTTAAAAAAAAAAAAAAAAAAAAACACACATTTAAAAGAAAACAGAGCATCGCATGTTGAAAAAAAAAAGTTCACACAATTTATGTGATTTTCAAAAGTTTTATTAAATGGTGTTTTTTGCAGAGAAGTGACAGCCCCCCTTTAACCCCTTAAGGACACTTGACATGTCATGATTCCCTTTTATTCCAGAAGTTTGGTCCTTAAGGGGTTAAGAAGTGCAAAGTAATGGAAATCTCCAGGGCCAGATTTTGTATTAAAGCAGAGTAGGTACTGGTCCTGTAGGGGGTGTCTGTGCACCTATAATGTGCTGTTTTGGGAGATCAAGTGGGCTGATGGGAATAGATAAGTACCAGGAGCCTTGGCAAGTGTCCTTAGTAGTACACTCAGCCTCGTAATCTAACTCTGTAATCTCTAACTTCAATAACCGCTTTATCCTAGCCACTTCTAACATTGGCCTTGATTTAATAAGCTTCCCAAATTATTCAAAACTGTTAGAAAACCTTTTCAAATAACTGAACTACAAAAATTACTACAGCCTTTATTTGTGACTTCTGTGGATAAATTGGAAAGTTATTCTAACAGTAATGAATCATCTGGAAAGCTTATTAAATCAAGGTCATTGTTCCCTTAGATCAATAGTACAGTAAGTAATTAAAACAGCAGACTGGACCAAAAACATAAACCCTACAACCGCACCACTCAGGGCACTGAAGAGACAAGTTACAGACCGCTTCACCTAAGCCCATCTCTCTTTGAGGGAAACTTAGGGGATACCTAGGATAGATGAAGTCAGTAAGGCAATGCAATCCTTGCGACACTTATCGTTGGGCGGCTCCCCCCCTGCACTCCTCCCCCCCTTCATCCTTCCCATGCTCACCCCTAACTACTTCTCCCTACTTACTCAGACCCTCGAGGACGCTATTTTTCTGGTTCCAATCTTTTGAACCATCTATCATTTTCCTTACAATTGTAAGATTGTGCATAACGGGACTATCAAGGGTATACAGTAAAGCTAGAGAAACAAGTGCGAATATGTATAGTACCCCTAACTGTTCTCATTGCAAGCTACAGCACGGTAGTTACATATTTTATTTTACTACGAAAACACCAAGTGGAGTTAATCACACCTTGGAAAATCCAGGCAAAAACGCATTTCATGATTGCGAATTCTGTAATATGTAAAAATTTGAACGTGCATTCATGCGGATAATGTTGTAAGCCGCAAACTGCTGCGTATATGCCTATTTTGAAAGTGTATTGATATTGTTATGTGTGTTATGTATAAGTTGTCCTGCTTTGGAACAATTAAAAAAAAAAAAAAGTAAAAAAAATAAATAAATAAATAATGGTTTGAACCCTGCATTTACACAGCTGCATATGCTCAGTATTCTCACACAGATTCAAACCCAATAAATTAGAACCAGCAATATACACATACATACAGTTATCAAATACCAACTTATGATTTTAGATGTTTTAATGCTGGCAGTTATAACACCATGTCCACCACATCTACGGCGGTCAAGGAACCAGTTTTGAGTGTCGATTTTGTTAGGGTCCTTCCATTTCTGTCCCTGTTCCACTATCCAACTTTTTGTTAAACCAGAATTTTATTGACACCTATTATCTTTTTGTCTAGGCGTATCCCTGATGTGAATTTTAAACTTAAATTTGTGAGGATATCCTGAAACCTTGAAAGTCAGACTAGAATTTAGGCTACTGTGCAGAAAACAGGATGTGGTTCAGGCAGGTGCCCTTTAAAAAACATGTCACATGATGCCGAATTATCTGCTTTTCCGTTGTTTTTTTATTTGTTTGTTTTTTTAGCATGAATGCGATTGCATTCTTTGTTTGTATTATTGTACTTTGTTGTGCTAGAGCATACAGAGAATATGGACATCTAGAAAACTGCCTATTCCCATCAGGTATCTCTTTTTTTCTATTTTTTTTATAAAATGTTTAACGGACTAATCTATATCATCATAAAATCATTGTAGATTTTAACAGGCTTAGGAAAAAAAAAAAAAAATCAAATCTTAAAGGAGCATCCAAGAACCATAACCACTACAGCGTTCTCAGATCCCATGCACACAATCTGAGCTCTGAAGGGGAGGAAGGTAGAGATTTTTTTATTTATTTTTATTTATTTTTTTTAAACTAGCGATTTTGTTGGGGAAAAGAGGAGAAAGACACTCCCAGTGCCTGCAAGGGGAAGATAATACAACTTCTAAATGAAGTTGTTATGGTGCCAGGAGGCCACCAGATGCACTCTTACCTTAAGGGGTTAAATCATTGTGGAGTAATTTAACCCCAAAGTTTGCCTTCAGCACCAATCTGTAGCTCACCATTAATTAAAATAAATAAATAAATACAAAAAAAAAAAAATGTACATCGACTTAAATATCAGTACACCACGGAAAGGGGTATTTATCATCAGTCTGGAGATGGCATGACTTTTGACAAAAGACAGGCTCCATGGTTAGTGTCATTTATTTAGTCAGGCCCCTGTTCTTAACTCAACACAATTGCCTATTACCTTTGATCTATATTGATTAGAATTTAACCCTCGCTGGTAATTGGAGTAACTCTGGACCATATACATACTTTATGTATGAAGTTTTAGTAAATACACTCTCACCTCATTAATGTTCTTATTTAATATCTTATTGAACAACCAAATGGCCCTCAGTAGTCCGTAAAAGAAAAAAAAAAATTGTGTCTTGTCTATTTTCTTTGATAAACCAATACACAATGCATTAACTTATGAATATTATGTTGTACTTTTATTATTTGTACTATTGTCTTGTACGGTTTCCTTTTATATATTTAAATAAAACATTAAATAAATATATATATATAAAAAAAAAAATGTAAAGTACAAAGCCAGAGTATAAAGTTGCCAAATATTACCATTTTGCTTTTCTAAACCGTGTGAGATTCAAAAGAGGAATTCGGAGAAAAAAAAAAAAAATTATGATAATCTACAACCTAGTTAAATGTGTATGTAATCACAGATTTTCGTTCTCCTGGGTAAATAACTCTGAAAAGATTTTCTCTGCATTCTTGCAGAAATCTATTCCATCCTAAATTATACATTGCTTCAAATGTAGGCAAGATGTGCATGCTCTCCCCAAAAAAGGTATCTGCACATATCCAAAGTATTACCATAACTTTAAAAAAAACTCTCTCTCTCTCTCTCTCTCTCTCTCTCCACATCCAGACCAATACGAATCGAATATTATGGCAGTGATGGATAATCTTGGCCTAAAAACAGACTGAAAAACGCTGGAAACTGCAGTGCTAAGGTTACCCACTACTTTTCTATAGAAAGCATAACTCTTGTTAAACTTCTTTAATTGAAATGGTTATTAAAAAAAAAAAAAAAAAGGGAACATACCTTTCCTGTGTGATCAAACGACCTGACTTTGGCTACTTTATGCTGGACCGTGGAATAATAAGCCAACTTTGTGAGGGATCCACCTGGAGAAGGAAAATTAATGTAAATAAAATAGGTCGTTACAAAAACAGTATTTTATAATACATTGAATTATTTGAGTAGAGCCCATACATGTTCCCATGACAACATAGAATATGTGAGAAATTCATGAATCAAATAATCTTGTGGTCAGTCTGATAAACATAATAAAGTGCAGTATTGATATTTATAGGGACCCTCTAAGCACCAAAACAATGTTAGCGTAAAGGAGTGGTTTTGGTCTTCACTCCTCAATTCTCTGCCATTTAATAGTTAAATCACTTCATTTTTGCAGCCATAACCACACCTCCCTGATTAAGACTCAAACGGCCTCCCTCCTATACACTCCCTGAAAAAAGAATTAAAAATAAAAAAGGCTAAATTTTTTGCTTCAGTCTGTTTAATTTAGAATTTCTTACCTTTTACCCTATTTATTTCCATCTAGAGCCTGCAGCAATGAGTTTGCCAATTATGATATTGCCATCTAACAGAGGTCTGACAAGTATACAAGCACTTCAGCCTCCCAACTTCACTTATGGTTATCACAGTATTTTTTATATTGAATAATTGCATATTATCAGAGTGGGTCATTTCTCTTCAATGTCCACAACACCTGTCTGCAAACTCACCATTGCTGGCATTCTCACTACAGACAGATATACACTGCTCAAAAAAATTAAAGGGAACACTTAAACAACACAATGTAACTCCAAGTCAATCACACTTCTGTGAAATCAAACTGTCCACTTAGGAAGCAACACTGAGTGACAATCAATTTCACATGCTGTTGTGCAAATGGGATAGACAACAGGTAGAAATTATAGGCAATTAGCAAGACACCCCCAATAAAGGAGTGGTTCTGCAGGTGGTGACCACAGACCACTTCTCAGTTCCTATGCTTCCTGGCTGATGTTTTGGTCACTTTTGAATGCTGGCGGTGCTTTCACTCTAGTGGTAGCACGAGAAGGCGTCTACAACCCACACAAGTGGCTCAGGTAGTGCAGCTCATCCAGGATGGCACATCAATGCGAGCTGTGGCAAGAGGGTTTGCTGTGTCTGTCAGCGTAGTGTCCAGAGCATGGAGGCGCTACCAGGAGACAGGCCAGTACATTAGGAGACGTGGAGGAGGCCACAGGACCGCTACCTCCGCCTTTTTGCAAGGAGGAACAGGAGGAGCACTGCCAGAGCCCTGCAAAATGACCTCCAGCAGGCCACAAATGTGCATGTGTCTGCTCAAACGGTCAGAAACAGACTCCATGAGGGTGGTATGAGGGACCGACGTCCACAGGTGGGGGTTGTGCTTACAGCCAAACACTGTGCAGGACGTTTGGCATTTGCCAGAGAACACAAAGATTGGCAAATTCGCCACTGGCGCCCTGTGCTCTTCACAGATGAAAGCAGGTTCACACTGAGCACATGTGACAGAGTCTGGAGACGCCATGGAGAACGTTCTGCTGCCTGCAACATCCTCCAGCATGACCGGTTTGGCAGTGGGTCAGTAATGGTGTGGGGTGGCTTTTCTTTGGGGGGTCGCACAGCACTCCATGTGCTCGCCAGAGGTAGCCTGACTGCCATTAGATACCGAGATGAGATCCTCAGACCCCTTGTGAGACCATATGCTGGTGCGGTTGGCCCTGAGTTCCTCCTAATGCAAGACAATGCTAGACCTCATGTGGCTGGAGTGTGTTAGCAGTTCCTGCAAGACGAAGGCATTGATGCTATGTACTGGCCTGCCCGTTCCTCAGACCTGAATCCAATTGAGCACATCTGGGACATCATGTCTCGCTCCATCCACCAACGTCACGTTGCACCACAGACTCTCCAGGAGTTGGCAGATGCTTTAGTCCAGGTCTGGGAGGAGATCCCTCAGGAGACCATTCGCAACCTCATCAGGAGCATGCACAGGCATTGTAGGGAGGTCATACAGGCACGTGGAGGCAACACACACTACTGAACTTCATTTTGACTTGTTTCAAGGACATTACATCAAAGTTGGATCAGCCTGTAGTGTGTTTTTCCACTTTAATTTTTAGTGTGACTCCAAATCCAGACCTCCATGGGTTGAACAATTTGATTTCCATTATTTATTTTTGTGTGATTTTGTTGTCAGCACATTCAACTAAGAACAAAGTATTTAATAAGAATATTTAATTCATTCAGATCTAGGATGTGTTATTTTAGTGTTCCCTTTATTTATTTATTTATTTTTTAAAGTGTAATACAGAAACCGGACAGACAACCAGGAAGCAATAGCCAGAGGCAAATGCTGTGTCAATAAGTCTGAAGGAGTGCTAGGAGTGGTCCTCAGGGGCTGAACCAACCAGAGGATCAGGGTCTATATTATTATTTAAGGGACACTAAGCACCATAACCACTACAGCTTTTTATAGTCACTAGTCTGCCAGGAGTATGTTGGTGCAGCGTCTCCATTGTATCAAACTATTTGAGACAATAAGCTGATGCCAAGTTCCTGATGAGGTTTCATTTGCACAATCCATAAGAACTTGCACAGTAATTATGGTATGCAAGGGGGATGGGGGAGAAAAATTGTGGATTTTTTAATATTACTCGTCTACAGTCACAAGGCTTTGTTCACCCAACAGGGAATTGAAAACAGGTGCACAAAAAAAATCAAATTCGTATAACTATTTAGCTATTTTGGCCTAAATTCAGCAATTCAGTTTTCAATTCATGTCCTAGTGAAAAGAAAAAAAAAATGCAATAATGAATAACTCTCTAAACAGTGAATGCATAACATGATGATCATCTATCTTCTGTGTTTTCATGCAATGGCAGGATTGTGTTACACTGATATCCATGTTCTTTGCTTTGAATGTCAACGACAAGCTGTGACATTCATATGACATTATATTTTGTAATTTACTTGCATTATGTTATGCAGACTGGAATGTGAATCTGCTGCATGGGACAATATGCATGTTATTACAAGTAGAATATCTCAAGTTTTGGGTGCAGTGAATACATGTTTCTCAAAGAAGAATAAAAAAAATAAAACCTAAATCCGGAGATATACAGTAACTCAAATGTTAATTTTCCAAAAGACCAAATTGCTTTTAAAGGGACACCCAATGCCCAAATACAAAATAAAAATCACTGTTTAGTAGATATAACCTAAATTAAAATGTGCATGCATTTTATTATTGTATATGTATATAAAACAGCTTGCAAAAGCTACAGTTCTCTTGTCTGCTTCCTTTGCAAATTCTAACCCCGCCCAGACTTTCTGTGGCTGTCCAATCATAGATTAGATGCAGCTCGATGAGAAGTCTTTGCGAGGCAGGTGCTCTGGGCAATTGCTGCCTCTTGAGTTTAGCTCCACTGAGCTAACCAAACCAGGAAGTAACAGGACCGACTGTCGGCTTTAAAGTCGGGGGGGTGTAACTGATTTAATTTATAAAAGTGTAAATTTCTATTGAAATCTGCATTATTTCCAAGATGAAAAAAAAAAAAAAAAAAAAGAGGACACAATCGTCACACGTCAATCTTTTCACCAAGCTAAAGTGCTTTAGTGGTCTGAAGTGTCCCTTTAACTCAAATTGCACATTTGGGGCAACTCTTCAAGCCTAACAAAGATTTGCAAATAATGAATACCTAAACAGCTTTAGCAGAACAAAACTAATATAACAGGCAATGTTATTCATTACATCCTGTATATTGCCAGGAATTGAAAGTGATTTTTCAAAAGCTAGACCAAAATGTCTGAATTGGGAAAATCTGCGGTTTGGCCTTTTCACACTTTCATAAATAATCCCGCAAGTGATAAGAAGTTTCAGAAACTTACGTTGGTGAAAACGCCTACATTAATATGTGCAAAGATCAAAAAAGTTAGCTAGCGGTTGCTAAGTGACATATTTTGGCATCACTTTTCAAGCTTAAAAAAAGGGAAGGGCAATTATTGGCAGTCAAGCTATTGCAGACTACGGTTACTGCTTCAAGGCCTATGCATCATGGGACTTATAGCCTACAACACCTGGAGCACTAAAATCACTGCCATACAGTGAAGGTATTCATCGGGGGTAAAAACCCTGAAAGGAGTAAGCAAACCGCAGCATTGGAAAACAATATAATGGGGTTTTTTTTACACCATCTAATGAAATTATTTACGTGTTAACCGTCGTGTCATCATACTAGGGACACTACAGAAAATTCTGTAAAGTGCAGAATGAGCATGTATTTAAATATGCTCTCGGTTGCACAAGACTCCTACGAGACATTTTGGGCACCAATGTCTGCGTATGGACTGCTTTGGATTGCTGTCTGTCATCCTGGCACTTATGCAATATGTGCCACTGGCACGCCATAATCCTGTCTCGACTTCAAACCACCTGTGTAGTTGTGACTACAGATGAATTAGAGATTTTTTTCCCCAAGTCAGTTATTTTTTAAATCCAGTTTGTAAATCATTATCTCAGTGTAATCTGCCAAACTATTTTAGAACGGTTTGACAACATACCATGTTTTCCGGGTGCCTGCATGGCATCTGGATGCCTTCACTGAGCTAAGCCTAAATGATAAAAGAATTCAGGTCAACTTTCAGCCAAAGAGCACAACTCAGCATGGGCTTAATTAGCTCATCTGAGCTAATCACAATCTCCTGCAAAGGACAGTATGGATGCAGGGGTTGCAGGCACAGGTGTCAATTGAGTCCCAGGTAAGTTGTCAACTCATTTTAAAACAGTTTGACAAATTACCAGGGGATTCTTGGCAACATATAAATCAATACAGGGGACTGTAGTGGTTATAGTGCTTGTATTGTTCATTTAAGGGGAAATCCCTAAACCTCTTCTGCAGTGAGAGATTGTCACCACCTGCCAGGATCAGACAACTCTGGTGGCAGGATCACGAAGCAGAATGAACGCAATCTGCAATGAGAAACACCAGTTTCACAAACAACAGGCTGATATGTGTTAAAGGGACACTATAGACACCCAAAACAATTCATCTCATTGAAGTGGTATGGGTGCACTGTCCCTGTCACACTTAGCCCTGCAATGTAAGACACTTTTTTTTTGGTTTACATTGCAACACTAAGACAGCCTCTCGTGGCCCTCTACCTGACAGCCATTAGAGGCGCTCCCTGCTTGCTAGGCGACGCTGGATGTCCTCAAGCTCTGCATGAGGACATCCAGCGTCAGTAAAACCCTCATAGGAAATCATTTGATTCAGAGACTGGTAAACACATCTTTGGTCTGTTTAAATACAGCAGAAAGTCTCGGATAAACTGGTTAGTAGAGAATAAAACTTAAGGCAATAGGAGATGTGTGTGAATGTAGTTTAAAACACTGCTTGAATACTGTAAATTATATAATATGTTACCACGCAATCTAAATAAAACTCAAAAGGATTTTCAGATTTACAAAGATTTAAAAAGGTCCATTCCACGTACCATAGCAACAACCTATATCTTCTGGGATTATGGTATCCCGTACCTATTCTCTCTGCTCATCCTAAAAATAAATAAAAAAGGTCTCACCCCTCTGACTCAATGATATTACAGGAAGACTGATACCACCGGGCAGTACAAGCACACAACAAAACTGTAAAATCAACATAAGCTCCTATAAAGTTTAATGGAACATGTACAAATATTGATTTGTTTGTTCACTTGTTGACACAATGAAACTAATATTGGGATAACATTAGTTATACATCAGTAAGGAAATCGATTCTAGCTTGTTTTGGAAACAGATCAGACACCTCATCATACAAATGTAGAAGGGCAATATTAAAATGACCAATTCTCTGCAGGATTACATTTTCATAAGCAACCCAAATTAAAGGACCACTATAGTGCCAGGAAAACTCGTTTTCCTGGCACTATAGTGCCCTGAGAGTGCCCCCACCCTCAGGGTCCCACTCCCGCCGGGCTGGATGGCGAGGAAAGGGGTTAAACTTACCTTTTTTCCAGCGCCGGGCGGGGAGCTCTCCTCCTCCTCTCCGGCTGAATGCGCATGCGCGGCAGGAGCTGCGCGCGCATTCAGCCTGTCTCATAGGAAAGCATTCATAATGCTTTCCTATGGACGCTGGCGGCTTCTCACTGTGATTTTCACAGTGAGAAGCACGCAAACGCCTCTAGCGGCTGTCAATGAGACAGCCACTAGAGGTTGGATTAACATATTTATAAACATAGCAGTTTCTCTGAAACTGCTATGTTTATAAAAACAAACACAAAAAAAAGGGGGTTAATCCTAGAGGGACCTGACACCCAGACCACTTCATTAAGCTGAAGTGGTCTGGGTGCCTAGAGTGGTCCTTTAAAGCGAGACAATAGGCACCCAGACCACTTCATCTTGGTGTAGTGTCCTTGTCCCCTTAACCCTGCATTTGTAATTATTGCAGTCATTGAGAAACTGCAATGATTACCTTGCATGTTGAACTCCACCCACCAGACAGCCACTAGAAGTGCTTTCAAATCCTTAGCAGACTTTTGGTCAGCTAAATGACGCTGGACGTGCTTACGCTTTGCAGGAGAACATCCAGTGTCAACTAAAACTCCACATGAAAGCATTGATTCAATCCTTTCCTATAGGGAAGTCCTAATGTTATCGCCGCGCATGCACATTAGGTCCCCAATGTCGGCTGATGTAGGCGGAGGAGGAAATCAGCACTGGAATCAGGTAAGTGAAAAAAAGGGGTTTTAACCCTCTCTGTGCTAAGGGGATCTGCTAGGGAGGGGGCGGGACAGAGGATACTATAGTGCTATGAATACAACTTTATATTCCTAGCAATATAGTTTCGCTTTAAATGCACAACCTGCACACAGAGCTGCTGCAGAGTGGGGTTTGGGAGGAGGAATTCATTCAATAAGGCTGTAGAGGAAAAAAAAATAAAAAACCTACTACTGACAGGAGGTAGTAACAAAACTCTCCCAATTCATTGTAAGCCGCTAGTGGTTGTTAATGCGGCTTAAAAGTGGATGTCACACACAATTTGCTTCTAACATAAAATCCAATAGGAGATTAAAACGAATAACCCATTTTATCCATGAGGGGAAATCCCTAAAATTGGCACGCGGCCATCTCCTTAGAAAACTGGCAAACAGAGGTCCACATGTACCCACGAGGGTCCAGAAGGAGGTAGGTCTTCATTATTGGGACCCCTCCTGTAAATTAGGGCTTTTTCAAAGGGCCCTCTAGATTTAGGAATTTCCTGGATGCCTGACTGTTTTGATTTTATTTTACCCATGTCTAGAGAAGAGCGAGTGCTGCTTTAAAGTCTCTATATTAATGCCCACAGTGAACTTCCTGGTAAAAAAAAATCTTAAATGAAAACTGAGTAACAACAACAACAACATTTTCCAGCAACATATGGTCTAAAAGAAAGTTGAGAGCTCTGGAACATATGCCCTGAAAAGTGTTTTGGGTTTTTTCAAACAGGCAACCATTTTACATAAATAGCATTAGATTGAAGACCAATTGTTCGATGTAAAATTACTTTATATTCTACAGTTATGTAATATCTGTAACCAATTCCGGGGGAATAAAATCAGTAGATTGTACCCTCTGTCAGATGGGTCTCCCTTGCAATTAGGAATTTATGGCTACAACATGAAATCCTTTATTGTATATTATTATTATTCTGAGCAATTTATATAGCGCCGACTTATTCCACAGCACTTTGCAATATTATAAAATAGAGGAAATTTAATAATAAATGAGAATTACAAAACGTTACAGGAACAACATGCAGACGAGAACCCTGCTCACAGGAGCTTACAATCTAGAGGAGGTGGGGTATAAGAACACTATAGGAAGGGCATCGAGGGGGATATTTGTATTTGGTCTAACCGCCTTTGTACAGCGCTACTGAATCTGCTGGCGCTATATAAATAATAATAAGGGTCTAAATTGTGTGTCCCAATCCAGGGGTAATAAACCAAAGGTCTAAAATATAACCAAGCCTGGGTTTAACATGATGCCATAACAGGTAAGCAAGCCTACATTGCATGCTACACCAATTGACAGCCATGGCTGCTCATTCCATGTTTTAATGTGAATTAAACACAGCTTTAACCTTTCAAGCTACTACCAATGTAGCAGCATGGTTGTTTACTTTTCATAGTCCAACAAAAGGCACCCATAGGTGCATTATGGGAATTGCAGTCTTTTCCAGACCTCTCACACAGCCGTGTGATAGGTAAACATCACTGCGGTCAACTACAATTCCCGTCAAACACCACGACGCTCAGGCTGCCGGGAAGTGTAGTACCGCGCAGCCCAGCCGGTCGCCTGTCAGCGAAGCAGAGGGACCGCTCTGGAAATACATTTCCCGGCGTGCCACGGGGGGTAGGGAAGCGAGGCGCTAACTTGCTATCTAACTGCCCTGGCAGATTTGCATCTGCTGGATCCCAGGCCACGCACACTGCGCGCACTCACCGATATCGATAGCAAACCGCTTGGCGTTCTCTAAGTTGCGGAAGATTTCATCGGGCGGGAGGGTGATGCTCTTGTCCATGTTCGCCCCAGTCCTAGCGCTCCCTCCGCTGGCCGCCATGTTGGATATCCCTCCGCGCTCTGCGCATACATTTCAATGCTCTCTGCATGTTTTATGATAATGAGCTGTGCTTGGGGCTCAGCCACAGGGGCCCTGGCTCACTCTGCAAAGTCCTAACACATTAAAAGACATTGCCCAGCCATTATTAATGTCATCTTCATTAAAATTCACATAATACTATGAGTTATAAATTATATTTTACCATTATAGGCTATTGAGGTACAGTGCACACTTACCAAGTGGCCCTATTTAGGAGGGACAGTCCCTATTTTGGACCCAAGTCTCTCTTTTCTATGAGGAGAGAGAGAGAGTGTGTATTCCACAGCAATAATACTCATAGCAATGTGTCTTTAAACTACAATAAACTTCTTTAGAAATCAGCCGTGTAAATAAGAAGCATTGCTCTTATTATAAAATTAGACTTTAGTTAAATAAATATATATGTATCAGTAGGTTGCCTAAAATTATAGGGTTTTTACAAATAGTTTTTTTTTAATTTTAAAATGCACTATTTGCAATGCTAATTAGGTCCCCCATCTTAAAGGGACACTGTAGGCATGTAACATGGCACTTAAAGGGACTCTCCAGTGCCAGGAAAGCAATCCCTTTTCCTGGCATTGCAGGTCCCCTCTTCCTCCCGCCCCCAGTCTCTGCCACCGCTCCTCCCCTTCATTACGTCAGCTGGAGGGGGAGACTGATCCCGCCCGCCGGCTGGGGAGACCTAAAGCGCAAGCCACGCATGCGCATTAGACCTCTCCATAGGAAAGCATTTTGGGATTTTAGCAACGCTGGAGGTCCTCACACAGCGTGAGGACGTCGAGCGACACTATGGACCAGGAAGTGCCCTCTAGTGGCTGTCTAGTAGACTTAACCCTGCAAGGTAATTATTGCAGTGTAGGTAAACTGCAATAATTACAGTTGCAGGGTTAAGGGTAGTGGGAGTTGGCACCCAGACCACTTCAATGGGCAGAAGTGGTCTGGGTGCCTGGAGTATCTCTTTAACCTTACAGTGGTAATTAGTACAGTTTCTGAGAAACTGCAATAATTACTTTGCAGGGTTAAAGGGATTCTCTAGTGCCAGGAAAACAAATCCGTTCTCCTGGCACTGTAGAATCCTGTGGTGCCTCCCTCCCGCCCCCCCATCCCACGTCGCTGAAGGGGTTAAAACTACTTTAGTCACTAACCTGAATCCAGCGCCAATGTCCCTCAGCGCTGGTCAGGCTCCGCCCACGCTCGACAGGGGAGACCTAATGCACATGCGAGGCAATGGCCGCTCTCGCATTAGGATCTCCCCATAGGAATGCATTATTCAATGTTTTACTATGGGGATTCCGGTGACGCTGGAGGTCCTCATGCATAGCGTGAGGACGTCCAGCGTCGTTTAAACAACCAAAAGTCATCTAAACATCCGGAAGTCCCTCTAGTGGCAGTCTTGTAGACAGCCACTAAGGGAGGACTTAACCCTGCAAGGTAATTATGGCAGTTTCTCAGGAAACTGCCATAATTACCACTATAGGGTTAAGTGACATGGGACATTGCACCCAGACCACAATGAGCTGAAGTGGTCTGGGTGCCTACAGTGTCCCTTTAAGTCTTCCTGTAGTGGTTGTCTACCATGCATGAGGACTTACGGCACCACCCATAGGAAAGCATTAAGTAATGCTTTCCTATGGGGAAATCCTAATGATAGCGCAATCCTAACGAGCATGGGCGGATGTTTCTTGGCGCTGCATTCAGGTGAGTGACTGAAGGGGTATTAACCCCTTCAGCGGCGTAAGATGGGGGGCACTGTAGGATTCTATATTGTCAGGAAAACGGGTTTGTTTTCCTGGCACTAGAGAATCCCTTTAAAATGCAGGAAATTGTTACATTTACCTGTACTACAACTTCAGGCGAAGCTCCTAGCGCTTTTTTCCATGTCTTGTCCCACATCAGATTCACTTGAACAGTCCAATCAGATCCAATACTCAAAGAGAAGTATTTAATGAAACCTTTTTTTACCAGCTCTCAGCTCATGTGCGTGTTTGGAATCGGTGATTAGTTACACTTTTATTTTTTAAAGAGCTCACAAAACAGAGGGAGAAAGGAGGGGCGGGGGACTGTCTACTGGAGGGATGGAAGATCAGCTGCTCCTTGCAGGGGTGCTATCTGGTAGAAGATTGAAGCTGGCTACATCTGTCACCAGGTCCCACACGTATTTGTTGCACAGAATTGACATTAGGTCGCCTAAAACAATCACTTGTAGTTGGGATGCAACTTGGCCCCAGACACAAAAGTGCAAATATCTCTGTACAGAAACTCCTACCACGATGAACACTTCTAAAAGCAGAGATGGTCATGGTGGTTGGATTAACCCTTTAAAGTTTACTTCTATGTCCATTTGAAATGTTGTGTGGTATGACAGTGTGGCACTTATTTATTTATTTATTTTTTAAAACAAGGTGACGTCAAGAGCCACACAGATATCTGTAAGAGGCTACAGGTGAATTAATTAAGCCAGCAATTTCCCAGGGAATTATATATTTTAGACCAAAATTGGAAAAAATTATGTCTCAGCTATCGTTGAAGCTCGCTTTTTTGACCTAAAATTAAAATTTCTCTGGTCAATTCATGATAGTTTCAGCTTTATGCCGCTCAACCCATAGACTTCGAAGATAGGGTGAATTTGGGTTTCTGTGCACTGTGCAAACTGAACTCCTGAACTTCAGCCTATACAAGAGCGTTTCAGGTGTGCATGAGCTGCCCTGGTTGGAGCTGGTCCATGTTACTGGCAATCAATCTTGCATTCATGTGAGGCTGACCAGCCCCTATCTGGGTTGGATCAAGTCTTTTTTAGGGTAAATTGCGACATTTGTGCTGTGTGATATTTAGAGGCTGGGCAAGTGGTAGTGGGGCAATGAATACTCACACATAATTTAGTTAACATTTGGAGAATGTGTGCTGTGTGATATTTGGCGCCTGGGCATGTGGTAGTGGGGCAGTGAGTACTCACACATAATTTAGTTAACATTTGGAGAATGTGTGCTGTGTGGTATTTGGAGGCTGGGCATGTGGTAGTCAATACTCACATCATGCAGCATGTAATTAAAATGCAATGTCACAGACCTTTGAGAGCACAAACGAGGGACTTGATTTGGAGCCCTGGTGAATAATGGAAGACATGGATCAATTTAACACTATAGTTTAATGCCTGCTCCCTTTCTACCTCTTAGTGGCATTGTATAATAATGAGGAGCAAGGAGATGGTGGTGATGTCTGTAAGGACAGGGGTAGGCAATCTTCATCACCTGTCCTCTGATGCTTTGGCAGCATTATGGCATTAAGAGGATTATGGGAAATGTAGTTCAAAACATGTGGAGTGCTGAATATTGCCTACCCCTGACTTAGAGTATAGAAACAAATTGAATAGTAAAAGATCTTCTTGGTGTATTCCTAGGGTGCATTCTAATGTCCAGTGTCCTGATACTTCCTAAAAACAAACAAGATACAGTGCAGAGGGCTTGATTTCCCCAGCCAGCTCTCATCCCATAAAATTGTAGTCCAGTGGGCATATTCGGCACTTCGGTTCAGTTTGGCACTTCTGAAATTTGAGACTTCGGCAATTTGGGATTTTGGCAATTCGGCCCTTCTGTTCGGTTCTGCACTTCCGAAATTCAGCACTTCGGTAATTCCCTAACCCTACCCCTGAAAAGAGACTTGCGTCCATCAAGTTCAGCCTTTCTCACATTTGTTCTTTGATGTTGATCCAAAAGAAGGCAAAAAAAAAAAAGTCCGGTTTGTGAATAGATTTCCACACAATGGTTTGTATTGGCCCCGAATATATTTGTATAATGTTATCACATCCTCTCTGAAGCAACCTTTTTCTAAACTAAATAGGTTTACATTTGTTAACCTTTCTTCATAGCTGATATGTTCCATTCCTTTTATTAATTTTGTAGCCCGCCTCTGCAGAGGTGGGCAAAATTGCACAGCATATTCAATATGTGGTCTTACCAGTGATTTATAAAGAGGCAAAATTATATTCTCATCCTGAGAATTAATGCCCTTTTTCATGCATGACAATACCTTACTGGCCTTGGCCACTGCTGATTGACATTGCACGTAGTTGGATAGTTTGTTGTCTATAACAATTCCCAAGTCCTTTTCGTGTGTTGTTATCCCTAATTCGCTTCCATTAAAGGACCACTATAGGCCCCCAGACCTGGGTGCCAGGTCCAGCTAGGATTAACCCTTTCTTCTATTAACATAGCAGTTTCAGAGAAACTGCTATGTTTATAAAAGGGTTAATCCAGCCTCTAGTGGCTGTCTCATTGACAGCCGCTAGAGGCGCTTCTGCGCTTCTCACTGTGATTTTCACAGTGAGAAGACGCCAGCGTCCATAGGAAAGCATTGAAAATGCTTTCCTATGGACTGGCTGAATGCGCGCGCGGCTCCTGCCATGCATGCGCATTCAGCTGATGACGGCGATATGGAGGAGACGAGGAGGAGGAGAGTTCCCGGGCCGGCGCTGGAAAAAGAGGTAAATCTAACCACTTACACCCCCTAGAGCCCGGCGGGAGGGGGGCCCTGAGGGTGGGGGCACCCTCAGGGCACTATAGTGCCAGAAAAACGAGTATGTTTTCCTGGCACTATAGTGGTCCTTTAAGGCTATACGTTGCTTGTGCATTCTTTAAGCCGAATTGCATAACTTTGCATTTTTCAACATTATATTCCATCTCCCATTTGAGTTCAGAGTCCCCCAGTCTATCTAAATCCCTCTGCAGCAAAGTAATACCCTGCTTACATTGTATTATTTTACAGAGTTTTGTGTCATCTGCAAACACTGAAACATGACTTTCAATGCTTTTTTCAAGATCATTTATAAACATGTTAAATAGAAGGGGTCCCAGAACAGAACCCTGAGGAACACCACTTGCCACCTCTGTCCAGCTTAAAAATGTACCATTTCTGACAACTCTTTGTACTCTATTTTTAAGCCAGTTGTTAAGCTTGTTTTTATTTTCTTTCACTTTCCTATAAATGAGGCCAGTTTCATCTCATCGTAACCTAGTATCAGTGTTAAATCGCAGTTATATTATGCTAGATCTGAATTCTTGTTGATACCTGTCTTTGTTTACGCAATTTTTGCTTTTCTTGACCTGTCACGATTGTATCATTGTAATTTATACAAACTCAATGCCTCAATAAAACATAGATTAACAAGAAAAAAGGAGGACTATTTTGACTTTTACAGGGACACTCCACTGCCAAAATACAAAAGAAATAAAAATCACTGTTTAGTTAGCATACCCCAAATAAAACTTGCATGCATTTAATTATGGAGTTATAGCTAAAAACAGCTTACAAAAACTGCAGATCTCTTGTCTGCTGCCTTTGCAAGCCCTCCCCTTCTAACCCCATCCAGACTTTCTGTAGCTGTCCAATCACAGACTTCCCAATGAAGCTCAATGAGAAGTTTTTGCAAGCCAGGTGCTTTGGGTCATTGCCGCCTCTTGAGTTCTGTGCAGGGCCAGCGCCACCGTTAGGCGAACTAGGCATTCGCCTAGGGCGCCGGCCAGCTGGGGGCACCCAGAGGAGCCCTGTCACAGTATGTCAGAGCAGGCACCTTCTTACCTTGATGACAGGTGCCTGCTCTGCCATCAAATGCCGGTGACCAAAGGAGAAGGCAGGCGGCGAGGGAGGCCCTTCTTGCAGCCTCTCACTCCTCACTTGGGCCGGGATGCCGGGAGCCGGAATATGATGTCATTCCTGCCTGAGCATACTAAACAGCGAGCGGGAGGAGTGAGGAGCTGCCCCACACTGGACCCCAGGGAGTTGAGTCTTTGTCAGTGAGTGAGTCTTTGTCAGTGAGTGAGTGTCTACCTGTGTGTGTCTGTCAGTGAGTTTCTGTGTGTGTGTCTGTCAGTGAGTGAGTGTATGTCTGTCAGTGAGTGTGTGTGTGTGTGTGTATGTCTGTCAGTGAGCGTGCGTGTCTGTCAGTGAGTGAATGTCTGTCAGTGTGTGTCTGAGTGTATGTCTTCAGTGAGTGAATGTCTGCCTGTGAGTGTGTGTGTGTGTGTCTGTCAGTGAGTGTCTGTGAGTGAATGTCTGTCAGTGAGTTTCTGTGTGTGTGTGTGTGTGTGTGTCAGTGAGTGAATGTCTATCAGTGAGTTTCTGTGTGCGTGTGTCAGTGAGTGAGTGCAAGTTTGCCAGTGAGTGAGTGTGTGTGTGTGTGTGTGTGTGTATGTCTGTCACTGAGTGTATGTCTGTCACTGAGTTTCTGTGTGTGTATGTCTGTCAGTGAGTGAGTGTATGTGTGTCAGCATGTGTGTCTGTCAGTGAGTGTGTGACATAAAGGGGCGGCAAAATGGATCTTTGCCTATGGCGGCAGAAATCCTTGCACCGGCCCTGGTTCTGTGCAAATAAGTGAATCAACCAGGAAGTAACAGGACGATTGTCTGCTAGAAAAGTCAGAGGGTGTAACCAAGTTAATTGATAAAGTGCCAATTTCTATTGAAATCTGCACTATTTCCAAAATGAAAAATTAGGCTCTTCACTCATAAGCTTTTCAGCACGCTAAGGTGCTTTATGAATCTGGAGTGTCCTTGTAAGGGTTAATCCAAGCATTTGCTTGGTGTCAGGGTAGCCAACCTGAAAGCATAGCTAGCTTGCTTTAAGTTTGAAGTGGTTATGGTGCTTGGAGTAACCCTTTAATGTCTGTGCGCTTATTGTATATGTGAAATACATTTTTATTTGCATATGTGTTTGCAAGAGAAAAAAACATTTGTCTTTGTAAATTGTATGAGATTGCTATAGTATGTAGTTGTGCATACAGTATGTAAACATAGTTATACATTTAATTATTTTTCAAATGCAAGTAAGTAGGTACATGTTTTGTGTAGTGTGTTTTGTAATATTAATCCATGATTTTAAAAAAAGAAGGATCTAATTTGGGAAACTGGCCATCCCATAGATGTCCTTTTCACATGCCCAGATAATTAAACACACAAGTCTTAAAATGTTCTTAAGAAATATTTTATTGTAACTTTGTGCCATATTTCTTTAGTCTGATTTTTAAAATCAGTAGACATTACAGTACTAGTGCATTTAACACATACATAATAATAATAATAATCCTATGAGGATATAGTACACAGTAGGTCTGCATTTGCATTTACCACTTTGAAAAACAACAATGTTTTCTACAATGCCTTTTTTAAAACAAAAAGGAGTGGGCTGACAGCAAGGCACCCTGACACTCTGGCATGGAAAGGGTTACCTGTTGCTGTTTAATTACATACATCTTTATAAAAGACACATTTCAAGCTTTGAATCCAAGCAGTAGCTTTGCCTCCTATCTGAGACTAGAGTTAAAGAGGATTTTCTAAAAAATCTTCTTTTTTTTTGTCCTGTTTATAAACATAGTAAATAAAATACTGTTTTATTAACAGTTTTGTACTACACAAACACAACAATATCAATTAAGATATTTAAAAAAAACATAAGATAGTGTAAAAACACTATGGAACTTTTTTAAAAAAAATACAGAAACTGAGAGAGTTCAGTAACATTATATAAGAGATTTAGATTGACTAGAAGCAATAAAATATATCAAGTCACTGCATTTCTCTTTGTAAACTGCAATAACAAAATCTATGAAATGTTCACGTAAACACCTTGTCATTCTTAACAAATATATGTGACTACGTGCATCAAAATACTTTACAGTATTTAACCAATCAACTTAAGATTCTTTGAGAATACTCCAAAATCTGTATTCTATGGCTGATTTGGCAATAAGCCCCCTGCTACTAATCTCATTACCAGATCTATATTTTTGTCCAACAAAATACAATCACAATTTCTATAAATATTATAGATCACACTTTTCTGATTTACCAGAATCTTCCCAAGAAGATTTAATTTAAACAGGGAAACAAGACCTGTAATTGAGTCTTCATATACCCTTTTGTTTAAACGTATTTAAAAATACAACATTATAATATATAACAATATTACACTCCCTGTTTGAGTACATAGTTAACAAATATCATAGAACGTGTCCACATACGAGCAGACTACCCAAGTTACCAATAATGGTAAACAAATGAAGACACCTGAAAATGGTTACATATAAATAAAATATCTTCACAGAAGAATGTCTGTCTGAAGACTATCCCATAGGACAATGTGATGCTCTTCGAAATCAGTCAGTGCTGTTTAAAGAGCTGATAAATCCAAATCTTTTTTTCTGGATGGCAGCTGGAGAACATAGTTCCTTACTGGTAGAGGACATAAACGACTTAAAACAAGTCACCTTTTCCTCTATGGTTCGAAAGTCCACATGGGTTACAGAGAACATTACCAAGGCCTCCAAATCTTGCTGGGTGTGCTTATCATAGCAACTTGTTTTGAATTACTGGGTTTGCCAGCATAAGGAAATAAAGCGGTGGAGACGTCTTGTGGTGCTTGCAAGTGGTTCAACAACTTCATCTGGGCATCAGAGCTTTCTGGACAATAATACAGGAACTGCATAGCTTCTCGTAAACACCATGAGTAGCCTTTCTTGTAATCTTGCTGTAAAGTGTCCACACTTGAAGGCTTACCTACGGAAATAAAATAAAATTCATTAGCTGAGCACACAGGTTATCACGCCATAATACGTCAAGAATTATATATTTAAAATTATTTGGTTCTTGGACTGATTCTCCAATGCTTATGTTAAGTAACATATATCATTTAGACATTTATTTAATCAATGGAGAATTTAGAAGAATTGACAGGAGTGCTGCAGGTCAACAGTTTTTTTTAAAAATTGCACTTGTCAATTCTAAAAGTCTTTGGATAAATCCCACATCACTGAGGGTTCCAAAACACCAACTATTGAAACATACTAGTAATGGTTACGTTAAAAAAGAATGTTATGGAAACTTACTTTTTTGTTGTTGCAAGTAGTTCACAGCCATCTCTAGAATATCTGCCTTTTCCAGCTTAACATTAGATTCTTGCTTGTGGAATTCTTTCTCTAGAAGTAGTTTTAGTTGCTCGATACTGCTGTTTATCCGGTCTCTGCGCATTTTTTCCACAATAGGTTTTCTTAGCTACAAGGAGGGAAACAAAAGGATGGGTTATTAGTAAATATTTTTCAGTGCTTGAATGTCGAAACTCAGAGATCAAATTAAATAAAGGACAGTTCTGGAAAATGTCAGAAATTAAACTTACTTTGTTTTTTGTCTTTGAACGGGTATCCAGTGCAATGCTGGTAGGTGCCATTATCCACAGAATGTTCTAAGTGTCTGCAAAGGCCCTGTGATTGAGCAAGAGCTGTTCTGAGCTACTGAGCATCTCTCCTTGTATTTATACCCCTGAGCTCGCATACAAATGCATGAGTCCCAAACTTGTTAGACTTTCCCACACTCGTATAGCCAATACATGAATTCAATGGGACAATAGAAATGGCATCTATTACAGCATGGTAAATTGACTGTGAATTGCCTGAGGATAATACCCTCAGTCCCAGAGGAGCAGGTGGAGAGTGTGTAACACAACACAGACAAGCTTTAAAATGAGGTGGAAAAACGTGGGAAAGAACGTCCCATCATTATAATCAAACTGATTCCCGATGAGAACATCAACAGTGCAATATGCTGCTCTTTTTGAAGTGTGCTGGTGCGGTCACCCACGTACTTACTGTACCCTGCCAAAGCAGATGTTGCAGAATATGACACTTATATTACTTACATGGGCCATGGGAAATCATTGAAATGCTAAAGCAAGTGCCTTGTGTGCAGTTCTCTTTTCTTAATAATACTACTACTACAAAAAAAAAAAAAGCAGATGTTTTTAATTATATTTTGGCCTATTTTGTTTCAGTACTAGTATGCGTCCTTTATTTATTTATTTCCTTAATTGACATGTGTGATTTTTGTATTATTATAATTTCTATTTAAATAATTATACTTTTCTACAGGGCTAGAAAAAAAACATGTTATTGAGAATGTCTTACTTTTGCATTTTAGATATGGCATATTTTATATATTAGTCAGTGATGACTAACCTTGGCAGCTGTAACTCTTCACTTCTCTTGTCTATTTTTTGTGAATTATTTTATATTGATCTATATTGATGTGGCCCTTCTGGTTTTCTAAAAGCATATACCAGGGTTTTCCATGTGCTAAGTACGCGATTCATATCATAAGACTGGTAGAAAGAAGGCATTTAGGTCAATATGTTAATGGACCAGACACAGGCAATTATTGTATTACAGTTATATTCTTCAATTGTAAAAATAAAATCTTTATTTGAACTCATTTAATTTGTACCCCTCCTATAATCTCTCTTTACAATCTGGCTTACTATTGACAACGTAGTCCTAAAACCTTCAGGTACAACGTGCAAAATTAATGAGTGATGCACCACGGTAGTCTTCCGCACATCAGTACTGGTTTTATCATTTAATTTAAGAGAAATTAAATAATTTAAAGAAATTAAAGAAATCATTTTTTAAAAATTTGTCCTGAAAGCCACTTATAACAAACAACCACCCTTTTCTCATAGATACACACATTTTAAAGAAACACCCCAGGCACCACACTCATTACAGCTCACTGTAGTGGTTAAAGTGCTAGGAGTGCCCCGGCACCACCCTGTTTATAAGGAATGAAACCATTTTCGAATGGTTTTACTTCTTACCTAGGGTCCACCAGCCTCCATTACCTACACTCACTACCATCAACTGATAGACAGGCGTTACTCAGCAGGAACTGTCTTTAGATCAATTGAGAGCAATCAGCTGATGCTTTCTGCCCATGAGCTAAGATCTGCACTGCTAACAGAAGTTCCTCATGAGGACCTTACAGTTTTTTGGGAGATAGTAGTGGAGGCGGGATCGTTGCTCTGTGGACCACAGGTAAGAAGTCAAACTGTTAAAAAATGGTTTGACTTCTAATGATAGGGGCTCCTGGGCACTCCTGACAGTATAACCACTAAGAGTGTCTGAATGTGTTAGTGTGTGTGTGACTGATTATGGTACAAATGCTATAAAATATTTCTAAATATTTGTAAATTTTCCCGTAAAGAGGACAATCAGCAATGACAGGTGTTTGAACCCTCTTTTAGGCTTAAAAGACACTTGCACTCTTACAGACACAGTAAGATACCCGCTCAAACAGCCACATTCAGACACTCTTACAGCTACTTTTACACACGTTCATAAACACACAGCAACCTCCCACAAACTCACTTCTGGACTGGTAGTAATAGATTCTCATTCATGACATTAAACTGGGCATGGTCTAATTCAGCACCGATCACTATTGCTACATAAGAGTGCAGAAAGACCCTGCTATGGTCAGACCACGTGCCGCTCCCTCAGACCCTGAGGTTTCTCCCTTAGACTGGGGGGCAAGCTGAAAATCACAGCAGCTGAGCGCAATTGGTCAGCCGTGTGGGATTTAAATATATTTAATCCCTTAAGGACCAAACTTCTGGAATAAAAGGGATTCATGACATGTCACACATGTCATGTGTCCTTAAGGGGTTAAAGGGCTGTATGCAGCGCTAATTTTAAATGCTGCATGCAGCTCATTTGTTAGTCTGGCGCCACTAAATATGCCCTCAGCTGACATAACAGAGCTCCAGCTATCAATTGATGCCTGGGTTTACCTGGTCTGAGGACAGACTTACCCTGCTCACACCACAATGGAAGGATGTTCCATTCTGTCATAACTTCTTCAGAGCCCAGTCTGTTGAGGACAGCATTGAACGCCCTACGATCCTTAAGGGATTAAAAAAGCCCGGATAGTGATATCGAACTGGGATACGGAGAGTTATGCCAGATCTGCCAAGGAACAACCTGATAAAAGACCACATTGTCCTCCCTGTACCCTGTCTAGGTATTTTGGGCACTTTTGCATGAGTTTGGTTTATTGTTTGCTTTTGATGAAAATATAATCATTAGTTACTATAAATGTAATCACCTGGTTATCATTCTAGTAAGAAGAAATAAATTTTGTTCCTAATATTTTAAAGTAGTATTTTAAAGTAAATTTTAGATGGTATTTTTTTTTTAATGTAATGTGCTGTGTACACCTGTGTATCTTAGATTTTCTTCCTTAGCACGAGGAGGTAGGTTTTCTTATAACACAAAAAAAAATTTATAATAATTACATTAAAAATTGTAAAAATAACAATTTTAATTTAAAAAATATATATTTTTAGATTAAAAGCGAAAAGTACCCATCGTATTACTATTGAATCTTTTTTTTTTTTGCACCACAAAATGCACCATTTAAATCCTTTCGTGCTTCTTCATTAAGCGTTTTCTAAAAGATCAGTATGTTGCATTGTGTTATGCAAATGAAGATTTAATAGTGTTGTGCTGGAGTCTTTTTTTGGATTTTGTACATCGAACCCGACTGGGGGGTCCTAACTCATTGCTCTTTGCCTGAGATACTTTTTATTCCCAGGGAGAGATGGTTAACGTTTGGCTTACTTAAAATGATAAAAAAGCGAATGCTTTGTGCACAGTTATGCTCTCCAAGTTTGGTAAAGCAGAGATGTTTAGTTATTTACTTATTATTTATGATAAATGCAAGAATATTTTTATGACAATTTTTATTTTTAAATTACTTAACAAGAATACAAAACACACACATCAACTACAAATGGCAAAGAATACCAAAGCAGATTGTACAGGTCATGCGTGACAAATTCTAAAGTAAACACGACTTACTCATAAAAACTAATAAAGAAGTAAAATAAAGTTGGCAATACATTATTGTATAATCCTGAAATAAGAAAATAAAGCAGGAAAGATGAAGAGCAAGAACATTTATAATTTTAATGAACAATAAATTGCTCAATCAATTGTTGCTAAACTGGAGTTAGGCAAAAACTATTATTTTGTAAACATTCTAATTATTAGATATTTAGTTGTGCCAGCATTTTGCCTTTCTGAGATTGAGAAAAAATGTATTATTATGTTGGGTAATACCCCCCTCTGTCAGTCAACGCATATTTTATGACATTATTGCGCCATACTCTTTGAGGAATTTATCTCTAATCAGGGGTGGATTGACCACGCATGCACAGAACGAAGTTTGCAGAGAAATTTCAGTGAAATGTTGCAGGGGGCCCATGATGACACAGAAGGCCCCTGCAACCTATCACACTTCAAATAAATGCCCCTGTTCAGTGTGAGACTTGGTAGTATACCTGCGCTCATTGACTTAAAGGACCACTATAGGCACCCAGACCACTTCAGCTCAATGAAGTGGTCTGGGTGCCAGGTCCCTCTAGTTTTAACCCTGCAGCTGAAAACATAGCAGTTTCAGAAAAACTGCTATGTTTACACTGAGGGTTAATCCAGCCTCTAGTGACTGTCTCCCTGAAAATCACAGTGATAAGTCGCTGGACGTCCATAGGAAAGTATTGAGTAATGCTCTCTTATGGGTGTTTTGAATTCGTGCGCTGCTCTTGCCGCGCATGCCCATTCGGCGCTGACGTCGGAGGGGGAGGAGAAGTCACCAGTGTCGAGGGAGCCCGGCGCTGGATTAAGGTAAGTGGCTGATGGGGGTTTTAACCCCTTAAGCTCAGCAGGAGGGGGACCATGAGGGTGGGGGGGGACCTAATAACTCTATGGGGCCAGGAAAACGAAACAAACTATAGTGCTCCTTTAAATCATTTTTCTGATACAACTATTTAGGCCTATATTTAAAAATTCCTTTTTCCAGCAAATCTCACTTCAGAGAATAATCCTGACAGTGTTTTATTTGAACGTTATATTTAACATTTACTTAATACACCTATATTTGGTCTTCGAAGGGCCCCAGATGGCTTTTAGTCCGTCCCTGTCTCTGGTGTCACAAAATTGGGACTGCCAGTCAGATTCAGGACTGTTCGGAGGTGTTAAATACTGCATGATCATATTCCGAAATGTTTGCTTTTGAATGTACATAATGTTGTGTTTTATTACATTTATTACAGCATAAGCAAGTGCTGGCTGATACTTATAGGACTTGTAATCCGCAGCCAGTGGAACTCTGCATGTCATTCAAGGTTCAAACTCACTTATTTAAGGCAATGATTCCCATTTCCCAGGCACAAAATACAAAAGTTCGATTCTATTTTAAAGTTGTTTTATTTGGGAGTATGTATTAGTGAGAAACAAAAAATGCTCTTTATAGACAGGTTCACATAATGCAGCTATTGGGGTGTAATGCCAAGCTGAAAAGCAATCCTTTTCAGACAGATTTTAACTATTCTTAAAATTGCTTATAACCAACCCTTTTCTCTTCTTTGACAGCTCATCGGGTGTCAAGGGGCATTACTTTCCCAGGTTTAAGAGGTCCATGACAATACTTCTAGATCAATGTGTTTCTTGGGAAAGGATTGATCCAGATGGCCTGCAGGGACAAGAATTGCTGATAGACACAATACTAAGTTAAACATCGTTGGTAAATTGCCTCTTTTAGACACACTTGTTTTGTCCCTTCTTCTGAAAGTTACAAAAAGAAAGAAAACTGTGGGGGATTCTGAGAAATTGACATCCCATTCAGTCCATAAATTTCTCAGCAAATGAGAGGCCAATATCCAACACCTCCCAGCCTTTTTAGAGCCACACGGGTTTGATTCTGTAACTGGAGATATGTTTAGCTCTGCTAATTGAAAATCAATCTCCCATAGATTTCAGTGATGGGCTTTCTTTTCAATAACCCAATTAATCTCTGGATCTAAACTCGAACAGTGAATCGCCATTACGTAAATGGGGTTCCAACATTAAACTCTATACCGATCTAAAAATGAAGAATTACCTAGTCACTGAGCAAAGCAACAACTAACATTTAAATAGAAACCATCACATGAAATAATTTTTAATATTATATATTGGTATCCTTCTATATTTAAAGAAACACTCCAAGCAACATAAGTAATACAGCACTCTGTAGTGGTTATAGTGTCAATGGTGCTTTGGCACTCTTGCCCCCGCACATCCCCCATTAAACCTTTTTAGAATGGTTTGACTTCATTCCTGGGCTCTGCTAGGTGTCACTCCCTGCTCCCACTACTCAAGCCAGAGAGCTGGAACCTCCTGCTTAGGAGTTTCCGTTAGATCTACTGAGCTAAGCCCTGAACTGCAGAGCTCAGCTCAAACAGAGAGCTTCCGGTTCTCTGGCTGTGATAGGGGACGTGGGGAGCAGCATCTGGCGGGCCTAAGGTAAGAGGTCAGACCTAAAATAGTTTGATTAGTTACAATGGGGTGGTGCCTGAGTACTCCTGTCCCCATAACCACTACAGCCCATTGCAGTGGTTATGAGTAGTTTTGGTGCTTGTAGTTTTGCTTTAACAAATACGTATTTCTACGACATGAAAAGATAAATTTAGTCATTAAGCCACAGTGCTGTATTTACCTGTGTCATTGATCTAAATGCCTTCGTTTTGGTTTTCTATCAATCATTGTCACTCATCAGAAAAAAAGGGGTAACACTAGATAAACGTGTTTTTCAATATTTTATTCAATGATGCAATTTCCAGACAAGTGATGGCCCCCCCCGACACACCTTATTGCCCACCCCACTTTCATGCCTCCCAGTTTTGGAAGAAATTAAACATTTTAGAAAATGTAGCTATACACACAACAGAAAATAAAGACAGTAAAGCAGGAGATGACTACTAACGTACATACGTTTCTCAAGCTGTTTTGCGAATGGAGAGGGACTGATTGTCTGAAAACGTCAGCTGACCTCTCTAACCCACTTATTGGCGTCCCTGCTCGCGAAAGTTCTAGGCTTCCATTTTGAAACTTTTCAGCAGGTGGACGTTGGAGGTGGCAGATCAATCCGGCACTAGATAAGAGACTTTGGGGTTCGTGAGCACTTTAACTCGTAAAGGTAAGGCAGCGCCAGGTACTTCCTGACAAAAAAAATTACCTAATTTCTATAAAGATTGAAGGACGATTGATCCAGGGTCTTTCTGCCAACTTTAAACTTCTCTGATATTTTCTAAGAAACCATGTTTCTGTTTTGATTGGTCGGCAATAAAGCGTTCTATTTCTATGTTGTTGTCTTATAGATTGTAACAATATTTGCTGTTGTTACTGGGAAGCTTGAACAGGTAAGTCAAGCACAATTAAAGTCATATCTGCAGGGCATTTACCATCTCGTTCCCAGGACCTGTGAAAGACAAGCCTAACAGACTGCCAGATGGTCTGTGGAGAGAAACATTTCTCTTTCATTGAATCAAATCAAGCAACATCACTAATGGGAGTACTAGTCAGAGGACACACTTCTATTGTTCTACAGAAACATGTCAGCGATTGAAGCAAAGGGAGGAGGTTGAGGCTGTGAGAACTTCGCTGGAATACAAACCCACACAGCCTGACGCTAATAACTTGTTGTCAATCTGCTATTATTACGGAGTACCATGAACTCCTGCATTTATTTGATGATCCCCTCCTTGTAAACCTTATGGACACAACACTTTCTCAGGGACCTTTATTTACCAACAGAGGAGAAGAAGGCTGTTTAGCGGTTTTCTTTTCAAATTCTCGCTAACAGCACAATCTTATTATATGACAGATGGACACCCATAGAGATTACTTTAACCCTATCCATCTTTTTTTTTATGTACTATTGGCAAATATGACTTTTACAATTATTATTAATAGTCATAATAATTATTAATAAAAATAATAATTATTAATAATTATTAATGGAAATCATTATTAATAATTATTAATATAAATAATAACATATTATTTAGAACAAAAGCACACAATTTATAAATAAATATAAATTCATAAAGGTTTGTGTAGTAACTTTGAGTATCCTTCACACCCTCTCTTAAATTTTTATATATTAACAAAAAAACACTCTAAAAAATTCCTTCCCCTTCCCACTTCTCATTTGCTTTAGGTAAAGCTGCTAAACTGAATATCCTACTGTGAGCAGTTTGTCTGGGCTGATATACAATTATAATTGTTTATATAGTACCAATGTAATCCATGGCACTGTATGTAGGTAAACAAGAAAAAAACTTTTAACACAAAATGTTTGACATATAAGAAGTGCAGATGAAGAGGACCCTGCTCTAATAGACTTACTATCTAAATCGGGGATAGCCAAAAAGGTAGATCCCCAGATGTTCTAAAAAAAAACTACAGCTTCCATGATGCCTTGTCATACTAAAAGCCTGCAAAGCATCAAGGGAGTTGTAGTTCTACATCTGGGAATCTACTTTTTGGGCACCCCAACTATGAATAGGATTTGCCTGTTCCAACAAATGAGAACTCATTACCATAGCATATGAACCAATTTTGGCTCTGAACTAGGGACTCCAAAAAGACATTATTTAAAACTGTTGTCATGTCTCACAGAAAAAGTACAATGTAGAATAAGTAAGTGGTAAAGAAATACCAATGTTTGACTAGATAGGAGTTTATTTCCCCTCTATTGTAACATAAAAAATACCAAACATTCTTTGATCTTTCTAAAAAATGATTACTTTGTTTAAATCTCTATTTGTAAATAATTATCATATATCCTCTTTGTACTACTCAAACGGTGGAATTGTTTGCCTCCAAACATATAAAATGTATGCACAGCACAAATAAACTATCTTAGTCTTCCCATTGTTCTCAATAAGAGTGCAATGCATATCTGATTAACCCTTGCCCCAGGGAGCAGGCGGCAGGGGTGGAGGGGGGGTTATGGTATATTTAACTGAGCAGTCATCAGCAGTTTCATGCATGAAAAGACATGTTTGAAACCTATTGGCAATCCAGATTCTATTAACTGACCGATTAGCAATAAGTCAATTTTGACATTTCCTGCATTCACCTACTGTACAAGAACTTGTACAGCTGGGGGAATAATGGTTTTACCCTGTGATGTCACACAGTGCAGGCTTACAGCTCCTTCAACCATATTTTTTTTTTTCAGTCATCATTGATAGTTATAATTTTATCAGTATTGTTTAACTGCTTGCTATAAAATACAGGGGTTCTTTCAACAGTAAAATGTATGCAAATTTTGGTGTATTTTGCACAATATTTTAACAGTTATAGGTCTTCTCCAAGCTTGAGTGAAGGATAATTAATGATGCATTAAAAAAAAAAAAATTGTATATAATAAAAATAGCATATAAAGAGAGGGTTGGAAAAAGGAAAGCACTCCAAATGAATATTTGTAAGAAAGGAATGTGTTCGAAGAAGATAAGAAAGATGGCATAACTACAGAGTGTGAAAATTGAGTAAAGGGGTATGTGGGTGCTATGGATTAATGGGAAGATGTGACCCAGAGAAGGCTGAAGAAATAGACCTGTTTGAAGAAAGATGCATGATACAGTTGCAGTTGTTTGATCCCCAGTGTGGAAAATTTAAAGCTTGAATTGTGCCATATGTTCTTCTATACATTGACATGTTCTTTTTAATAGGGCTCATTAAAAATAGATTGAACATAAATTGTGTGTTGTTGATCACTTTGTTTAATTAGCAAACTTTCCAGGCATTCATGGAATGAATCCATAAACATTCATCATGGGTGATCTCATAAAATGGGTAAATATAGTAATTATTTATGCTCGTCTACATAGCAATAGAGTGAAGAGCGTTGTCTAAAACACAGTTGAGATAGAATAATTGTATGCTTTTGGGAAAGATTTGACACCCACCAGCTGGAGCAGGATGCAGCCGGATGCTACAAATTAATCGGAGCTTTCAATAGATCTCACAAGTTCATGAACCCTGTCCATGTCATACTGCTGGCTACAATAATTCTATTATCATTATGTGATTATATGTACATCTCAAACGTGTTCCGCAGTGCTGCAAATTGGAAATGGTGCAAATAGTTTCTGAAAATATTGACAAGGAACTCGTGCATTTTATATACATAAAAAAAAAAAAAATACATGAAATGAGTATATAAAAATATGGTAATAAAATATTTATTGTGCAGGAACCAGTGACCAATATTATGTGCTGTGCTATCAACATATACAAAAAAAAAAAGAAAAATTAGTGCACACATTTATATACTCTACCAATAGGAGACATAGTATAAATTGTACTTAAGTTGTACATATACTATTTTTTTTTTAAAAAACCTGGAAAAAAAGTGCGCAAATTTGCGCAAAGCTTTTCAAAGATTTTGTCTTGTATATTAAAGAGATACTATAGATAAAGAGTGGGAAATGTGATGAAAGGATTGGTAATTTCCATTGTGTAGCAAAAGAAGCAGCAGATGAAAAATTTGGTAAATTGCGCCAGAAAATAACGCAAAACTGTCTCCAATACTTTGATACATCCCATCTACAGTGTCACGACAGTGAGTTACTGTACTTTATTGCTGCTTACGTTTGATCTCTGACCTTTTTCAATCAACTCTAAGCGGTAGTCCAGGAGTACATATCTGGCAAAAATCTATAATCATTAGAATTTCCAAGGAACAAGGAAGGAAAGATAATAATTATAAATAATATAAAAATATGACATAGGAGTCATAAAGAAAGGGGAAAAAAAACATGACAGGGCCACTTTATGGGGTAAAACTTTTAACAAACAGATTAGTCTCAAACTTTCAGAATTGCCACCTGTCCTCTGACATCCGACCGTACGTTTTTCACTGGGTTTTAGCGCGGTGGTTGGCTGAGAGTGTCAGGTGACACTCTCAGCCGATCTGTGGTGCCCAGTCTGAGGCTTCCTGATTGATGCTTAGGGCCATAAAATAATGTTGCTGAGCAGGCGACGGGCACCATATTTGAACGTTTGGACTTAAAAGATTTGTAAATGTTTAACCCCTTGAGGTAAGGTGGTGCAGGGTGGGACCCTTGGTACCATAACAACTTTATAGAGATTAAGTTGTTAAAGTTGTTATGGTCCCTGGAGTGGTCCTTTAACACAATGCAATTGTTACCAGTCCTGCTTAAATATATTCCAATCTATGTAGATATATACATTAAGTTGCTATTATATTATGTACGGGTTACATTGCATTATTTTACTTCACTGTTTTTCATGATATATTGGTTACTACATCATTTTTTACTCTTATTGCTTTTTCAAATACATCTATCTGTTGTTGACAGTATTGATGATAAAAGAAGCCACTCATTCAGTGTGTTCTGTTATCTAGCCAATGTAACAGTCTGATATATAATTCAATGTTTGTATGGAAAGAAAAATACACAGGAAATTATCACTTTTTGCCAAGTATCAGCAACAGGAGCTGACAGGCCTTGATCAATGTTCTAGTCAGTATTGAATTGCCTACAGATGGCTTGCCTGGATCAAGACATCCAGAGAGGACAAAGGAAAGTCAAATACCATTGCTAATTCAGCATGTAGCCCGGCACACTTCTTTTGTTCTCCCGATTGAATGAAGTGAATAGGCCAAAAGTGTGGGAAACGCTGAGCAACTTGGAACTCACAGAATCAGGGGATTGTAGCAAAGTCCTGTCACGAGTTCAGCATCTGCCTCAGAAAGCGGGAAATGGACAAGTTATAAAAAAATAAAAAAAAGGTCATACCTAAGACATTTATGAGGATTAGCCAACTAGGTAGAAATGGCAAGTGATAGACGTAGAAAGATATATATATATTTTTTTTTAATGAACATTGAAAATACAGTAAACGGTACAGGGAATTCTCTACTAATCGCTTGTTAAGCTATAATCTGAGAGTAATAGCTACTTTTTAAAATGTAAAAAAAAGTACATTTGCTCTTTAAATCATGGATAACAGATGAATTTGTAGCAAATCTTGGATCAGGGCTTTTACGGATCCCAAATTCTGGAGGGGCACTGCTGAATTCTGTATGAGATTTTATCATTTGAAAATGGACACATATTTATACAAACACAAACAAACACACTTACAAACATAGATACAGTGACAAATAAGTACATCTATACCCACACACAAAAAAATGTGTTGAAAGGATTATTAGATAAAAAAAATAGTTTTGAGGTAACAGTTGTCCTTCAAGTGTTTTTATTTTTTGAATACTGTGATTATTATTATTATTTTACTATTATTTATATAGGGCCATCAGATTCCGTAGCGCTGTACAATGGGTGGACTAACAGACATGTAATTGTAACCAGACAACTGGACGTACAGGAACAGAGGGGGTGGAGGGCCCTGCTCAATGAGCTTACATTCCGCCTTGGTAAATTGGTGTACATACACTTGTTTCCTTTGTGGGGTTTTTAAATAAATATCTATATATGATCAACCTGGATGTAGCTTTAGTGAGGTTTTCTGGCATCCTTTGTGGCATGCTGTGCTCTGCTGTTTTATCTAGAATAACACATTTGTCAAAGTACATGGATGTTGCATGCTTTGTTATGTGCTATGCTACTGTTACATACGTACAGAGTTTGCAGACAGTTATTTTGCATGGCTCAGTGCCATTCGGTGTGCTGTTTTTTTGTGTAGACTGCAGACACCTTTTTCTCTTAGGTTGGGTGGGAAGGGTGGGTTCCTCTGAATGCAGCAGTTGCAGATCTTTTATGATATTGCATATTACCTGTAAGATCATATAATACGTCACTACTAAAAGGGTGTGTAGCTGGGTTTTTTTTGTAGTAAAGCTGCAGTGGTACTTCAGTGGTACTGCAGTGGTAAAGTGGTACTTTCAGTGCAGGTGTTACTTTTTAAAACAATATTATGCTTGTTTTGTAGCCATCTTGTTTGAATGAGACATACAGTGTATTGAGGTGTTCATCACGGTCTTCACTATCGGAAGAGGTCCCATTGTATATTCCTTAGTGGCGGAACTACCATGGTTGCAACAGTTGCAGACTGGCCCTCAGGCAAAATGGGCAAATGCTTGATGGGCTGCAATGGCCACAGGCTGTGCCTGACAGACCAGCCAGCAAATCCTGCATTTTGTCGGTGGGAGGAGAAGGTTGTGTGTGTGCCTGTTCTGCACCTTCTAATTGTGGAGACCAAGTGCAAGGCTCCAGATAGAGTATCAGAGTGTTGCCGTGTGTTACTACAGCAATGCTCTGATACTTCCCTAGAGCTCCTCTCACGTAGCAGTCTGGAGTCTGCACTTCTGTAGTGCTCTTCAAGGGGAATCATCCACTGGATTACCAAATACCACCAAGGTACAAGGATTCCCGGACCAAGGGAAGATGGAGGGAGGGGGAATAATTTTCTAAAGTTGTTTTTTTTTTGTACCATCCCCAACGCCTACTAAGGAGTCTATCTCGCACCATGCTACAACAACTACAGAGCCTACACACACATCCTCCTCCTCCCCCACCCCCTCACACACAAACACTCTACAGGCCCCATCTATCCCCCAAAACATACACAACAGCCATTAACCCCCTCACACATACACTACAGCTATTGTGAGTGTATATCAGTGTATGCATTTATGTTCCTATCTGTAAGTGTGTCTATGCCTGTGTCTGTGTGTAAGCCTGTGCCTGAATCTATGTACCTTGTTTCTGTGTCTGTGCCTCTGTATGCTTGTATCTGCTTATTTGTGTATACCTGTAATTGTATATGCCTATCTGTTTATGCCTATGTCTACATGTGTGTCTGTGTATCTGCTTCTATCTGTGCCCGTCTTTGTAAGCCTGCATTTGCAAATGTAAGTATGTATGTATGTAAATGTGCACCTGTCTGTGTATATGTGTGCAGGTATATGTCTGTATGCAACTGTTTGTGTGCCCATGTTTGCCTTTGCCTGTATGTGTCTATGTCTGTGTGTCTGTCTGTATTCACCTGCCTGTGTCTGTGTCACTGTGTGTGCTTACCTTTTTGTAGGTGCTCTTCTCTCTGTTTTTATAATGATAATTCTATTTCAATGTTATTAATATTACACACACCACCCCCACACAATCACCGTCCGCCAACCCCAACACATCCCACTCAGGCCTATCGCTTGTGGGTTTGCAAAGAGGGGCAACGATTCGGCCCTACTTTGATTCTTGCCAGGAGGCCCAGAAGTAGGCCTCCTGGATAGCTTTGCTTTAAATGATGGCTCTTGGCTTGTTGTGTGAGATTTGAGATTTAGCCTCACTTGTCTGTAAGCTTTCAGTGAACGGTGTTTGATTTGCCATTTTTGATCATGTGTTGTGCAGGAAAAAAAACTATGTGACTGTGAAAAATATAAAATACTTTGGTGTAGTTAATTTTCAGTTTAACAAATAGTTGGGGAAGGCAGAGCCTGACTGCAGAGGGGACCGGACACATGGGGAGAGAGCACCTGCATCTGGTACTGAAAATCCCAGGGATATTACCGGATACTAGCCAACCTACATGAGGCAGTAAGAGTATGCGTCATTGTGTTTGTGTGTATGTGTCAGTCTGTCAGTGAGTGTGTCTGTC